CAGAACCTCGTCAAAGCGTTCTTCCCGCTCAGACCAGATACCGTCTCCCCCCCCTCCTCCACTTCGCTCACGTCCCAGACATCACTCCCGAGGAAGTAAGAACCACCCTCCTCCCCACCTCCAACTTGTCAGCCCCCGGACCAGATACCATCCCCTACTCAGTATGGAAAGGGGTCCATAAGGCCAACCCACATATCATCCCCGCGCTCCTCAACCCACTCCTAAAAAGCGGTTACCACCCCCTCTCACTCAAAAGGGCAAATGGAGTTATCCTGGCAAAACCAAACAAAGCCGACCACACCCTCCCCACTTCCTACAGAATAATTGTCCTCCTCCAAACCTTCTCCAAGATCCTTGAGAAGATCGTCACCCTCCGCCTCGCATCTATCGCCAAAGCGGTAGGCCTCATCCACCCCCACCAATGCGGATCGGTAGCTGGCCTCTCCACAGCAGATGCAGTCACCACCCTCCTCCATGAAACCAAAGCCATGCAACACATCAAGCTGAAGGTCTCTACCCTATTCCTCGACATCAAGGGAGGCTTCTATAATGTCGTCAAACACACCCTTGCAGCTACCCTCGCGGCCAAAGCCACCCCCCCATACATCATCAATTGTGTCCTATCGTTCCTCTCCGACAGGCACATCACCCTCCTGTACAAGGGTTCTCCAAGAATCCCAACTCCCGTTCAGGTCGGCGTCCCCCAAGGCTCCCCCATCTCACCTCTACTCTTTGTTATATATATGAACATCCTCCATCTACACGATCCCTCCCCAGGACTCACCCTATCCTACGTCGATGACTTTGCGATAACCGTGGGCTCCACCAGCTACCAGCAAAACATCCATATCCTCGAAGAACACTTCAAGGCGATCACAACCATCACGGCCGCCCAGAACACTACCTTCTCAATCCCCAAAACTGAGCTAATGCACTGGTGAACCCCCAAAGACAAGGCGTTAATCTGCACTCTCCCCATCACCTTCGACAACCAGACCTTCCACCCAGGCCACCAAGTTAGATGGGTCGGCTTCTGGCTGTCCCCTAACTTCAACCCAAACACCCATTTTATCCGCCGCCTAGCCTCCGCCCAACCCAGCTTCGGAATCCTCCAGAGATTCTCCTCTGCCGGCAAAGGCCTCTCCTCGTCTAACTGTAGGAAAATCGCCCTACTCGCCATTCGTCCAATTCTCACATATGGGGCGTCCGTCCTCACCCCCACCAGCTCCATCAAAGCCATGAATAAATTCTGGTACTCAGTACTCAGGTGGGCTACCGGCTGCTTCAGGGCAACCAACCGCCGAGTCCTCTGCGCAGAGGCCCACTGCCCCCCACTCATCCACTACATCCACTACTTAAAAAGAAAGTTCGCTCTCCGCGTCCTACTCGCCCACCCTCTCAACAACCCAGTGACAGGACGCTGCCACTCCTCCTTCCCTACCCTGACATCCGACAGGGTCCCCTCCCACACTCGCCTCCTACGCGGCCGCCCTAACCCACCTAAGAAGTGGAACTCGACGGCAACAAAAGGAGTAAACTACCTTCCCATCGAACATCTATGCTCCCTCCTCCGAAACTCGATCATAAGAGGGACCAACCATAAGCTCCTCCCAAAACAAGCAAAAGACCAAATGCTAAGTAACTGGGCCAATGACTTTCCAACCCCCCCCTACCACTCCTTCCCTCTCACCACAAGCCCTGAGCACTTCATGGACCTGCACAAATTCATGGCCACTCGAATCCACCAAATGAGAGCCCAAAAAAGCTACATTAGAGGCCACAAATCATGGCTCAACCTCCACCTCTCCGACACATGTGACAGATGTGGCGAAGGCCCCGAAACCACCGAGCATGCTATTTTCATATGCCGAGCAAAAGCAGCCCTACGCTCCCAATTCCTCACAGGGATAAATACCCTCGAGGATATCTGGAGCAACCACACCAACACCCTGGCTCTAGCAGCCTTCATCACCGCCACCAAGACAAACTACTCCAGAAAGGAGCACATCTCCCCCCTACTTTCCGGATCTGAGACGTCAAGCTCCCTCAGCTCCCCTCCCTCCACCACCTAGCCACCGCAAACCCCCTCCACAACCATAATGGGGAACACCGCACACCCAAGACCCTCAAAGGGCAACAGGTTATTTAAAACCAGCAGGAAGGATTTCTTATGTCGGATATGGACCGCCAAAGTTCGTTGTTCCCTAGCCATCAGTCAACCGGTGCAAGAGCGCAGTAACTTTTCCTTACATTTCTTTTGTTCCTCTGGGGTTGTGATGTTTGTTGTTTGCCGGGGAAAGGTATTTTTATGCCATAGTCTTTGACTGCATGCAGAGTTTTGTTCCTAGAATCAATTAAAACTACATGATTTAAAAAAAAAAAAAAAAAAAAAAAAGTATTAGTCAGTTACACCATCACACATGCCTGGCATTCCTATGGTAGTGCTGCAGCAATCCTACAGCATTGTTCCAAATACCCTAACCCCAATGAACAATGCTACATTGGAAACTATGCCGAATTATTTCCGTATTGTAACACAGACTGCGGTAGCACTACAGTATCAAATACACCCTGATTTCTGGTACTGTCGTTCACGTGGTATTGGTGGGTACTGGGTGTTGGCGGATAAGCCTAAAAAGAGACAGCCAAGCCAATTTTTGGCTTCAATCCGCCAACACCCAGTATCCGCCAATCCCCCGTGAACGACAGTACTGTAGGGAAACCAAGCCAGGCGCGCATCCGAAACTTAGCGCGCGCTGCAACGGCAGTGAGGGCGGTGGAGGAGGCTCATCGCCCCTCCTCCTCTCTCCAGGTTTTTCCTGCTTAATTTTCCTTTCCGTTGGTGCTCTTCCTTTCTCCATCATCCTTTACTAGACAGCTAGTCTCTACTCTTCTCCTCTCTCCGCCTCGTTCTCCAAAGTCTCAGCCATGTTGTCCACCCGAACCCTCTCCAAAGTGTGTCTTTCCTTCCCTTCATTCCCTCTTCCTGCACGGACCGCCGTTATCACGTGTGCGCTCTTATGCAGGCTTGACGTATCTTTTCTTCACTCTCTACATACGTGTAAATTTTTACATCCAGGGACTGACCCCTTCTCAACTTTGAATTATCCCCAGTCTCTCTTCCGTGCAGTAAACGCTGTCCACACCAAGAATGCTGTATCACCCGTCAACAGATGTATGCTCTCTACTCCTGAAGCTGGCAATGGTATCTCGGAAGAATGGGACCTGCATGATGCTGATGCACATCTGAAATATAGCTATGGCTACTGTAGCCTCAGACCTGGTTAAGCCCACCAAGTACGGTGGAAAATTCACAGTCACCTTGATTCCTGGTGCGTGTCTTTGCTCGCTTTATGCTACACGGTTGCATGATGTGGCACCTTGCTGAGGGAATATTTTCTAGGTGATGGTATCGGTGCCGAAGTAACGGATGCCGTCAAGACTATCTTCAAGCATGAAAACGTCCCGGTCGAGTGGGACCAGGTAGACGTCACTGGTGTTATCACTGGAAATACGTACTCGGAGCATCTTTACCGCCAGTCGGTTGCCTCTTTGAAGAGAAACAAAGTTGGTCTTAAAGGTACAAAACTCATTTCTTTCAATTCTCCGTACCGCGATCTGTTCCAAGGGCATTTTTATGATGAATAAGAGCCATAGCGCTCGAACTAATAACCCAGCTCTTCGAATGATTTTGCCAATTTACAACACTTAGAGGTCTTATTGAGAGAAAAACTAACCTGAAACTAATACCCTTCGAACGAGTGCTTTCTTGTGTTCTTGGTTGCCGAATTTGGTTTGGACAAATGTTTCTAACTTGTTTTGTAAAATATTTAGGTATTCTGTACACCCCCGTCGAGCGCTCTGGCCATCAGTCCTTCAACGTTGCCCTCCGTCAGGAGCTTGACATCTATGCCTCAGTTGTTTTGATTAAAAACATGCCCGGCTACATTACTCGTCATTCCAATGTCGACATGTGCATCATCCGTGAGAACACTGAGGGTGAATACTCCGGCCTGGAGCATCAATCTGTTCCTGGCGTCGTCGAGTCTCTTAAAATTGTCACTAGGATGAAGTCGGAGCGTATTAGTAAGTTTGCGTTTTCCTTCGCAACTGCGAACCAAAGGAAGAAGGTCACTGTTATCCACAAGGCGAACATCATGAAGCTTGCCGACGGTCTTTTCAGAAATACCTTCCTGGAAATTGCCAAGGATTACCCCCAGCTTGAGGTCAATGATATGATTGTCGACAACGCCTCCATGCAAGCTGTCTCTAGACCTCAGCAATTTGATGTTCTTGTCATGCCAAACTTGTACGGATCCATTCTCTCCAACATCGGTGCCGCATTGGTTGGTGGTCCGGGTATTGTTCCGGGATGCAACATGGGCAGGGAATATGCTGTTTTTGAGCCTGGCTGCAGACACGTTGGTCTGGATATCAAAGGGCAGGATCAGGCAAACCCAACAGCGCTGATTCTGTCGGCAACAATGATGCTGAGACATTTGGGACTTGATGACCACGCTACCAGAATCTCAGAAGCTGTTTACAACGTTGTTGCTGAAGGGTAAGAAATCCTTATTGTATCCTGCAATTTGGAAACACTATGCTGAATTATACTACAGAAAGGTTCGAACCCGAGATATGGGTGGCAACAGCAAGACTCACGAGTTCACCAATGCTGTGTTGCACAAGATGGAACAAATTTAAGTGGCTCGGTAGCAAGAGAGGACTATAATGCTATGCACACATTAGATTAGAGGCTCGCGGAGGGGGTTTGAACACCATTGCAATCTTTTCTTTGGTCTTCTCCTTTTACATAAATAACGAGAGGGTTTGCTTTTCTTTTTGACTAAATACATTTCAATTCGATGCCAAAACGCCTTCAAACTGACAAACTGGTTTCCGACTACCACAAATTTATTTGTCGTAATATTTTCATAGCTCATGATGGAAAGGGGGGGAAAGGACCAAAGAAAAAAAATAGTGATAAATGTGCTGTACCTCTAAAACGCAACTCGCCTCTTTCTCCCGGTATATTTAGAGTCTGCCTTCACTGATTTACCCTTATTCCTGTTCTGTTCTTTTTTCCGAAGGATCCACGATTTTGAACCCTTTAATTCCTTGCCTTTCCCACTCTTCCCTCCCTTTCTCCGCTCATCAATAACATCAACACCCTCCAGGCCCTTTACAACTTCGGTGACATCACGGCCTGCGACAGCATCCCCGACAACCTCATCACGTCCTGCGCCGACTGTCAAAACAAGATACAGCTTCTTGTTCTTTGTGTCTGGATCATCTTCAAGCAGACCAGCGCCAAAGCCAGATCTAATTGCTGCTGAAGTGATCATGGTTCTCTGTGTCTCGTTCTTTGGGTAAAACTGCAGCACAGCCTTCCCTCCTCTTTTCAACGAGCTGTACAGGCCGTCGAAAAACCTTGAAAGCCTCCCGCTCGCAGAGACGTCCGAACTGTCGGCGTTGCATAGCCACTGGATCGCAGAGATCGAGATCGCAGCATCAAATGTTCCCGGCCGGAAGGGAACTCCCTGCCCCATATCTGCAAGCAGGAGGTCGCCCTCCGCATCACGATCGAGCGCTATCGCGAGCATGGAGGCAGAGATGTCCATCCCGACCCAGATGTGGCCGGAGCTTGTGAGATGCTCGCCGGAGAGGCCGGAGCCGCAGCCAATATCAAGGATCATAGACGGCGAGTTCAGGGCGAGAAGCTGCAGTGCACGCTGAGTCATGGAGGACTGGATGGACTGGATTCGGGAGGAGGTTGTGTATTTGTGCGATTCGACGTCATTGTAGAATAGGTCTGGGGGACTGTGCTCGATGTTAGTTTACTTTTTTAACATAGGTGACAAATGTAAGAGATGTGTAACTCACAGAGTATCTTCGGGGCGAGACATTGTGAATAGCTGCTTTCCTACGGATTGGAATAAGTGAAGAAAGGTAGATTGGTGGTATTGCCAATATGTAGGGTACAATTTCTCGACTGGTTGAGGCTCTGCTGAAATTTTTCATGTGCTACACGGGTGTTGCAAAAAGTGATGACAAAATACACGTACTACATGTACACCCGCAGGAAAAAAGTGAGGAAACAGCGGGTGCAACCTGTCCGAACCCCAATGCAAAATTGGGGATAAAAATGAAAAGAAGTAATATACATGTAACTAAACAATAAAATACAGAATAGATACTATGGCCTCTAAACTATATTCATCACCTTCTATGATCTCCCTAGTCCTTTATTATTGCTGTAATTCTCTTTGGGATGCTGTCAACGATTTTTATATACATTTCCCCCAATCCGGCCTTTCCTACTCTTCCCTAGCTTGGGCTTCAATAACTTTTATGTTTTCATTCAGAGTAGCCTCTATCCACTTCCCAGACTTGTCAAAAGGCATGCCCACGGAATACTTGTGGGGTTGTATTGCGGGTGCGGGGATGTCAAGTTGGAGGCACCCGTTGTCACACTACTCGCTGTTTCCTCACTTTTTTCCTACGGGTGTATTTATCAGATCCTGATCACCCTCAACACCCGATATTAGTACATGTACCCACAAAGGGGGCGTAATCTTCTTATAGTGATACTCGCCTTATAAGAGTATATTCAATACTGATTTCGGCCTTGATTGATAACTTCTGAGTGGTTGGTTATTGGCCAGTGCCAAGAGCTACGTTCGTCCTTTAAGTCCACCACTGTTTGAAAACGTAGGAAGGGATGTAGAAAAATCGAAGTGTAAAAGAGAAGATGAGTCCCTCCTTCGTTTCCTCTTAAGTTATACTCTTCACTTAGAGCCACCTAATTGTACAAAATGTCATCATCGCATCACCCAGGATACATTGTCACCTTTACCATCTCTCTTTTCTTGGTATTATATGTAGGTGACGAACGTGAATTTGTGAGAAAACATGCCTAACTGCTCCGCGCCCCAGTGATTGAGGAATGGATGATATGAAGGGATACGAGGAGCAGTGGGGCAGGAGCTAATCTAAGCTCTGTGTATCCTCGCGACAGGCAATTAGCCGGCGAGTGATACTTCATGATTCCCCCCCCCCCCCCAAAAACCTCTTTTCCTCTCTCTCTCTCTATTCCGTATCACACATCCGCTCTGGTTTTGTTGATTGTTATAATAAAATATAAGTGAATCGTTAAAGAGGGTTCAGAATTCTAATAGAAATAACTCTAACAACATTCTATTATAGTATTTGAAGAAACGCTTGGCGTTGTTTAAGGGTGAACAGTCTTCTTTGGCGACTAATGCTAAGGACTAATAGAGACGACTTAGACCTTAACTTCTTTTTTTCTCATATAAGTTCCCGTCTCTAGTATTGTTACACTCCCGCTACCAATCCAGGGAAAGGGAGAGAAAAAACGGAACGAACCAGTTTCCAAAGTGTTCTCAACTCTGTAATCATCAAAAATATATCTGGTTCATCTCTCCTGGACCTCAAACCTAAAATGAACTGTAAGTTCTTACCCTTAGTCCTTATGATTCTCTGATACGGACATACAACATGCTAATGGAAGTTGAATCTGGTTCCCCTCTAGCCTCCAAGAAAGTGACCAAAAATCGAGAGACCCGGGCAGCCAGAGCAGCCAAAAGAGCCCAAATCAAGAACCAGCAGAAGTCCCAGACTGCAAGCACCATCATGACTTCCTCCTCCCGTAACACCAAGAATGATCCACCACTACTACATAACAAGGCATTCATGGCTGTAGTCAGAATGACAAAGTTTCACACCGATGCTGGCGCTCATCTTTACCATATGGTCTTCGACAACGGCAAAGCCCATCTCGTATGTTAAGTCAAAACCAACCTCCTCCTCCCCAATTTTGTAAGCTTTTTATCTAGTTGATATGTACTGAGGCATCCATCAATCTATCCATCTACACAGGCAAAGGTTCCTGAGCTTCTCGACCTAATCACTCTTGATGCTTTGCATTGGTACGAGCATACTCTCTTCAAGACCACCGCAAAGTGGAGGGTCGACACCACCGAGACCATCCCCGAGAGGTTGAGACTCCAAATCGACTCCGAGAGAGTCTTTCCAAAGTTTATAGTGCCAAAGGCGTGCAGGAAGAGGGCGTGCTTCATCTGCAGGAACCAGAACGGCTATCTTAACTACAACAACGGCGAGTCCGAGGTCTGGAAGCAGAAGAGTCAGGAAAAAGAGAGAAAGAGGCGTGAGCTTGAGGAAAAGAAAAGGCAGCAAAGACTGGAGGCCCAGATGGATGCGGAAAACGATGGGTAGGATGTATATGGTAAGGGCAGGGTTGGTTCTCTATATGGCGCTCATCTTCCCTTACTATACCGCTATGACTGGGCTAACATGTGTGTGGGGTTTGAAGATAATTTAGTTCTATTTCACTACATGTGTCCTTCAATGAGAACGACTTCTGCCCATGGGAACTATATATATAAAAAAAAAACTGTGGAATTGGAGTTAGCATGAATACAAAATACCATAAATTTGGGTAAAGCTTGCGAGCATTTCCAATAGTAGATTGTTGGAATACAATATAAAATTCTCAGCCGGTATTTACAGTCAACCCGGCATTATCACACAAGACCGCACCGCCAGAAGCCCGAGTTTGTTGACCTTTTCACTACCGGATGCCCTTCAAATCAGGTTACTCAGTATACTATTAGCCCTTCGACGCGCGTAGCATGCTAGAAGAAAGACGTTTTACCTAGGCGTCTAGATAGATAAGAAAAATATAGTTGACACTGAGAATTGATAGGAATGAAGATCCCAGTCAATCCCCTTAACCCGTAATATAATCATCTTATATACTAATCTGCGTTATATAAATAACCCTTAGTGGAAAAGCCCATACTTCAAGCCATGACATACGCAACCAACTAAAAGAACGAAAGCCGTAGTCCATTTATCTGTCTACCTCCCACTCCCTTCGCCACCCAGAACCAACCGCGTGCACCAAAACCTACACCTTCCCTGGATAGTAGGCACCAGAACCATAACTCAATCTTCCCCAGGGCACTAATCCCGAAATCAGTTTTCTTTTGGAATAGTGTACATACTGCGGTTATCGCAACGGCCAAACATACACCGATTCTGAAACACCAAATGTACGAGTTCTTTTACCACGATGAAACCTTCTAGAAACAATAGGTTCTCCGCGCGCGGTACAACACATGTATCAGACAACGCCAGAGCTCCAGAGAGCTTTGGTTAAGTTTTGGTTTATATCAGAACCAAGTTAGATCATTACCTGGCCCGCCGGCACCTATTCATAAAAATCATGAATCACGCTACATATATATTGTTACGTCGTCTTGTCTTGACTGGCTAACAGAGACTAGTAGGGTTGAACACGTACGCATGACCGGATATGCCGTGACTTGACCGTGCAGGTTGTAAGCTGTAGTTAGATAACAGACAGTCAAAGTCAGTTCTAGAGCGGCGGCGCTGAAACTATAGTTCTTCTAGAACCCAGGGATTGCAAGCAAGGTAGATACCCCCCTTTTCGCAAAACAGCTGGAAGTTTTGTTTGACCCATTCCTCTCTCTACGTGACACCTAGTTGAGTCACATCACCTTGGTAGCTTAGGGGAAGAAAGTGGGAAACATCCCTCCCTTTGTTATCCCAGAAGCCGAGATTTTCCACCACATTCCTCTAGGCCTACATATCACGAGACGCTAGCAGCAAGCAACCAACAATGCGAGTGATACACTATGAAGAACTTTCCAGAACGGACCCTCCTGGATATATATATACCTACAACGCAACAAGTTCATCCGCAAGCCAGTACTCACTCACTACTACTGAACCATGCCAGGCCCACCCGCCACCCACCCGCAGATGCCAAAGCCAAAGCCAAAGCCCCTAGGTTGCATGCAATTAATGAATTCAACAAAAAAAAAAAAAGCCAAAGCCCCAGCGGCGCATCCCACGGACCGGCCCCGCCTGCGGTGTCCGACGCAACAGCAACAACAGCACACGCAGACCCGTGCGTCCAACCACGAAATTGCCATGGGCAACGGTAACAGCGGATATAGAGGAGTTTATTGTGCTGGGATGCGAGCGGCGTGGGACCGCGGGGAGGGGCGGCGGCGGCGGCGGCGCGAAGGAGCTTGAGAGGGGGGTGAGGGGGGTGAGGGGGCTAAATCTCAGGTCGGCAGACCATGGGGAAGAGGCCGTGAGGGTTTCTGTGGTATTTAGAATGCCATGGAAGGTGTCTGAGTATGAGAGGGCCCTGGCGCAGAGGGGGTACCGCCTGTTTGAGCGGTATGTGGTTGGTGCGAGGATGGCGGGGGATTTGGCGGTGCTTGTGAGTTTATCTCCGGTCTTTGCCTGTTTTGATATCTGGAGCTAGATCTGTGGAGGCATCCGCTCCCCAGTGGGATTTTGTGAGTGGTGGTGGTGGTGCCTACTGTTTGTTACTTATTAACTGCTGTTCTACGTAGAACTTCAAGTCCCCACTCGCCGTATTTATTGACGACAAGGTTAAGAACAGGGACCACGAGTGGTTTCTACTATTCTTGAATGACGAGGGCGAGGCTGTGGAGTACGGCGGTGTAAGTGGCAGGTCACAGAACCTGGGGAGGGACTTTGAGATGGGCTGGTATGTGGGTACTGTGGGTTTGTGTAGAGCCTTCTTGCCACTGCCATCCTTGTAGCTTGGTGTCTTCGATAGCAATGACAACACTGGGTGAGTTGTTTGTGAGTGTAGGTCGTTTAATTCCGACCATTTTCCCGCCGTCACCCTCTTTTTGCTGCCGGTGGATATAGCTCTAGTTCTGTTGTTCTGATTTAGCCAGCCCCTCCGTAAATAACACGTTTGGGGAGCGGCTGTATATAGAGAAATCCCGGGATACTTGTAGTAATTACCTACCTTGATCTTATTTCGCAGTTTTCAGTCATGTATGTCTGTTAATCATGTGATTCACGACCTTCACGGGATATCACTCGATTACTTAATCGTGTGCACGTAAATTCAATCGTCGTAGGGGGAATCGGGTGGTGTATCCAATCGCATGAATTAGCAAGGAGCCTGTAGAGAGGTATGTGTGAAAGAAGATGAAGTGTGGTAAATAAGACTTGTTTTGGTGGTGGTGAGAAAAGGAGAACTCTAGAATTGAACGAAGCCACCTATCGTAATGACAACATGCGGTGGTCCTACAGCCATGTGTAGATTGGCCTCTTCTGTTGTGTGAGAGAGATGTACCGCTTATCCCCGATCCCAACTATGGGGTGAGTGTGATAGGAGGAACCTCAGCCAAGAAAAGAAAAAGGATATAGCGAACTGGTACGAGTATTTTCATTTTGGGAGAGAATAATGTTTCGTATTAACTCGGGACATCAAGAATTGATTGCGGTTACCCATATTTTTTTTACCCCCTTTCATACAAGAATCAAAATGAACAATGCAATCAATGAATTAAACAAAAAAAAAAAAAAAAAGAACAAAAGGTACAGTCGTTTCTGGGTCAACGACGAACCCGGCTCGATGACGAGTGGCTACTTTTTGGGCTGATAGTCAGTCAAAGCAAAGGGGTCGGGGCGCTTTTGTTGGCTTTTATTGGCTTCGATTGGCCTATTCGCCATCGAACTGGTTTCGTCGTTGACCCAGAGACGACTGTACTGCAGATATGGCCGGACCCATATCTACTACCCCCACCCCTGGGTTGAACCATAGACCTTCTATAGACGTTCAAAAGTCGGCGCAACCACACGGTGTTCCGGAAGGCGAGTGTTACCCGTTAGGCCGCTCGCCCATGTGTGTTAAAGGCCAGGACTAATATTTGAACACCAAATTTGATTACCTGTACGTGACAAGTATGTGCTTTTAACACTACATGATATTGGATGAGCACTGTAGACTCCTTCACTGGGGACATACTTCTTATGGCCAACATGGGGGGTATGGTCAATCTTGAACATACGCCGGAGTGATAAATGATACACAGAGGCTCGGTCGATCGGCTCTAGCTCTATACCTCTTGGAATTGACTATACCCCCCCCCCCCCCGCGTGAAGGCGCATCCTGAAGAAACCAGCTAGCTAGGTGGCACATCTACCCCAGAAACACATCTACGAGGAATCCATGGATGGTAGGAACATGCAGTTTCGCCCCCCCCCCCCCCTTCCTCCCAGTGTGCATGTCAAATCTGAATAGCTGCAGTACCGTACCCGTCCTTCATCAAGTAAGTACAGCCACTCAGCAAAAGTGTTCGTGATATAGTTTTAATGTCGGTGCGCAGTGTGGCGCACCCGTAATACTGATGTTATTAAAGTTGAGATTCAAAACAACGAGAAATATATAATATAGTTCGTGATTATATATAAAAAGAGGATAGGTCATTGATCTTATTCTTCATTAACTTGGGCGCCATTGGTCACTGGGAAGGTCTTCTCTTGGGGGTTCTTGATGGCCCACCGCGGTTACATATGGAGAAATGTCTCATTCCGAAATCGGAATCACGAACACTTTTGCAGAGTGGCTGTACCTCACAAGGCACGAAGTGCCTTCTATTTCTTTTTCGGGCCCGTATATATGTATGTAGGCTTGATGTTTTTTTTTTTTTTTTTTTTTTTTTTTTTGTTTAATTCATTAATGTAGGCTTGATGTTTTTTTTTTTTTGTTTAATTCATTAAATGTAGGCTTGATGAGTTAGTATGGCCGGTGAACATATCGATCAGTATCTCGATACCTCTGTGTACATACATCCACCATACCAAGCGCCGGTGCCTCTTCATAATGTGTTGCCGGTTACTTCATCCTAGGTACAGCTTCGTTTCTCTTTCGGGGTACTAGGCCAATACAATCACATGACATCACTCGTTCTTGGCAATTAATCGCTCCGACACGTGCACTCCACGCTGAGTTTCGGCATCTACGACTACTACACTATCATGTGCCGGGACCTTTCTGGAGCGGCGATATATTTAATCTTGGACCAAACACTGCTTGGTGTAGTACTGTAGAGTACGTGGTGAGGCAAAAGCGCTATATGGACCAAGAGTGCCTCAAACAAAAAACTGAAGGAGAGGAGAAAGCTCCTCCAACCAAAGCTTAAGTCCTTCTTCATTATTCGGCCTAGCATGATCACGTAGGAGAGAGATATGCACTATATATTGTTCTTGTTAAATAAACACATTCTAAACTAGCTTTATAGATCTAACCAAGTGGAAACATTATTCAGATGCTGAGCTTGAACGCAGTCAACGGTAACTGTGTGCTCTGGTGTCTTTCCGCGGGGGGTTAAAGAGGGCTATATGCACAGCAATATTTGAAATGTGCTTCGATGTCAAGAACACCCCAGGCAGTGTTAGTGACGGTGGAAGGATAGAAGAAACTTGGCTGGTCTTAAAAAACTACATCATCTCAATCAACCAACCAACCAACCAATCAATCAGTCGTAGCTGGTCCGGCCACTTATACCTCCAACTCCAACAACACACGTAGCCAGACACGATCCAGCAATACCCAAGGCCACATCCCGATATACCCAAACCCACCCCATAGCAGTCATAAACTTATACCTATAATATCAATTAAAGAACCACCTACCCCCCCCCCCCAACTATCTCCCCACATCGTGAGGAAGCTCTACAAGACCCCATCATATGCACTTCCCCACTACCCTCCCCCCACCTCCGGCAGCCCCGCCGCAAAGCTTAGCCTCGAGGGCAGCCGCTCCCCCCACCCCGACACATTCGACGGCCCGCTGCCCCCCGCACCGAGTAACTTCCCACGCACAAGCCTCCCTCTGCGGCCGCGCCCCACCGTGCCCCCGCGGCCCATAGGGCGGGCTGCTAAGCCCCCGGCATCTAGCCAGCCCACAGAAGCAGCAGCAGCGAGGGTGCCGTACAGCTCACTGGCGACGGCAAAGCTAAAGGCGAGCAAGAGCGTGCCGGCAGAGAAGCTGCTGGAGGCGCGCAACTCGTGGAAGCGGAAGCGGAAGGCGAGGCTGCAGGGCGCAGTCAAGGCTGAGTCTGACATTCTGCGGAGGAACCCCGAGTATGGCGGCGGCGGTGGTGGTGGTGGTGGTGGTGGTGGTAGTGGGGATGCAGGGGTTTGGGATTTGGGGAAAGGTGGTGGTGGTGGGAGCTCGTTGATCTCGGCCAAGTCGAAGAATCGGTTGAAGAAGATATTTGGGATCGAGCCCGAGTCGGAGGACGAGGGGGTGCCCGTGGAGGAGTTTCTGCAGAAGAAGCCTGTGGCGGTTCGGGGGCCTGAAGGAGGAGGAGGGGGAGGAGGATGGGGAGTTTCTTCAGGCTCGAGAAGCGGCGCGGATCGTTCGGCGAATCTGTATGATAAGATGGGGTTGACGGTGCACAGGGAGAGGTATATGGCTTCTCGTGCCTCGCGGGAGGAGGACAAGGAGGACTTCGACGAGCAGTCGCTCTTGCATGGGCTGGGAAGTGAGAGACGCAAGCTGAGCGCCCATGCAAAGAAACTGACCTTGTCGGAGCTTCAAAGCCGCTATGATGCCTATCGCGAACGCAAGAGTTTTGAGAAGGAGGCAGAGATCATTAGGGTCCACACAGCACCCGAAGAACTCTACAAGCTGAATCCTCACCATAAGGAGCATCATAATCATAAGTTTACAGATGCTGCGAGACGCGGAATGAAATCTGCAAAGGAGGAGGTGAATGTGTACAAATACACTCGGCGCAAAGAAAGAGACGACTCTGAAGAAAAAGCTGGGGCCCGCATTGTCAACGCCATGAGAACAGCAAAGTCCCGGTTTGAGAATAGGGATGCGGAGCGAGAGGCAAAGCGACAGGCAGCTTCGAGGCCGAAACCGCGTGCCATTCAGCCCGGTGCGTGGTCTCGATCGTATTCCGCCCCCCATGTCCCGGTGTTTTCCTCCCCGTCCTATACGCAGCCGGACCAGCCATATCTTGAGGCAGATAATATCCAATCTCCAAAGGCTTTGGGCCCGCAGCTGCCTGCTGAGCCTGTGGAGAGGAGTCGGGCATATTCGCAGGTTTTCCCGGCAAGGCCGTCTCCTACGTATCGTCCGACCCTTTCTCCTGTGTACTCAAAGTCACCAAGATATACAAGCCCACTTGTTTCGGGCTCTTCGGATGAGAGGAAGAAGGCAGAGGTGGCGGTATCTGTGTCCACTTCTACGGATATGCAAAATGATATGGTAACGGCGCATTCTTTCCTTGATCCGCCCAAGTCTGCGTCAAGCACCGCTCCGCCGATTCCGGAGAGGTCGGAAGCTAGGCTTAAGAGCAAACCAATAGACCTATCACCATTAACTAGTTCGACCGTGAAACAGGAGGGGGTTCTTCAATCCGCAAGTGAGATTTCCAGTCTCAGGCAAAAGCGCTCATATAGCGGGCACCAACGATCATTGACCGCCGACGACGAAATACCGCCACTGGAGCTCCCTCCACCAGATGCCAACCTCGCCACAGCTACAAGAGAAGTACCCCCTCCCGGCTCACGCCATTTCAAAGCAATTCCTCCACCCCAAAACACCCCCTCCAGCTCGCACATATCTCCCGACCCTCGCGGCCCCCACCCCCACCGCCACCACGCCACGCACCCCACCATCGAAATCGCCAAAACACCCACCTCCTCCGCCCTCGAGTTCTGGGCCGCCGCCGACGCCTCCCTCCACCCCTCCGAGTCGGCCTCCGCGCAGCCCGCAAGCCGCCGCAAGGGCGAGCCACCGCCAGATATATGGCGCGACGCAGACCGCTCCCTGAACCTGCGCAAGGGCGGGCCGACGATGGAGGAGTGGATCGCGAGCCTCCCGGGCCTCGGGTTACATCTGGGCCCGTGGGGCGATGATGCGGGGCTGGATGCGAGGGTGCTGGAGGATCTGAGGACGAGGAGTCCGCAGTCGTCGACGATGCGTGGGAATGAGGTGTTGAGGGCGGAGCTGGTCGAGAGGATTAGGGAGATGGATGAGGCGGCGCCGGAGACGGAGGAGAAGGAGGAGGTGGGTGAGGAGGAGGAGGAGATGGCGCCGGAGATGATGGAGGAGCTTGTTCCGGAGGATGAGAGGGGCTCTGATGACAATGACGATAATCAGGAGGAGGATGAGGAGGCGGAGGTGAATGTTCCGCTGGCGGTGGTGGACCCGGCGCTGCTGCACCCGAAATATGTTCCTAGCCTGTCGCGGGGTGGTGGTGGGAGAGGGGGTGCGCTACCAATGGCGAAGGCGCGGATGCCGAGGACGGCGTTCAAGGAGATGGATTTGGCGGGAGATGTGACGGAGAGGTTGGAGGCGCTGGAGCGGTATTGGGATGAGCAGGGGATGATTGTGGGGTCGGTGCTGAAGCGGATGTTGTGGATTGTGGATAGCATTATTGTGAAGGAGAGGGAGGATGCGCAGCGGGTGGTGAGGCGGATGGAGATGGGGTGGGGGGAGAGTGATGATGATGATGATGATGATGATGATGATGATGATGATGATGATGATGGTGATGATGATGATGATGGTGATGATGAGGAGGAGGAGAAGGAGTAGGAGGAGGAGGAGGAGGAGGAGGAGGAGGAATATGAAGAGGAGAGGAGGAGGAGGAGGGTGAGTGAGAAGCTGTGATCGGGACTGGACTTAGCTACATGTAGCCAGCTGGCCCGACGGGATTTGCGCATGTAGAATTAATCGAGTGTGCGCCCAGCGACAGATCAGCGGAGTGCTTATTAGACCTTTCTCTCTTTCCGCTATCGGACCAGCGCTCTCGTCCCGTGTGTCTGGGTCTGGCACATACAATATACATGTATGTGTATAATATATCCCCAGCTCTCATGAGACCGATGGGCGCATGAACCCTTCTAGAAGAACCAAGAACCAATGTAGGCAGACACACTTCATCACGTAGAGCACATACACACACCCAGCCAAAGCACTACAATCCCCCGAGAACCCGACCAAGTATCCTAGACCCGCACAGAAGAAAAAAAAACTGAGTCTGAGACCGAGTCATATCCCATGATCGGGAGGTAGAAGATGTACTCTCGGGTGCCACCGCATGTATGTATGTATGTATGTATGTATGCAACAAAAGTTACACCCGGACATGCAGGGTGAGGACCCACTCATGTAGACTCGCACACTCGCACTCGCGCTCGCACTCGCACTCACACAGCCGGCCGTCGGGCGGGATTGTTGTTGTTGGCTCATGCGTTGTGTTGTGTTGTGTGATTGGGGATTAATTGGAGAGTGGTGATTGGAGAGAGTGGACTGGTGGAGAGTGGTGATTGGGCTGGGGAAGGCATGATGGTGATGTGATGGGTGGGCTTATGCGCTGCTATCTTATCGATATCGATATGCCCCTTCCTTGGGTGAGCTGGGCTTGGGTGAGCTGGGCTTGGGCTTGGGCTTGTGGTGAGCGTGAGCGCTTAGTAGTATCTAGTACCTACTGGGGACCGATATGTGTGGTTGTGGTTGTGGTTGCGGGTGCTGTTGGGTTGGATGGATGGATGGGGAGTTACACCCGGGGGTTACATTACACTTTCACTATTGGCAGAGAAGTGTAATTGAGTGAGATATCAGGCTCATTATGCCCGCAGCTAGCCCGCAGATGGAGGGAGAGGAGGGGGTTGTGCAGCAGCTAGCTAGACTAGACAAAGGAATGCTGATGGGATGGATGCCCTTTGTTGGTTTTGGGTTTTGGGTTAGGTTTGGGCTCACATCATCTCTCATTGCTTAGGGTCTGTACATGTTCGGTCGGCACAAAAATCCATAGATTGGTTGCAATCTATGGATTGCAACCAATTCAACGTCAACCGAACGCAGCCTTAATTGCCTAGCTAGCAGAGAGAGTGGTGTGAGGTGATGTGAGAGGTAAGGTGAGGTGAGGTGCGGTTTAGCTACAGTGCGTGACAGCGTTAAGGTGGAGTAGTGGAGTAGTGGAGTAGTGCTTGGCGGGCACACGAGCACGGACACAAACACTCACTCACTCACTCTGGGCGTTGAATTACATGCAAGCCCCACAGTACTTTCCATGTTATCAGGGAAGTACCTGTGCCTATTTCCATCTCTGCACTTTAGATATCAGGAACAAACTCGACGACGACGACGACGACGACGACGACGAGACCCGTTCCTTCCGTTACAACACTTGAATCCAATACCCACTCGCAGGCAGGATCGGGCCCATAATATCACGGCTCATCCAATCGCAATGGAGCGCTCCCGGGAAATCAGGAAATCAAAGCGGGATGATGTGACAGCTAATTATAGGGCTGAAAAGGCCGAGGAGATTTAAGGATTGTACATATGTAGGTACTACTTCAGAAAAGGAGAGGAGACGATAGGAGAGGAGAGGAGGGAGGTACTGTACGTATATGCAATCTCTGGGACTCGTGGTCGGTAGAGGACTGCCTGGTACCTGCATACAGCGTTAGTATTAGTATTACATGTACATATGTAGTATTAGCATTAGTATAACGGCAATGCAGTTAGTGGTTAGTGGTGGTGGTGGTGGAAACTTGGAGTGATCAGATGCACGCTCAGCATGTCGCTCTTATCACCGACTGTCACGACGGCTACCTGGATCGTGCCTGTCTCTTTCTGCAGCCCATATCCACATCCATATCCATATCCATACCCCCCCCCCCCCCCAATTGTACCTACATGTAGGCATGTACATTCTCGACCATTGGTATAACGTTGACTGACATAAAACGACACAGGGGCCCCCCATGGCCCCCAACACTCCTTCCTCCCTTCTCCCTACGACCTTGAAATTTCCGAAGGCTAGTAGAGGACGTCATGTGTCAATGGGGACAAAACAGAAAGAAGAAAAAAAAGCCACACCGAGGCTCCGGGTGAATGGACCGCCCCCCTTTTGTACCTATTTGGTGGAGGTGGATGGGGGATGGGGGAGTTGCGAAATATTGCGAGAGAGAGAGAGAGAGATGGCGCGGCGGTGGACAGTTAATTAAGGCTAGGGGGAATTGGATAACTCTAAACCAACCACGAGGCCGGTGGTGTTTGGTTTGTTTTTAACGTGGTGGGTATGCGTACTCTGCTCTGCGTGTTTGTAGACGTTACTAGTGCTCTGTGGCCATGGCCTGGGGCCAATCACTCGAGTTTAAAGCAGTTGTTGTGGTGATACGGCCATGGTGATGGTGGAAAACAGGAGACACAAACAATGCACTACGCATATTTTCTCTACTCAATCTCTGCATATACCTACAAGCGTTTCCACAATCTCCCGAGGCAGGCTAAAAACAAAACAAAACAAAAAACCCTCAGCCCAGAGTACAGAACCCGTGATCTGGCTGCCTGTACCGGTGCTGTACCTACATAAGCGAAAAGGCGGGGATCCCCTCCCCGGCCTTCCTTCCTTTTCATCCCCCGTTCCCCGCCGCTAACTACATGTATGTACTGCTCTACATACATACCCGTTGAGAATGACACACACACGCCCAGAGCTGCGAGTGATTTGTAGCGGTACATGATGCGCCTGTTGTCACATACATCTACTTGCAGTGTGACTTTTTGTCCCGCGCGTTTCATTCATGGAGTGGATGGATGGATGGGGTTGAATGGGTAGAGTACATACTGCAGGACTGACAGGACATATATTCAGGTACCGTACGTACCTTTCGATTGCAATCAATCAAATAGGATTTAAGGTACACACTCTGTAGGCGTGGGGGTGAGATATATGTAGGTACATGTAGGGTAGGTTGAATCTCTTCTCGGTACTACATACATGTAATTCAAGATTAAAAAACCGATTCCCTCTACTCTCCTTCCCGCCGGAAGCACGAGAGCATCCGCATCCGCATCCGAACGGGCGGGCATACCGGCATCATTAATCATCGACATCATCATCATATCAGATCATGCAAGGAACCGGGCAATCAAGCAGGCAGGGCTTTTTTAAAATTTCAACATCTGGATATTTTTTCTTTCTTTGCTTTGCTTTCGATCTCTTCTGGTATCTAAACCCGACATGACCATTATATTGCAGTAACTATTGCAGGTTGCAGGGCAAGGAGGAGGAGAAAGGTCTTCCAACAACATACCAACCCTTCGCGATGGGTGATTGTCTCATCTCACACTCGCTCACTGGTGATCACTCGGTTGGTTGGTGCCGAGTGAGCAGTTAACTACATGCAGAAACACTCCGGCCGCCGTATCGTGTCTACTTCCCTACTACCTCTGTCTAAGCAGCAAGCAGGTTACTCGCATAGCATTCCTCTCAAGATAACGTGGCCAGCTAGAGATGTAACATCATCACACAACACACACCCACACACCCACACACGCAATCGATTACCGATGACGATGGGGAGGGATGGGATGGGATTTATTTTCAGCAACAATTTGCAAGACCCTCTAACTCTCTGTCTCCCCCGCAGCAGCCAACCAAAGCAGCTGCACCAGGATGCGAAGCTAGCAAAGGGAAGATCAACCAACTGGAACCTTGACGACTAACCAACCAGCTGCTCTCAACAGCCGCCTTCTGTTCGGAGGCAATTGGGCAAAAGAGTGAAAAACTCCGATGAAAATCCCTTTTATTTTTTCTCTGCTTTTGCTTTGCTTTATGAAGTATGTAGCGGCGGATCATCTGGGAATCTTATGCTTTGCTTTTCTTTTCTGCGGTGCCACTGGCGAGGATTTGATAAGGCCGTGGATGATCATGGGCGTTTAAACACACACTACACTGTTACGTCTCTAGTTAGGGTTGCTGCTTAATCGGAGGAGTGAACAGGTATTGGGATGTTCTAACTCAAACATGGACAATTTCCATTTGCCCACTACCGGAAACACAAATATATGGTTACAATTCAGGACGCCAGAGGCGGGAGTGTCTTAATAAAAAAAAAAAAACGATATGGTGCTTTTTTGTTGTGATTAGAAAATTTAAATGTGAAAGAGGAGGAGGGAGGCGTACCTGACTGACTGACATGGGTAAAACGCATTATTTGAGGTTCCAACGTCGATATTTTACCGGTCTACAGATGTCACAGCAGCCAGCCTATCTATCTGGCTTTTTTTGTGTGTTCCACACACAGTGCCTACATACAGCTCCTATCTCATCTTTAGGGGAGGGGGGTTAGTTCGCCTCGAGAAGAGTCAGCCGGATATGAAAGAAAGGATCGGTGGGTCTGGCCAGGCTCATGGTACTCTCGGATAATTATCCTAATACCTCGCCTATTTCGAAATCGGAAGCGGCGTAAACGAGGTTGATCAATGGCTGGGGCGTGGGGAGGAAGGTTACTCAGTGAGGAGGAGGAGGACTAGGAGGGTTCACAAACATCAGCTTCTTCTTCTTCCCCGCATTGAAGGGCGTCACGGGGCAGTTCCCCCCAATATGAGGATGAGGAAGGCATATAAACCCTATTCTTAAATATATCACTTTAGGATGCAGGTCGAGACATTGAGTATATGATTCTGGCCTTGACCATGCAGTGCCAACCATGCACTTCCCACCATGCAAATACTGGAATTCGTAGAGAGGAACCCATTGATTGATATGCAGCCCTGGGAGACGTTCCTTTGACGAAAGACGAACCCGTGAGTACGTTGCGGATAGCATGAATTTCAAACAAAAGAAAAGGGATGCTCATATCTGCATGCCCCCCATGGCTATTAACGCGCGACAGGGTGCCACAAGCAAAGCACAAGTCAAAACCCGGCCGCTTTGATCACTCGTTTTACTGACACACGCTAAAGCCCCTGATCCGCACCGCGCACCCTCTCGCTCACTTGTCATTTGTGAACGCCACCACGAGGAAGGGGAAAGAAAAAGCAAAGAGGCTGAGAGGTTTGGGGAATTGGCCGAGGAGAGACGATGAGTGGATGGTAGGAAGACAGCTCATCAGGCGTCCTGTGGCACTGTATTTTAGAAAATGAGAATCAGGAAATGTGGTTAAGCATCTGGATTTTTCGTGTTCGAACACTCCTTCTCTCTTTTGCATTCTCTTTTTCCCCCGCTTCGTGGGAGTGTTTTTTTTTTGTACCTGCATATTCACCCTCCTGCAGAGTATCTTTTTTCCCTTCCATCATACCCAAAATAACGACCCCCATCCCATCCCATCCCATCGAACGTGTTAGTGCTGGTACATACATTACCGTCCCGGGCCTAACTTGATCAGGGTTCAGTTGATAAGCTTAAGGATCGGAAACCGTTTTTTTTTTTGATCAAGTCAACCGCAACCACATTTGAATCTGTAATTCATCGTTCTCTCTCTGTTTTGTATATAGGCGGGGCCCGGGGCTGACCTTGTATTTTCTTTACGCTGGTGGGGTTCTCGGAAGTGTAGTTTTTTTCTTATTTTTATTTTTTCTTCCCTGCTCGAGGGTTTTTTTCGGCGTAAGCTTGATTGAGACTGATTAATATTGTTCTACTGCTGGTACAGTTGGAGGGAGCGAGTGGGGTTTTTTTTTTTTTTTTTTTTTTTTTTTGGTAAAAAGCAAGGAAACGAATTAAGCAAGAGGTGACGAAACAAAAGCAGTATTGGAAGTAGAAAGAACACGAAGAGGAAGGATATTTTGTATACGTACTCCTCATACGACGTCCCGTCTCATTCCATCATATACCTACAGCAGTAGCAGCTGGCAGCTCACGATAGCGATTATCCCATCTGGCGAAAAAGTAACACTCACCCGCAGCTGCCGCCCTTACAACCCGGTCTCATCTGGTCTTGGAACTCGGACGTACTGTCTTCATACTCTAGATAGGCACTCTAGCTGGGAGACACTGCATAATATTCTTCCATAACTCGATCTTTCTCTGTACTGCAGCAGCAGGCAGCATCACATCAGCAGCACCAGCAGTAGTTGGAATTCCCATTATCACGCCGGTCTTTTAAGATAGTCTAAATTTAAACAAAAGCTAGCTACATACATAGATCTACTCACTTTTGCTTGTCAACTGTCACATATCTATCCGGCGGCGGCTCATCAATCATTGCTTTTTTTCCTTCGGTCGATTTAGTTGTATGGTTGTTCTTCCTCCCCCCCTCCTCTCCACCCCTTCTCACCTTTCTCCTTCCTCGTGGGAAGAAAAAAAGAACTGGGCTCATCTTTTTACTTCATGCTACGATACTGACCAGCAGATAGTTAGAGTGCAGTGGTAGATCTTGGTTCTGCTCCTCCCCCCACCCCTGGCAGGGCCCTACATACCATACCTCTACATACAGCACCCTACCTACTACCTGCTACTACTACTGCAGTCCCGGCAAACAGGCAGGCAAGCAAGCTTCTGCAAGCACGCACGCGCTCTCTTCCATACAGTACTCTACCTCTACCAGCAAGCAAGCAAGCAAGCAAGCAAGCATCAATCAATCAATCTATACTATCGGGCCCCTCTCCCCTTCCCCTCCCCCATACATCCACACCCCTTGAAATAATTGCTCCAAAAGAATACCAATTCTGGAAAAATAATTAAATAATTAAATTAAAAAAAAACAATACTCGGGGGACAAAGAAGAATAACGGGGGATTAAAAAATATATTCAAGGGCACATTAAGGCAAGGCAAGGCCTAGGGGAGACAGAGACGGAGATAGAGAGAGAATTCTACATACCCACCACGCCCTAGAATGTCGCACCGGCCCCAAACGATGCCACCAGCCTCTGGTCGCGGTGGTGGAGGCCGGGGGCAGGAATTGCAGCAACTGGAACACCAGGATCGGCTGCGGGACCTGAACGCTACCAGACAGCAGCAGCAACACCAGCAGCAGCAGCAGCAGTATTACTACAACCCACACCCGCCGCACCCACCACACCCTCAGTTTTACTACCAGCAGCAGCAGCAGCACCAGCAGCAGCACCAACCCCAAGCTTTGAATTCGCGGGTGCTAAATAGGAGTAATTATAGCAGAGAAGCAGACGCAGACGCAGAAGCAGCAGCAGCTCTAGAACAAGAAGAACAAGGAGTGGAACAGGCACGGAAGGAATTACTAGCTGCTGCTAATACAACAACTAGTGCAAGACTACTGCCCCAACAGTCACCGCGCTTCCCACCACCGTCGCCTGCACGCGCTCGCGAACCACAACCGCAGAGACACACTCAACCGTTACTACAACCACCGCCACTGCTGCACGATTATAGAGAAGGAGGAGCTGGTAGGACTACGGGAACGGGGGAGTATTATAATAACAATAATACTTCTACTCTTACCGCAAATACGAATACAGGAGGAGGTGGAGGTGGAGGCTTGATCACAATTACTACGCCTGCAAGATCTACATTCAACCACCGGCAGCCACAGCCAGGTACGCCCACCACCACAAGTGTTTCTGTTTCTCAGCACCAGAACCAACTTGAGAGGTTAGCGGTGGAGGCTTCCCACATTGCCGGTGTGCTCTCAGGGACGTATCCCTTGAAGAATAGTAATAATAATAACTCTCCCACTGCTGCTTCCACTGCCACAGAGCACTACAACCCTCACCATAACCACCAGCACCAACCCCCCAGCACTCCCTCGACACTCACATACCCCTCGGTTCCAAAATCCCTTTCCAACAACATCAATACCAACGCCAATACCAACACCAACACCAACAACGGCAGTGGTAAGCCACAACAGCAGCAACAGCAACACCTTTCGGTTCCAGAGGTCCTGCTGTCGACCGCCGCAACATCCCCAATGCCGCCCTCACAGTTCACGAACCGCCCCCCGCCGCGCACCTCCTCCATCGACTCGGCCATCTCAACAGTCTCCCGTCACTCCGCTGATGGAAACAACACCAACGGCAGCAGCAGCAGCAGCGGCAGCTCAGCCCCTACACCCGCGGATATCCAGACGCTGATTGAGACAGCAGGATCAGCAGAGGCCCTGATCGGCTATATGCTAAAGGAGAAGGCGTCGGCGGCGACGCAGAATGCACAGCTGTGGAAGCTGGTGGATAAGCAGCGGGCCATGATCCTAGGGCTCAACAAGGATCTCGAGCAGGCGCTCAAGGACAAGGACCGGTATCGCAAGAAGTTGAAGGAGCAGCTAGGAGTTGTCCCGCCAGTGCCGAGTTCGTCGGCGGCGATCATGGCGGCAAGGGCCACGGCGGCGGTGGAGAGCGCGGAGGAGCACGAGGACTTACCGGTGGAGAGCTTCTCGCTAGTTAGGTCCGAGTCGATGCCGCTGCCGGAGCGAGGGAGGGTGTTCGGTGGCGGGCTCGAGATTTCGTATCCGGAGGCTATGGAGACACTGGAGGAGGGGCCGTCGTCGCCGACTGCGGCTCGCAACGGAGCGTTCACACCAGAGAGTGTCAGGACACCGCTGGGCAGCCAACACTCCGACTCGACGAGCTTGAAGGAGGGGAGTGGTTTTGCGCCGCTGTCGCCGAGGCTTCAGGAGATGTACGTGCCAAAGGATGAGTCAGGAAACGCTGACAATGCTCCATTCCAGTACCCGGTGAGTTCTGCAAAGATCGCGTCGAGGGCTCATCATTTGATGAAGTTGGGTATCTCGACAAACGTCGCGCCTGTATCCGGACTTGGGAAATCACCAATTAGAAAAGCACCGCCAGCACCGCTGGCACTGACTTCACCTCTAAGTGAAACCAGGGCCCAGCTTCATTCAGAGGATGAGGAGGAGGACGATGAGTACGAGGACGATAATGTGTCGATCAGCGAGATACCGGGGTATCAGCAGCGGGCAGAGACAGAGGGAGAGGTTATCGTAACGCAGGAACACAATGATGAGAGCGTGAGCATTGAGAGGATGCCTGCCTATGATAGACGCACCAGCTGGACGCACACACCTATAGACAAGAAGGGCCCGCCAAGTCTAGCGCTTCTACCGAGTGTAAATATACCACATGCCGCGCCGACCCCGCGCTTGCAGGACCGTCAGGCGATGTCACTTGCGCCACCAATGGTCCACAACGGAAAACCGTTTTCTCCAGGCCTCGCCGCCGACGGCTCGGGCATCCGACAGCAGTTTGCGAGAGCCCCGTTGCCGAGTCCTGGGCTGCCAAGTTCCCCAAGACCAATTGACAGGCCTATGAACTCTCCCAAGCCCAAGCAGCGACCCCAGTCTCCCGGCTCTCCCAGGACCAGCCCGTTGTCCCCACGCCTTGCTGTTGCCCCGGTGCCGTTTCAGCCTAGTACGCCGCGCGGGCTTATGCCACAAAGCTTGAATGCGCCATTGCGCTCGCCGCTCCCCAGAGGCCATGAGAAGAGCGACTCGACGACCAGCCAGGGCTCGCTGGAGGACCAGGTAATAAACCTAATTATTCAGCCCAGCGCCATCAACTCCGTCGACTGCCGAGTAGTCTCCTCGCGCATGCGCCCCTCCCGAGCCAGTATGCTCCCCGGTAGCAAGCCAAGAGTGTCGGAAAACGACTCTGTATTCACACTCGGCGTATTTGCGCGGGGAACTGGCGGCGAGATTCTGCGTGTTGAGAAGGATGTCGGCGCACTCCCGGCACTAGACGCAGTCCTCCGCAGATTCATTACTTTCAACGCCAAGCTTCCGGACCGCGCGCTATTTACAGGCCACGCTCCGGCAAGGATCGACTCTAGGAGGGCAGCTGTGGATGAGTATTTTGCGGGAGTCCTGGGAGCGACGATGGATGAGCGTGCGGCGTTGGCGCTGTGCCAGTTTTTCTCGACTGACGTCGTAGATCACATACCTAGTGCCGACGTCGCAGGGTCCTTTAAGGATGGCAGCAGCATTGCCAGTGGTGTGCAAGGGAAGCCGCATAAAGAAGGATATCTCACCAAGCGCGGCAAGAATTTTGGCGGTTGGAAGGCACGCTACTTTGTGCTCAACGGACCGGTGCTGAAATACTACGAGGCCCCCGGCGGCGCGCACTTAGGCCAGATCAAGCTTCAGAGCGCGCAGATTGGGCGGCAGTCACAGAGCCAGAAGGTAAAGGAGCCTTTGGAGGGCGAGACCGACACGGAGAGCCAGTACCGTCATGCATTCCTCATTCTGGAGCCGAAGCGGAAGGATTCATCAACGCTTGTGCGACACGTGCTGTGTGCGGAGAGTGATGCCGAGAGGGATGAATGGGTCGAGGCCCTAATGCAGTATGTAGATAAGTCAGATGCGGCAGAGGATGCGTCGGGCAAGGAAGGCAGGGAAAAGAAGAAGCGCTATGGACCAAAGCACAAGGACAGCAAGGACTCGCAGACCATTGAACAGGATAAGCTACATGCGCTGGGATACGAGCAGACCACGCCTGGCCCCGAGCCTGCGCGAGGCCCTACACCGGAAGAGCTCCAGAGGATGCGGAACACCCCGTCGCCCCAGAACTCAATCTCCTCGTCAATCATCGCCACGCAGTCCTCCTCGACCATTACAGCACCGACACTCCAGCCTGCCCCGGAGCGCACGGCACAGGTAAAGCAGATCTCGGCGCCAACTAACGGATCTGTAATTTCGGATCTCGCAGCGTGGGGTGCGAAACTGACACACAGCGAGCAGAAGGCGGCGAAGAAGCGCAGCATCTGGGGATTCAGACAAAGGTCGTCGTCGGATCTGGATAACCATCATTTGGGAGGTACGCCATATCATCAGATTGGAGAAAGGCTCAACAGGAGTGTCTTTGGTGCGACGTTGGAGGAGGCTGTTCATCTTAGTAAGCCATTTGGCGTTACGGTGTCACTGCCGGCTGTCGTGTATCGATGCATTGAGTACTTGGAGGCCAAGGATGCGGCGAGTGAGGAGGGTATCTTTAGGTTGAGCGGTTCGAATGTGGTTATCAAGGGCTTGAGAGAGAGGTTCAATACTGGTAGGTGGCCCCCACCCCCGAGTTTGTAGGTGAGATGCTAATCGGGTGTAGAATCCGATTTCAATCTCCTGAATAATGACGAGTACTACGATGTGCATGCGGTTGCGGGACTTCTGAAACTATATTTGAGGGAGCTGCCGACAAATGTTCTCACCACGGAGCGAAGGGAGGAATTCGTCAAGGTTACGGAGATGGATGATAAGGCAACCAAGATTAAGGCTTTGAATGAGCTTGTCCATAGCCTGCCAATTGAGAACTTTGAGCTCTTGAGAGCTCTATCAGGACACCTTCTGAGGATCGTAGAGAACTCTGACGTCAACAAGATGACAATCAGGAATGGTATGTTGAAGTCATATATGCGCGTTTGTCACTTGTGGAGTGCTAATGTTCTTATTATGCAGTTGGTATCGTGTTTTCTCCGACACTCAACATCCCTGCCCAGGTTTTCTCCATGTTCCTCCACGAGTACCGCCACATCTTTGTACGCCCCGAGGAGCAATACCCCTCGGAGCATGAGCCCCCACAATCACCCTCCCGCGAGGCCCACGACAATCGACCCACGATCACTGGCCCGATGCAGCAATCCGCGCAACCACCCCAGCAACAACTCCAGCAGCAAACTCAACAGCAACCCCAGCAACAACCCTCCACTCAGCAGCAACAGCAGCAACAGCTGATCCACCACCCTGGCCCCGTCCCTGGTACACCAGGGCTTCCACTCAAGACGCCGCTCCCAAACCTAGTGCAGGAGCCGCAAACACCGAGGACAGTTGCGGCGAGCTACGAGCCCGACTATTCGCAAATGTTTACGCCATCACAGTCGGAGTTCCCTAGGAGCCCGCTACCAGTCGAAGTCACACAGGGAGAGTCGGCGAGTGGACTGTCGCTGCCAGAGAAAGGGGGTAGGCAGAGGAGGAGAGAGAGCTCCATGATGTTCATGATGGGGGGCATGAGGAATAAGAATTCATTTGTGGTACCGAAAGGTTAGTAAATTCGACTTGATGTTTTTTCTTTCTTTTTTGGAGATGAATGCTGATTGATGATGTGGTTGTGTAGCGATGGTAATGGAGGATAGTGTGTATGAATGATTTCTTTTTCATTCATTACCTCTTCGCCGAAGTTGAAGAAAAAGTTTTTTTAATCATAATGGGAAACACGGGCACTTGTTCTTTTCTTTTTTGCTGGAGTTCTTTCGTTTTTGTTTCTTTTTTTTTTTTGCGTGTTTCCTTGCGTTCTTTTTTTCCAGGTCCAGGGGCTCGAGGCTATTTTCTTGCCATTTACTTTTTTCCCTTTTTTCCTTTTTCTTACTTTCTTCGTTTTGGTTTTCTCTGATCTATACCCACCCTCTTTTTATATCTCTCTTCTTTTTTCTTTTTTCTGCTCAAAAATCCCTTGCTTTGGGGGTTGGGGGATACGCGTATATGGTAATATTTACATTACCTACGGTATAACTACGGATGAGGGCCAAGTATGGGCTTTCGAATAGTGGGGAACGGTTATCTGATTAGCTGGCTGATATGTATGTTACTACTCTTTTCTTCTCCCTTCCTATTCGCTTTTCTTTGAAAGGGGAGGGGGATTGATAACCCTTCTTCTTCACTGATCTTATCTTCTTTTTGTGATATTATTTTTTTTTCTTTTCTCCTTCTTTCTTGTGGGATATATTCCACCCACACACACCACACGTACCTTGTTGTAAACAAATTTTTCTTCTTTTTTCTTTTGGAAGCTGGGCTGGTGGCTAGTCGGATAGATTGGGCTTTTAAGCTTCACCTTTTTTTTTCCTTTCTTTTTTTTTTCTAGCTTTTTTTTGGTGGTGGTGGTGGAATATGAGAGGGAATGAAAAAGAGTATCTATATGGGCTATGTATTGTGCCATAGGCTTTTTTGATCGATGTTTTGGTATTGTATTGTGGTGTTTTGTTGAGGGTGGTGGTGCGAGTGCCTGCCAAGAACGAGTGATAGCGTGTGAACAGTCCTGCCCTCCCCGCCCTATCCAACCCAACCCAGCCCAGCATAGCGTAGCGTAGTATAGCACAGCCCAGAAACTAAGTATGGAGACCGAATACAATCACATCCTAAAAATCGCAGTACTCTCTGTAGTACATGTTGTTAGACCTCTCTCGTTGTTTGGTCTGGTCACCCCATGGTACATACACACTCGTATGTATTTAAGATCTTGAGAACAAGGCTTTGTCATTCGGACGAAAAGGTTGGCTGAGACACGTTAGTACTTGTAAGTGTTAGTACAAGTACACACACAATGCTCGCTGTGGGTTAGGTGTGGTTTCTTCAGTGATTCACCTATTGGTGTTAGTCACGTGCAAGCAATCAACTTTGGCGTAGCGGTCAAATATCACTTGCAGCCGAAAACACACATGGGCGAGTGGTCTAACGGTTAACCCTCGCCAAAGAACACCGCGAGGTTTAGCCCTGCTTTCGATCACAGAAGGCCAGGGTTCGACCCAGGGGTGGGAGTAGTGCCCATTCGTCCCGGAACCGCACAGTACTTTTTGTTCTTTTTTGTGCCACCCAAAACGTACCGTCCCCTTCAGTGGGTCAACCTCACTTTAGGATGCTTCTCCCATTATACGCCGTAGTTTATGATATACCGTCTAGTTTATAGGACTTATATATACGTAGTACATGTACTTACCTTTCTATATTCCGTTAACAATATCTCCCACCCCATTAGTGATACCTCTCAATACTTCGTCTATAGGGTGTTATATGCCGTTTGGGGTCTTTTTTTATTTTGGGTGAGCCCGTTGCCACGCAGAGGTCAAGGCTAGGTTCCGCTCTTGGCCAATCAGAGGGCGAGTAGGTTCGCAGAATTAAGGACAGTACATATTAGGTTGCGGGCTCTTGGTGCCCCATCCGGATGACCCATAGATAAAAATGACAGCCCCCGTTCAATCCTTTATATCTTCGCCGTACAATAACGGTGTGTAAAATTCTAGCTACGTGAAGGAGTTGGTGGGGCTAGAAAGGGGAGGTGGAGGTCACAAAAGGCTAAAAATTTTCACGAAGTGCGGGTTAGATTCGCTAGAGATAAAGGGCTGCCGAAGGGGACAGGTAAGCCAATTATCATCGATACAGATGAATGGATCGCCAGCCCCCCACCATCTCCCCCAGCACCCTACCTACAAGTCCTATTGCTGGCCCGCGCCTTAACTTCTCGCTCTAATCATAGCGTTTACTTCCTGCGATTCAATACACCACCCGATCCTCTCACAGTCGGTGCTGGGTATAATAGCGAGTGATAATCTGTGATGCAATAACCACTTGGTTCCTACCCACAGCTTCAGTTTTCTTTTCCGATAACTTCATACACATGCCATGCCGCTCATTATCATTCAATATCACACAACACACATGAAGACATCAAAAATACAGCCATCCCACCCCCGCCAACGTCTACATCCAACAGCAACAACTACAGCAAACACATAATTAATTTTTTCTAACCCACACTCTACCAGTGGAGTCGAGCCAAAGTCCGCAGCTGAAAAAAGAAAAGGCACAACGGAAAATAGAAAAGAAAAAGTGATATACAAAAGTCACCCTTCACCCTCACATGTCCCCTGCACTTATGCCTGCGTCTTCAATTTCCTCTCCCAACCTGTCTTCAGTAGTCTCCCCATCTTGAATCTTGGTAGAGGATGCGCCTCCGTGTTCCACACGATCTCGTCGAGCGGGAGGATGTCGGTGGGGGAGAAGAGGAGATACAGGTATTTCAGTGTCTCGGCCTGTGATGGTACAAATGTCAGCAAGTCTGCAAGAAAAAATATTGTGCTGTGGGGGTATTCATGACTCGGATTGTATATACTCGCTCTGTGGGCTTGACACAACAGCGCCCACTAGCAACGACACACAACCCGATCCAATCACCCCCGAAAAAAAGAAAAAGAAAACTCACCAGCCAGAAACTCTCCATGTTATCCCTCATCCTCGGCGGCACCTCCATCACCGTGTCCAGACTCGTGAAGCCGCCCTCACCACCCTCCACCGCCGCATGCTTCACAAAAGCCTCAAAGATCGCCCATCCCCACTCACGATACACCTGGTCACCGGTGATGCGCCACATCAGGAACAACGACTCCACTGTCTCGGGACGCTGTAGATTATGCGCGTCTCGAGGCTTGATCTGAATATCCTTGCTGGTGTCCTCCTCCTCGAGCTCTCCAGTCACGCCGTCTTTATCGTGGCGCATATTGAACCAGACGATCTCTGGGGCCAGCCCCGTTGGTGTCACCGCATACATCTCATAGCACGTGCGTATGAGCTCGCGCGCAAGACGCATATCCTCTTCCTGTTGCGCGCCCCATGTTGCGCTCTTGCGGGCGACGGGTAGCGGGAGTCCCTCGGTGGCACCAAGGGCAAAGGAACCTGCCATGAAGCAGACAAGATGGTCCATTTTGGGTGAGAATTCACCGCCAATACCGCCGGGAAGCTCGCCGATAAAGGTTAGGTGGCTGGGGTGTGACTTTGCGATGAGGTGCTTCTTGACACCGGCCATGGCCTCGTCGTACATGTCGCGATAGAGGGGCTCGCCCTTGCTGGTCTGGAGGTATTGCTTGAGAAGGTACTCGTAATAGCTGTCACCACGGCTACCGAGACGGATTTCTTTGCCGCGGAAGGTACCGTCGTCAGCGTAGATGAAGATGGGGACGAGACCGTCCTCGGCATGAAGGGAGTCAATGGCAGCAATGACGGATTCGGCTTTGGCCCAGTGAATGGCTTCGCCGGTGAGATTAGAGAGGTACTTCATCTCTAATTGGAGGGTAGCTGCCTCGGCGGTTGAAGAGGCGCCGCCGTCAGCATGCGAGGGGACACCTTTCATGTGGTGGAGATTGACCGACGCGTAGGGGATTCCGCTAGGAGAGTCATATGCGCCGAGGAGGCGGTCTGCGAGATCAGTCGCTTTCTCAAGAAATATGTCCGCGTCGGATCCTGGGGCCGGAGGCACAATGTGCAAATCGTTCTGGAGGTAATGGGCAGAGAGGAGACCCCCGAGAATACGGATCGTAGTCTCGAAGGTGTTGACCTCGTGGTCCTGGTCGAACGTGTGGGACGAGCTAAGCCATTCAACTGCGTGGGAGAGTGGCGTGGTCAGGTTCATGAGCATGAGCGTGTCAAGAGAATCAATGATGATCCAGCCCATGCCCTTCGGAACCATTTGCCTGCCCTTCTTGGAGAGTGGGTGGAATTCGTCGTAGCCTAAGAGGCTCGTTAGTTAGCATGAGTGATAGCCTGTGATGCGAGTGACAGTGTCAGAAAAGCAAGTGAGGCAATCATTACCCCATGCATGTTTCTCATATGCCTCCCAACTCTGCATGAACACGCCCTTGACCGCCTCCCTCCTCTCCTCCCAATCTATCTTCCCACCACCGCCACCACCACCACTACTACTACCACTCTTCTTTCCCCCTACCGCCTCTTCTCCACGCATGGGGATCATTCCAGGAACCCCCGCGAACACGCCAAACCACCACAGTACCAGGCCCACCACCGCGACAACTCCCAGCACCCTCTTCCTCAACCACTTTCTCCTCTGTCGCGCGTTATGGTGGTAGTATGGCTTATCCTTATACAGCGGGAGGTCCCTGTCCCTCCCAAACATACCCTCGGCAATGCCCGCCATGGCGCTCCGGGGAGTTCTCGGACTGTTTCCACTGCCGTTCTTTGACGTTGCGGCGGCCCAGGCCACGTCCTCGAACTCGCGGTTGGGGGACGTGAACGAGGGCACGTTCTTTGGGATTGAGAAACCGGACATGGCCTCCTCTAGTTTCTCGACGGCCGTCTCGATGGCTGGTAGGGCAGCCTGCTGCAGGGCACGTGTTTTTGTTTTTGTGACTGTGGTGACCTCTGTGCTGATTGTTAGAGAGGCTGCTCGGAGGTTCTGGTGCAGCAGATGGAAGGTTGCAGGCTTGTTGCGCAGGCTGAAGGGATCACGGAGGTTGTTCATTCGATCGCAACTATGCACTAGAAAACTACTACAGGTATGTATGTTGTACTATGTGGTGTGTGTGTACGTAGCTAATATGTCATGTGGGGATTATGGAAGTGTATAATGTATGTTCAAAAACTGGCAATTAAAGGAATTAAGGAATTAAGAGACTGGACAGCAGCAATAACACCGTTAACAGCTCAATGCTCACTGCACCGGTGTGGACGGAAAAGCAGCAAATAAACGTTTAGGTGGTCTTAACTGGGGGCAGCTTTCAGGGGGTATTTAGAAAGCTGTCAACATGCGTAGATACAGGTATTAGGGATTAGGGATGGATCGATTAGTTAGTTGCACTTCTCCTGAATCATGCCGGAAGGAATGATCAGCGAACGAACAATGCCTGTTAGGGGCTGGCAGGGGTAAGTAGCTGGGCAGGCAGGGTAACAGGGCCATCTCTGCAGAAAGAAACATTGATCCTAGAGAAACAATCACTACCCCCACTACCTGAGCCTACTACCCCAGAGTGCAATTCGAGTTCGAGCCCAGCCACAGCACAGCACAGATAGCAGCTATCTACAATGGTTTTCCTTCTCGGTGTCAGCATTACCGAATCCACGATGGTCACGGTATGTACGCCTTGCCCCACCACCAGCACCACCACCACACCGCTGCTAGATTCATCTAACCCATAGTTCCAACACAGAAAGCGCTGACCTCGTTCTACGGAATCGGCCCCAACGTCTGCGCCCGTCTCTGCGCAAAGCACTCAATCCACCCCATGGCCAAGCTCGCATCTCTGCAGACACCGAAGCTGAACGAGCTCCAGGCAGACATGGCAAAGATGACGCTGGAGAACGATCTAAGGAAGGAGCTGAGAGACAACATCGGCAGGTTGAGGGAGCTAGGGACATACAGGGGGAGGCGACATGCTCAGGTATATATGCGGGTCGGGTTTGTGGGCATATGGGGTGCTAATGGGGTGTGTGTAGGGTCTGCCGGTGAGAGGACAGAAGACCAAGAAGCAAGTTGCAACTGCAAGGCGCTTCAATACGCTGGAGAGGAGAGGTTGAGCTGTATTTATTGCGCAAATAAAAAATATAGCCATTTATGGGAGCTTGGACGTTTACTGGACCCTAGATACCAGCAGGCCCAACTGTATTGCAAGCAGGTGATGTGGTTTGCGCAATCGATTGTGCGACATTGAATAAGAGATCCGAATTATCGCAACCCAACGACATGCTGTCGAGGTAATAATGTCATCCACCACTCCCGAGAAACAATTAGAAATTGGTAGCAAGGAACCGCCGTCAGCATAAATCGAAGTGTAAGCAAACACACAGATAGTGCAGTGCCCCTCCAATCCAACACCGGGGGTCCGGTGCTGGTACAGATACAGGTACATACACATCTCCATGTGTCTAAAGTCATTAACACATATTCTCTGCCTATAAATGTGTTCATCCCGAAAGCGTTTCCAGCTGTAAAAAATCGACCTATGCACCCCTTGCATGCTCCAGAATCGCACTTTTCCGCGCTATGAGGAACAAAAACGCCTTCTCCGGGTCCAAGCATTCTCTGTGTAACCCTGCTCCGGAAGAGGAATGCCAAGTGTTTTAAGCCTCTCCGAGCACGGGACGGCAGTGGCAGTGATGACATCTTCGCCGCCGCCCAGAAACACTCTGAACACTTTGGCATCATCTTCGATATATCTCATACTTCGAGTGTTCCATACCTTACAGAAAAGAAACCACTCAAAGAACCCCACGACATTACGATAACCCCTAACTATCAAGGATTTTATTAGTCTTAATTAATAGAGAGTCAGTAATACTCACCTCCCAAGTCCCACCGCCACCAAACCAACAATGTGGGTCCTCCCATTCCTCGGATATGTGGGCATGGTATTCGGCTTCTCCTTCTTGACACTCGCAATCGGTATATCTTACTCCTCTCCCCACTACCCCATACCGAGAAGCGCACCTCCCTAACGCTCCAGATCTGCTACAGCATCGGGGCTTTACTACCTCTCCGAGCTAGTCGAGGAGCACACCGTCTTCTGCAAGAAGCTCCTGACGAGACTGATCCAATCAATCATCGCCATCCATGCCCTCCTGCTGGTACTCGACGGCTTCCCCTTCCTCCTCACGGCCTTCTCCGCCGCAAGCCATGTTGTCTACCTCATGAATATCACCCGCACCTTCCCCATGGTCAAGCTCACTGACGGGGTTTTCATCCTCAGCTGCTGTACGTTGCGCGCCCACATCCTAGCCCCTTTTATCATCCAGAGTCACTGACCAGACCATAGTGCTCGTACTGGGGAACCACTTCCTGTGGTTCAAGCACTTCTCGAACCCGCCGCTCCCCGCCTACCCCACAACCTACACCACCGTGCGCCGCGGCGGCAGCTCGGGCAGCCCTTACGAGCCATCACGCACCGACCCGCGCTTCCCGTCGTTCACGGAGATCAGCGCATTCTTTGGCATCTGTGTGTGGCTTGTCCCGTTCTCGCTGTTTGTGTCGCTGAGCGCCGGCGAGAATGTGCTTCCGTCCTCTGAGATTGGCGGTGGAGCTGCTGGCGGGACCGTGGGCATGATGAATGAGAATAAGAGGAAGGTGGGGATGGCGAAGATGGTGTTTGGGAGTGTGAAGGAGTGGATTGGGAGTACGGGGCAGGCGCTGGGGGTGGTGAGGGAGGGGGGCAGGCATGCAAGGTTTGAGTAGCGGTCTCATGGTGTGTGAGATGCCCGATGCGGCAGTGGGGGAGCAGATTGGACAAGTTAGAGGTTGGGTTTGGGGAGTTTGTAAATCTATTTTCCATCTCTTCCTTTTCTTATGGAATATTTGATTTTCGCGTTTCCTTTAGTTTCGTTTCTTGCTCTGGGTTTCATGCTTTGAGATGTATGTTGGTTCTTAATGATGTAGTGGCCATAGCCATAGCCGTAGGGTGAGCGATATCTGTAATGTCTGTAATTCTCATAATGGATGTAGGCGTGGACGCTGTGGTGGTGATGGGAGAAAAATAGCTATTGCTGGTTCTGTAGTATACTATACTACTAATCTCTATGATAGCTAATAGTGTACCAATTGATTTGTGGACTCACAGTACTGCTAGTAACACTTAAACACAGTTCCGCACTCGCTCCTAATAAGGCCCTGCGTCAACATTTCCTCCGAAGTAAAGTTGAGGCGACTTAGGAATACTAATCATATCACTCCTGGTGCTAGTAATAAACCAGCTAGAAATCTTGGCTCCCAGCTGACGGCGATCACCCCCAGTTGACCCACGGAAGTCCGCTGTTTATCCGGGGACATTTCTGCATAGCACAACTCTTTCAAAGGTATTCCTGAAAATATAACCCCTACGCCCCGTAGGTATAATCGCTCCTAGATTAAGGTCATCAGTCTATGAATATCTGTGTTTGTGGGTCGACACTGCCTAGTAATACGCAGGACTTGCTCTGCGTATGGAGCCCATCTAGATCTTTCGTGGAAGTAAAGTTCTTCCCGCTGATGTAGAAAAGTTCCTAGATACCATATTGCGCCTATGTAATTACTAGATCCTGAATAGCCCTGTGTTGTAACACTCCCGGCGGGCTCATAACGCAATACCAACGCAGTGTTGATTTATAGGGAAACCGACGTGATCGGAATTAGAGTCACAGGTGCTCACTCGGTAGGTTTGGGGGGAGAAAACTAGCAGCGGTAGTGATAGTAGTGGTAGTGTGTGGTGGGAATGTGTCAGCGGTACTAAGGGAAGTGACATCCTCCCTTTTCTCCCAAAAGCTATGTTCCGGTCGCGCGTGGGCCTTTAGGTGTCGGGCGCGGAGCCATAACTGTAAAGTTGCATGCAATTAATGAATTAAACAAAAAAAAAAAAGTGTCGGGCGCGGCATCACAGGGTATCACTCGTCTCCGCTTACCCCCGACTTGGCTACGGAGTTCCCAAAGTCGGCGCCTACAGGTAGAGAGATACAAATATGGGATTCTGGGGTTTGCATGAGAGGTAGCCGTGACTGTGAGTTTAAATGGAGAGCTAGGTCGTGTAGCTTCGGCTTGTGTGATCGACGGTACTATTTTTTTTACTTACCCGATTATACCGAGTGGGAGGTTCAAGTAGCAGGCCAAGATACCGGCGGATGGAAAATACTGGCCTTTCAACACATTGATATACACGAATGATATTTGACGATTCGAAAACCAAACTCCACGCTGAGTGGTGTTCCCTAGTTTCTTTGTTTATTTAGGCCTAGGTTGATACTGGCCCATAAGGCGCTCGTCTCGAACTGTACATTCCTATATAGGGCGGGGCGTCTTTTATTTTAAACTATAGCCTCTATGTAGTTCTGCGGAGGAAGCAGGAGGGAGCCCGGGGCTGGACTCAGCTCTGCTTTTCCTTGCAAATACCGCAAACCTGGAAATAGCTGCCCTCCGGATTATCCTGCCCCTCCGAATATGCTGCCCCCCATCATTAGTCACCCGAGTGTAAAATCATTGCTAGTCTCACTAAAACATCGTACTAGAGGATCGTTGTCCAAAATTCGAACATCCTGCCCCCCTCCTAAGCTGCCCCTAATCATTAAGCTTGGGCAGGCATTTCCAATTTTTTGTGGTAACATTAAGAAACACAAGAGCCTAGGCCTGAAAGCTGACATACGAGCAGGGGCGAAGAGGGAAAAGCCACTCTAGCTTTCCTTGATTACAGATGAATGGACTTGAACTTCGTGACGTCGTAACATACCCCAGTACCAAAAAAGAAAAAGACAAAAAGAGCGAACAAGAAAAAAAAAACCGAAAGAATCCGTCCCAAACTTTTGATTTATACAAAGAAAAAGAAGGCTGTGAGTAGTGTTGTTTTTTTTTTTTTTTTTTTTTGAACAATGCCACACATGTACCACATGCTGGCTAGTTCTGCCGACAGACTGAAGAAAGAAAACCCAGAGAAAAAAAACCCCAGACTAGACCTCCCAAAAGAAAGATATAAAACAAAAACAAAAACAGAAATCAAACAAAGTAAAAACATTGACACCCTCCGCAGATACCAAAAAAAAAAGGATAAAAGGAAAAAGATAAAAATAACTCTCTAACCAAGACTTTTTGAACACCAATAGATACGGAACCTGGTTAAAATTCCAGAAGTATACATACGAAATTTGGGGGGGAAATTATTTTTGGGGGATGGTAGCGAATATAAATAATGCAGACGCTAGACAGATAGGGCACCCTCATGAGAGTGCATCCCTCCACTCTAGGCATATATACCGAAAGCGTCCAAAAATCAAGGTCCAAATAGGTCAGTCATACTGATTTAGGCTTCAACCCAGCCATCAAGGGTGGGAAGCCCATGGCTCTGACTTTCTTCTCTTCGTCCCCAGTCTTTCTCTTGGCAGTTACCCCTGCTAACCCTCCGTTTCCATTTATGCCTGCTCCTCCGCTGCTAATCCCACCTGCTGGCCGATATGGGGGAGGTTTCATCGCCATAAGCTTCTTGTTCATACCATCAGTTGTGCCAAAGCTCGCGATGTATGCCGGAGACTGTAAGCTTCCACTTGTGCCAGTTGTTTGGGGTGAATGATAGACGGATGGAACATGATTCTGATAGCTCGATGAGGAGGGGGTTGGAGGGTAGCCGTTTGATATCAATATCCCATTGAGTTGATTGAGTGCTGTCTTGGAAACCGCGTGCATCGCTGCTGTGTTATTAGGCGCACGAGCGCATGGACGCTTGTTCACCGATGGGTTTAGGCAAGAATCAGGCGAAGAACGTTTTGTTCCACGGGGGTTATGAGCTGGGGTTGAGGATGCATCATAATTTTCTGGGGTTACAGCTAGTTCGATAAGGGTTTTCAAAATTGCCACGACATTCTCGGGGGTGTATACATCAGAAGTATCGTGGTCGGTATTGAAGGCTGGTGGAGGGGCGACTGGAGGTGGGGGCTGCGGGGCTGGTTCTTTGTTGGACTGCCCGTTCAAGTCCATCGGGATCGACTCTGAACCATTGCTGAGATCAGCGATCAGGCTGTTGATCTCCTCGAGGGTCAATTCAGAGGCTTCAAGAGAAACTTCATCATCTCCGCAATTGGATTGTGGTTGTTCACTCGCATGTGATGTTGAAGAGTTCTCAGCTTGTCCTAGTTGTTGAGCAAGCTCCATCCTATCGTTCATATCGATCCTCACTGAGAAATCATCAAGTGCCTTGACCTGCTGATCTTGGTGCCCTCCGGTCGCCTGTTCAGATTCCATAGCTTTCATCAACTCAGCAACATCAACTCCACCCTCCGCAATCAATCTTTCTAAGGCCTCTTCGTCGAACTGGGGCTCTGCGTCTCCATCATTTCTGCTGGTCGTCATTGCCTGAGACTGTTCGCGCATGAGATCTTCGAGAGCTTGGTCAAGATTGTCAGGGCCTGGTATATTTCCGTGGCTGAAATCCATGTCTATTGGTATTTCGTCGAGTGAAGGGACACGATCCGAAGAACTGCTCGAAACAGGCACCGTGTTAGGCTTAAGCTGGTCGCTTTCCTCGGGCGTAGGGTTGATTGTTCCATCAGTGTTGCTCTGGACGTCGGAATCTGTCAAAGATTTTTCCAAATTGGCAACAAGAGTTTCGAATCCAGCTGTGATTCGATCAATGCTTTCGAATTCACTTGTGATGCCGTCAAGTCCTTCGGGAACCGGTGTCTGGGATCCTGTTGACCAGCCAGTATTCGAACCATCTTCAATCAAGCCAAGTCCTGAACCACGCCTGCCATAACCGGTCCCATCATCGTTTTCTGAATGAATATGATCGGAAACATCAGTAATCCGGTTATCAATGTCATGAGTGATCTGATAGTTGCTGTTCTGAATCATTGGTCCTCGCCCCTCTGCCTTCATGTTGTTCAGAATATCAACCATGTATGGAAGCAGCGTAGGCTCGGTTGACATCAGCGTGATGAGCTCCATAATAACAAATTCTGCGTTTTTTTCGAATAATGCGGGGTTGTTCATGAGTTGATTCCGAAGAACCAGTTCCCCAGAGTTCACCTGGTAGCTAGATGAACCGGACTGGTTGAAAGCCGGGAAGACACTGGATGAGCCGACGTTGGGGTCACCAGTAGCAGGATCATTATCGCGGATCTTGGTACGGGTTACGCGCTTGGAGCGCCGACGGTTGAATTCGCGTTCGATCCAGTTGGATTTTTCAATGCTCATCTCGGCTCCGAAGAGATGAAGGGCGCGTTTGGTGACACGACATCGAAGGTCATTGTCCTTATCTAACTCGGTGTTAAAGATTTATATTTGTATTTAGATGAAAATTTCTTACTTCGTTCTTGATTTTGATTCCTCCATTTTTTCTTTCGCTCTCTATTTTCCACCCGTATCCGCTCCCGCTCCGCAGCCTTCAAAGGATCCTCGGACGGGTCGATTATAGAGAGCCGCCTGCCGCGACCTTTCGCATTGGAATCCTCAGGGGAAGATGGGGTAGCTCCGGTGCTGGTAGCAGATTGGAGATTGTTGATAATCCAATTCGCAGTAAACTGGACGGACTGTTCGGCTGTCGCACTGATTTGTCGGCCCTGGTCAGATCTGACGACCATTTCCGAGGACATTGCGGTCTGTGGAGTCGAGGGGGGCGGCGTACTCGCTCTCGCGCATGCGCGAGACAGCTCTGCAAGACTTTTCTGCAATTCTCTAAGCTGGACTTCATAGTCGATATCGGATCCGTCTTCTATGCCTCCGACCCCAGTGTCATCTTCAGCATTCTGATCTTCGATCCCCCAAAGCCCTTCAAATTCCTTGGTCATCTTGAGGTCAGCGCCAAAGTTTCCCACACCATTATTAGCGGTACCGGATATGGAACAGTTGACTTCTGGCTGTGGTTGGGATGATTGCTGGGAGTGATGTTCAAGGTTTTGGTTAATCACTTCAGTTCCAGCCTCCCCCATGACACCAACCAAAGATTGTAAAGCATGGTTGATTTGTTCGACAGAGAGATCGTCAACTGATAATTGTCCAGCCTCGATGTCGCCTACAACGGCAGGCACAGACTCTTTTACATCGCCTTCAAAGCCTGCAGCAGCCTGCAGTAGGCACACTTCTTCTTCATTCATCTGTAAATACCCGAAGTAAATGTCAATGCCGCCCTCCCGCCAGGCGAGATGAACGACAAAGACGACAACATTTTGTCAGCGGAACTGAATTTAATTATTGGCTGTTGAAATAAAATCGAACATGAATAATATGGCATGGGTGTTGGGCTGATTTGGACGGGATGCCTCTTCAATAGTATACATTTAATCATCTCGAGGGTTCACTTACTATGGTATTTTCGGCCCCGAGCGAAGGTAGTGAGGGTTTACCGTGACTGCTGCTGATGAGACTGTTGTTTTGTGTTGTGTGTGGGAAAAAAAAGTTCAGTGTGGAAAAGACGAGGATTTGTGCGTGCGTGTGTGCGTGTGTGCGTGTGTGGGGGAAAAGTTGCGCACAAAGCGGCGGGGGCAACCCCTCCTCTCAATCTTCTTCATTCCATGGAGGGGGGCCCGTGACGTCTGACTGAAGTTCCAAACAATACAATTATCAGAGGAACTTTGTTTTCAGATCAGTATGACCAGTGCCCGCCAGATAAAATTTCCGTCAGTGCCTATCCTCTTCGAAATAGCAAAACCCTCACACGAGTGAAAGTTCGTCTGTGTAGTGGTGGGCCCCATCCCTGTAATCCAACCCTGCATTCTTTCCGGCGGCAACGAATTACTATGTGCCTATGATGGATGTACCGTTACTTTATGTGAAGATTCCACTTGGAGAACTATGTTTGTGCTGACCGAAATATTTCCTCTGGAATGATATTGTTACAAAAGGTAATACGTCATTGGCTCCAATAATCATTGCGTAGGTACCATTCGAATCAGAGGACAAGTTCTCCACACAAGCCAGAAGAAGTAATTTTGGGGTTACAAACTCTACATGTATGAATTTGGTACAAATAAAACCTCGCCAAGTCAATATGGATAGATCAGGATCATGGGGCTTCATGACCTCGCATGAATATCTTGGCGGTCGTTTTTCAATCTGGTTCGGAGAGGTGTTTAAATCAGATATAAAGCGCGGAAAGCTTTCCAACTTAAAATGCAGAAAGAAGGAAAGTCTGTAGATAAATATGACACCTAATATCTTCAATGACTGGTGGTGCAGCGACATTTCTTTCGGAATCCGCAAGCTACTAGCAAAGACGCAAAATCCTCGGGTCACGTGTAAGCTATTTTCTAGCATCATGGTGAGAGGACTACATGTAAGGTTGACCCGGAGACTTTGCGTCTTTGCTAATATAATTGACGGATGAATTGCTTCGGAACTGTAGAATCTAACGCCTGGCTTCTATCTATTTGAACCCGGGCGATGAGAAGGATTTAGGAAAGGCTTACCACTCTGTTCTTGCGGGATATATTCTTGCTTAGTTTGAAGAAAAAGCATTCGATCGCGAGTGCATGTAGAGTACATGTAGGTAATTCTCTAATGGATACATGTATCTAGACAGACTGGTGCTTTGTTATTCCGAGTGAAATGGCAGCTCGGCTCCGTTCACCTTGAGCTTGAGCTTTGAGGATCATCTAGGACTGCATAGCTCTATTCAAAAATATGCGACCTACTCACGATATAATACACATACTTCATATTCCTCTTCATATGCACTTAGTATGAAGTATATATGGAGTTCTATAATCTAGGAGTTAAAGCAATCCAAGTAATTGATCGTGATGATACCTTAACTCTACCCCTGCAACCAACGACGTCATTCATGGGCCCCTCTCAACCCCTCCAGAGACTCCATATCACGAACACCCTCTCCCGTCAATTAAATTAAAAACAACGAGAAAAGAAACCATGGCCTATCGTTTTATTATTCCCTCTATCACCGCTATTGGTATTTTATCCCATGATCTCTCCAACCCCAAGAGGTCCCTCTTTATCCACCCAATGCGCTGTGAAACCGTCACCGCATGGCCCTCCCTCACCAGCATAGGACTAGGATCCAGCAAACCCCAACCAGAGCCATATGAACGAGCACGGGGAGGAGCAACAGCAACACAAACGCAGCAATCGACGTTTTCGCCGATGCTTTATAGACAGGTTTCAACCGGATCCTTTCTAGGGCTCGTGGCAGGATTTGCGGTAGGAAAGTTTAGCAAAAGCATTGGGCTTGTTCTCGGCAGTTTGCTGCTACTAATTGAGGTCTGAGCACTGTATACGGTCGTGTTTTGAATGGGCAGCATCCTAATGACGACGAGGACAACAGTTTCTGGCCTCAAGAGGGCTGCATGTAGTCCCATACAGTTGGCTACAAAAGCTCACAAATAAAGTGGACGTGAAAGGACTAGTAACGAAGAATATGGCGTTCAAGTATGTGCCCTTGATGTATCACCCCTCAAGATTCGGTTTTTAAAACTAATATTCACTAATGTTTGTGAAGGGCATCTTTTGGGGCTAGTTTTGCAATTGCGGCGCTTTACAACTAGATGGAGGCTAGAAACTGGCTGATGAATTTTCCTTGCTTATTCTTTACCTTTTGGGAGCTCTTTGGTCTTGTCCCATAATGCTACCTGGCTACCTATATTCCCTTTCTTCCCTTGTTTGTCTAGTCTAGGAGCCATCACTATGGGCATTAATGGTCCAAGTTACTGGGAGCTCACTATCGATCTTTAGCTCTTCTCTGGCTATATCTTAGATGTAATTTCTGAAAAGTCCTGTGTGCTGGGTCGTTTGTTTGTGAAACTACATGCATCTCCACACATATACGTAGTATACCGGCATACCGTGCAACACAACTCTTGTAAGGCACACGACGTTCTGATCTCGAGGTTACCAATACCACAAAGAGCCAATAAATGGCGTGTCTGTGATCGTTTTTATACCGATGCCTTTAAATATCTCACAAAAGCTAAAACGGGTTTCCGGGTGGAAACCCAGTTGAATCAATGGTTGTATTTAGACTCGGGTGAGATTAGGAGTGTATTACCTCGTAACTCCACTCTTTATTTTCATCTTTAATTCATAGGAGCTTTCAGCCTTACTTCGATCATAAGCCAGCAAGTTTATAATATATCTTTACCGTCACCAACAATAATAACTTCTAAGCAGATATTATGATCTCTTGGGAAATAGTTATAGCTAGTTTATACGCTTCTCACTCGCTAGAAGAGATTAGGGCTGGTAGGTGATAAACTGTATACAGAGCTGTATAAAAACATCTGTCTACTCATTTCAGGCATCAGTCACAGCAAACCTCTTGCCTTCAATGACGAGAAGTTCACGGTGCTTAGGAGTAGGTTAGAGACAGATCTGAGTGGGTGACTACTTGTACCGAGCGGTGTGAATTAAATATAGAAGATCTAAATGCTCAATTTGTATCACTGGCCTGGAAACCCTAAAAGCCACAAACACTGCTAGAAGCCGACGATACCTATACGTATTTACATACATGTACTTGCAGATATGATTCTAGCGCCGCAAGATCTTAAGATTCGTCAAGGGTACTGCGGCCCGAGTCAATTAGCGTTGGCTACGCAGGACTTATGCATGGCGATCTTCTAATCCCAGTTGAGAGATATTATCAGCACACAAGTCAGACAAGCTGGCAAGGTCGACAACGACTTATAGCAGCACGGAGTGTAAGTTGCAATTAATAGAAATACCCGGTTAGAATATAACTTGAGAAAACTAAAGAAGAAAGCTTAGTATAATATGCCGTCTTTGATTGATATAGATCGACCATTTATACCAACTCTCATGAGAAATTGGTGAAGATCATGGATGTAGGTAGAAGGGCATGCAGGCCACACGAAGGTATTGGAATTTGGAACTTAAAATTAACATGGGTATAACCATAGCTCGAAATAGTACTCTATTTACGGAACTACTCTTTAAGGCCATCTCTTTTCTGCTATATATGGGTGATTTATCAAGAATAAACATACCCGATCTGACGAGATCTATAGCTAGAACAGATGCTAAAAGAGAAATTACATTACATAATTAAAAGCAGATCAAAGAGCTTCGTATGCTACAGTTGGCAGGCACTGAATATACAAGTATATGTACATGTATCAGCTGATTCTTGTGGTAATTAGACTCACCCTCTCGATTCCTCCAACCCGCCTCTGGCTAATATACCTTCACAGGTTCCCTTGGGGTGTCAATGATCAACATGCATGTTTCTATTTCTGTCACCCAAAATCCAAAGCTCATATAGCCGAAAGAGATGCCTTTTGTTTAGCATCGTTTAAACGTATTTGAAACCGATGAAGACCATAGGTATATAAGGACTAGACTGAAAATCCATAACCGAATATGGAAGGTTGTGATAGATGCCGGTCTCCAATATCTGCCCCATCCACGCAATAATTACGCAGATTTGATAGGATATATAGTATAATAAAAAAAAAGGCGCCATGCTGGATTGTAGGTAAGTTATTTACTATCCATTCGTCTAAATTGACGTGTCATAGAGTAGCACTCGGTGTTCCGATTTCCCGCATGCTGTAACAGGAGGAAAAGATTCCCAACAGATGGCATAGACAGCAATATAAGTGATAACAAAGTAGATTTGTATTCTGACAGAGCGGGGGTGTTGTGCTCCTGTCGGTTGGTGACTGGGGGCCGCCGGAATTTTGACAAATCTCGAGTGATATCACATGATTGAGAATCTTGATTTAATTAATTCATTCATGTGTGTGGGTGGGGGTCATTTTAGTGTTAGATGTGATGATAAAGCATATTTAAATCGCTTGATATTCATATCTAGTACTGTATTTGTATGTAATTATAAAGGATACATGCATTAGCCGGTGAGCGCTGGGCGACTAGGACGGTCCATCTTGAGAGGCCACTCGATACTTGAGTACTTGAGTGAACACCGTCTGAGGTGAAGAGAGCTGAGCTTTCTGGAATGCAGTTCTCTTCCTTAGAGAATCACTCTAGCCTATATCGCCTCTATTGGTTATCACTAATATAGACGAAACCCTGAGCACAACATGAAAACGTATATGCATGTAATTAAACTATTGGCTACACTTTCTTCCTAACGTCGCCAGCTAGGTAGAAAGGTAAGAGACAATACAGCTTTGCTCTTCTTTCTCTCGATTGCTCGCTCATGTCGGTTAGCTGAGATTCCTGGAGGAGAAACGTGTCTCCCTGGATGCTAAAGTAATGCCGAGAGGAAAAACAGCTTCACTACCAATAGCATGGAATTGAGAGAAAGTATATATTTAGTTAGGGTGAGATGGAATGTACATATCGAAAGAAAATGCGAACCGAAGAAGAAATAAAACAGAACGACCCTGGGATAACAGAAAATCCCATTCTACTAGTAAGACAACCATCTCATAAGCTACCTTCCGTAGCTAGCTTAAAGAGTTATAGCCCTTAGAACATTCTCGAAGAGTCCTGAGTTCCCCCTCTACAAAAAGCTCTTGCTCTTCTGATTATAAGCTCTTTGATCTCTGAGCCACTGTCGGTACTGCTTCAGCGACCCAATTTTCTCGCCATAGTAGTCCGGGACGGGGTTACTGAACGACTGGAAGCTGGGGTCGACGCGGTTCTTCTTGATGTGCTGCAGGAATTCTTTTTCTCTCTACATTATATAGAAGCATTAAATTAGTACCGGACTTAGTCCAAAGAAAAGAAAGAAAACTCCCTGGTACCGCTTGTCTTAAACTAGGATTGTGTACAGAAAGTTACTGTGAGTAGATTGCCAACATACCTCCTCGATAGCACCTAGATTCTTCTTATTCATGATTCCGAACGCTGAGCTCCCTAGCACGGGCCCTGCCAGCCACCCTGCGGCACCACAACTAATCGTCGCCAGCCCAAACATGATCAATGGATCCATGCCCATGATCATCTGCGTCGGGTCGATCTCTTTGTTTGCCAGATACCCAACCCCCGCACTAGTGCCGAGCAACGAGCTGAAGATGCTTGAGACGAGGTTGTACCGGCGGCGCACCTTTCGCAGGCGCAGGAACGAGTCCCAGTCTAGGTGTGGGCGGGTGGGTGTTGAGATTGCGGATGTGGCAGTCGCGGAGGAGGGGGAGGTTGTGTTAGCGGTGGTAGAGGCATTGCGCACTGAGAGGCGAAGGCCGACGGAGGCGGCGGAACGCAGGGTTGTGGTCGTGGCGAGCATTGTGTTTGTGGTGAGGTTATGTGGATTGGTGGGGGGGGGGGCGGGGGGAGGTGCAGTACGGGTGGTGATTAGATGTGAGGTGATTTTGAAAATTGAATTGTCGAGTTGCCGCGCTAGCGGCTATGACGAACTTTTTGACAGGGGAGAGCGCACCAGTAGGATGACTAGGATTTGTCTGGCCTCTGGCACGAGCATGTAATCACTCGAACGGCGGCTTGAGTAATACATAATTTGGAGACTCGGGGCGCAGACGGTAGATAGCATATTGCAATTTCCTCAGCAAGCGGAGGGTCTCTCTCTACTTTAGATACAGCATACTTCCCTGCGCTGGAACGTCAGGCCGATGCCACTCAGTGTAACACGGTACTCCGTGGCTCCGTACGGATACATGTACTCACACAGGTAATCAATCAATCCGGACGGAAATATATATGGTAGTCAAGGTGGCTGCATGTATGTGTTTATTATTGTGGCCGAGGTTCACAAACCCCATGTCTTTGACTACAAACTAAGGGTAGGAGAGGATTTGTCCATCTGACTGTTCAGTGCTATACGGGCCCATAGATGGATGTAAGCACGAATACTCTAAGCACTTTGTGTATATACTAAGTATGTAGGCATTTACATAACTCCTACTCTTAAATGTTGTTTCCTACATGCTTCTCCACCACTTGAAATTAACCTCCCCAGAGAGGTATTTGGCAACGTGAAGAATTATCACCAACTCATGCTTCATGATTGAGCCACAAAATACTCTCCAGCGGTGACTCGCAATTGAATTGAGCAGCTTCAAGTTCCCGTATTCCTAACGGTAATAAGTATAACTTCACCCAAGTACCCAGGAACAGCGGTTTCCCGTTGCAATCAATTCATACGGTAGATAATCCGTATTTGAAAGCAGCGGCCGGGGTCGGGGGGTTTCCTGTAAGGCTGTAACCCAGTAGAAGCTGTAGGAGCTGTGGGCACGTGTTCTCTCGGCCGTGTGAATTATCCCGGCGCCACAATTAGCCCGATGAACCGGCTCTCCGCGCCCCAAGTCCCAAGCTGGGAGACAACATCCACCAAAAAAAGTCTGTACTGTCACCGCCGCTACCAACGCTACTACACCTTCCGCGCCCAAACGTCTGCCCGATTCATTATAGTATCACCGTCAGTAAAGCGCCTAGCGCACGTATATAACGAGAATACCGCCCACGATGTCCTCAACTCATTACGACCCGGTAGACACCAGCTTCTCCAATCTTTCGCTCACAGCCATCCGCCTGCTTGACCATTATACACCCTCGTTTCTCACATCTCAGAAAAGTCCAGATATGGCCATTCCTTCAATCACCTCCGACGGCCCAGCGCCCGGCAACATCCTCTACTTGGCGTACGGCTCCAATCTCGATGCCGGCGTTTTCCAGGGCCGCCGTGGCATCAAGCCTCTCAGCGCAACGGTGGTTACAGTTCCCAGCCTTACTCTCGTCTTTGATCTCCCCGGCATTGCCTATATTGAACCTTGCTTTGCCAATGTTCGCACCCGAAAGGTCAACGCCCCCAGTGAGAAGCAGCCATTGGTGGCAGAAGAAGGACTAGAAGATATGGAGGCTACCGTTGTTTTATCCAAGCTCTCCGAAGGCCGTTACCGGGATTCTGAGGATCCCAACGACGATGTGGATGCACCGGCACTCATGGGCGTTGTTTATGAAGTGACACCAGAAGACTATGCGACAATAATCGCGACTGAGGGCGGCGGCGCATCTTACGCCGATGTCACAGTCGACTGCATCTCCATCGATGGGAAGTCATTGAAAGCACACACGCTGCTAGCCCCAACGACCAAGACACGGCCGAACAGCGGAGCCCAAGCATCTGCCCGTTACCTCAACATCATCTCGTCCGGTGCAGAGCAGCATGGGCTGCCAGAGTCGTATCGGAGCTGGTTGGCGCGGTTCCGGCCATACCGCGTTACGACGCTGCGGCAGAGGGTTGGTTGCGTTCTATTTGTTGCGATGTGGGCCCCAGCGGTGATGGTAACGTTCGCCGTTTCGAGGTGGTGCTCGGGAAGCCATAAGTCGTGGGCTATCAAGATTAGTGAGAGTGTCTTTGGTGGAATGTGGTCGAGCTATGATCGGCTCTTCAAGCCATATTTTGGGGACGGGGAGAGGACGGAGGGGGAGAAGGAAAAGGAAGTGGATGAGGAGAAAACGGCGCTAAGTGAGCCCGAAAAGACGCACAGAGTCGAGGATATGTTCGTGACTGCTATGGGCGGCGAGACAAATATGGAGAGCTCTGTGGCGAGCTTGTCAGCTAGTTGGGATAAGCTTTAAAGTGAGGGAAACAAACAAACAAAAATCAACATTGCTATACATAGGGAGGGTGTACGGAGTTGGTGAATTAGGTGGGGTTTCATTTTATTTCTTAAACATATATTATACATACCCATTTGAGAATGCTTTTTTCTCTTTTTTATTTTTGCGTTAAATGCTAGGTAGTTTGTCTGCATTCTTAGAATTGAAATCAGATAGCCGTCTTTATGTTGAATGTAATTGCTGTTAGGAGCCGAGGTGGTGTGGTATGAGCTTTTTATATACTTGAAAATCATATTAGAAAAGTATGGTGTGTTGAGTAGCCCTGATGGCGTGACACAGGATAGACGATGTGTAATTGCCGAGTGATAGTTAGTGATCACAACAAATATTATGGTCTTAGACTAGCACTGGTGTTGGCGCGCATCACTTTGCCAGGGCTTTGTTTGGCACATGCGAAAAGAACGGTAGATAAACGGCGAGATAAAAATAGAATGATTTAGGGCCCGTTCGGACAACCTTAGATTATTTCTTCGGATTATTGGGCAGACTGGATTATCAGGTAGCGGAAAAGATAATCATAATACCCATAATAAGTGGATAATCTACATGTCGGGATAATGTTAGCTCTCAGAATATCTGTGTTGTGTGGGAATAATTACCTCTGGAGGTGATTGTTTTCTTGGCGGATTATTGGGATAATCAGGAGTTCCAAATGTTGGATTATTCATTTGCACGAACTGCATAGATTATTGTTATAATCCAAAAGTTGATAATCCGTCGTATTATCGCCAATAATCTAGATTATTGGGTTGTCCGAACGGGCCCTTAATGTGATTATCAAATTTTTTTGATTTAATTCATTAAGTGATTATGAGACTCTACCAGCTATAAAAATGTGTCAAAAATGTGTCGAAAATATGTATATAAAATAATAACTATTTATTGTGCCCAAAATAGCCTGTGGTGTTGTGTTATATGCATCGAATAATGCATCAAAAATGCATCGGAAATGCATTGAAAATGCATTCCAGTCCGTAAAGACTTTAATTCCCAATTCTGTGTAATGGGAGCCTCGTCTAAATAAGAATAGGGCAAGATAAAATAAAGATAGCCGTGCAAGATAGGAACGAGCTTGCAGGTTATTCAAAAATACAGTCGCTAGAACTCAATAATCTTTAAAGGCTTGAAAAGGTAAGTTACTTATCAAAATTTCCAGTATTTTCTAACAGAATTAGTTATCAAAAATTATAAAAGAACATGGGATCCTCCCCCAGAACATATACAACATGGACGAGAAAGCCTTTTTGATGGGGCGATCTTCGCTGGTGAGAGTAATATGTCGTCGGGGAAAGAAACGGAACTTCAAGACACCGGGGGGGGGTCAAAGAGAGCTTATTACCGTAATTGAGACGGTTTCAGCGATCGGAAACTTGAATGTGACAGCACCGACAATAATATATATAGATGAAGCACATTATGCAGGTTGGCACGCTTTAGTCAAAGCTGGTGACAAAGCATTTTTTAGCTTCTCCCAAAAGGATTGGACCAATAATGAAATTGGTTTAAGCTATTTAGAAAGCAATTTTGAGCGTAATACGGTCAAACAGTATATTATTAATCAGCTCAATTAAGCTTAATGGTTCTAATTGCTTTTAGGGCGGCGAGGCAGACTACTGTTTGACGCATAACATAATCCCCCTCTGCCTACCGGCACACTCTACAGCGGTGGGTATTAAGTCATCGGACGGCCTAGCCACAATTTTGCCTGCAAACGCGTATTTTGGTGGCGTTCTGTCTGATCACTTATTACCCACCGCTGTACAGCCGCTGGACGTTTGTTTATTTGGACCTCTTCAGCGTAATTACGGTGATGTGTTGGATGATTGGCTGCAAGACGGCAACGCAGGCATTCATAAGGGAACCTTTTACTCGTATAATAACCCTAACCCTATTCCGAAAACACGAATACTTACTGGTATTTTAGTCTCTTAGTAGGGGCCAGAAACCTCACATACACTAAAAAAAACATACAAAGTGCTTTTGCTGCCACTGGCATTATTCTCTTAAACCCACGAGCTGTTCTACAACAAAAAATAACAAATCTGGTCCAAAAAGTCAAGTCTCGGCGCCGCGCACACATAGACATGGAAACACCATTGCTGTTCGCTCACGCCGTACTTTTGCTCTCCTCAAAAATGACACCCCCAAAAGCAAATCTCTAGTGAAGGGAATGGTGGAGAAACTGGCAATATCAGCGACAGAGAATGCAGCTCAAGTACTGTCGTTCACGGGGTATTGGCGGGTACTGGGTGTTGGCGGATAAGCCTAAAAAGAGACAGCCAAGCCAATTTTTGGCTTCAATCCGCCAACACCCAGTATCCGCCAATACCCCGTGAACGACAGTAGTTGTGTTACAGCAAGAGCTTGACTATCTGCGCGGGGAGCATAAAGCTTCTGCTGATTCTCAAAAAGTCAATGGTAGGAGTGTTTTATCTAAAGCATTGGTAGTAACTACGGACGATGTCATTAGGTTGCGCGAGCAAGCAGAAGAAAAGAAAAAGACAAAGCCACAAAGAAAGCTGAAGCCGGAGAATTCAAGATCGCAAAATCTGCAGCAAAGGCAGCGAGTGCTTCCGCGACGAGACGCCGAGCCCGCCGAGTCCACTCACCTGTTATTGAGGAGGACGAGGTAGAAACTGATGAAATAAATTATAGTCATGAGACATCACTGCACCTATTAGTACAAACAATGTAATTAGAAAGTATTTTTTGAGGGGCAGTAGCCGCCACTCCTAACTTACAGATTGTGGTAATGATATTTTTTCTTCTTTTCCGTTGAGGTCGCGCGCGCGCAGTTACCCAGTGAAAATGGTTACACGGTGAAATACGTTATACAAGTACCCTGTATTTCCACTTTATGTTAGGAGCATTCTTGACACCAGTCTCCAAGCCACCCAACTTGGCCCTAACCCTTGACACCACGCCCGACACCAGTGGCGTAGCGCCACGCACCAAAGATCGCTTAAGTGACACATTCCACCAGCGAGTATATAGGCGCCGTGTCCCCCCGAGAATTGACAAGGTTCTCCATCTCCTCTACAACTATAGTCCTCACCTACTGACGGCGGATCCTGTCTGATGGTTCTGTTTGCAGTAATTTGCCCTTGGCGTCCAAAACCTAACTCTTTTATTGGCCTCAAATCCCTGACCGCCATCAGACAGGATCCACCTTCACCCCGTGAGTGACTGTACTGTCAAGGACCGTCTAGTCTCTGACTTTTAACACTCGCTGATAATATGGAAGCTCTACAACCACAACCCGACTTTCTCGCTATGGCAGCCGATATGAATACTGTTGCTCGCGCCCATGCCTCGATGGCTATCAACCTCGAAAGAATGCAAAACATCCCAGTCTTCAATCAGGGAGCAGAGATTCTTGAAGCCATCAGGCAAGGTTTTAAGGCGGTCAACAGTCCTTTCCATGCAATGTAAGTTCATTCGGTAGTAACTCTCCACCGATATCCATCTGATTTTGGTCATCTAGCGAGTACAATTCGGTTGCTCGTCACGTCAACGGTCACGCGAACCATTCCACGACGCCTCTGACTTTCCTGAGAACTGGGCAGCTCTCGCCGCCATGAACTGTTAGTTTCCACACCAAGGAGGTCGTTTGGTCTATTGTGATGACTTGCTGATTCATCGCTGTTTGAAATAGCGAACGAAATCAATCAGCGTTATCTAATCCATCTCATCTGGAATGGAGGAAATCCAGCGAGGAGCGAAGCGACAAGCGACACGACCCAGCGCTTAAGCTGGTGTCGAGAAATCCACGAGAGGGGGCGCCAGCCCCCTATATGATTCCCTGGCAGATTTCTGGCACCAGACACCATGCCTAAGAATTCACGCAGTGAGATTCAGTTTCTATGTAAGGATTGAGACACCGTTCTCAATGTTACGTTCAAGCCTCGGGTTGAACCCTTACCCTTGACACCTACGCCACATACCCAGGGTATGGTGCCACACACGCAAGCGCGGCCATACACACAGTAGCGCTTACCCGGCATGACCGTGGCAGGTTATAGGTGCGTGTCCCGCCTTCTGACCAAGAAGCGCCTTCTCCTTTATAATTCACACGCAGGACGAAAGGACGATCAATATGTCTAATCGCTCACTGGGACGCAACGTCCACATCTACGATGCAAGCGATCCGACAGGCCCGGTTCTTGGGGGCCTCATTCTTACTAACGGTGTGACAAACGTCAACCTCTACTCGATGGTGGATATCATCCTCATCCTTAGTAGTATCTATCATCTACAAGATGCAGGTGGCAGCCAGGTTGACAGGGATGATCATCCGCTGCAGCCCGGTAATTACTATGTTGTCACTGATGGTGAGTTTCCTCCACATCTACATCAGATAGTGAAGCAGGTGCTGAGTTATCAACAGGTTCGATCTCGATCAACAATGAGATTTGCCTTACCCGTACCATTTCTCTGGGTACTGGTACTCTAGTCGCATCCTTTAGGAATGCCGTCCGCGACCGGGATCGTCGGTGCGTTATCACTGGGGAAGAGGCGGTCAATGCCGATCTTGGCGAATGGGGTGGCTTCGAGGCTGCCCACATCTTTCCGCTGGCCTACGAACACGACTGGAAGTATGATCGCTGGATTACCATCGACTCGACTGATGGAAGATCCATCAACTCGGTCCAGAATGGCATACTGCTCAGATCTGACATTCATGTCCTGTTTGATAGGTACAATGTGTCCATCAACCCTGACGTATGGCAGCGCCCGTCCCGAGGGATGATTAATGGCTGATTTTTGTTAGGATGACTATAAAATCGTCTGTTTCCTCAGGGATTCGAAGGGTATAGCTGGGAAACATCTTGACCAACGGCTCCGTGACGATCCTCGTAGGCCAGTCGACGAGCTGTTGCGCTGGCATTTCAGACAGGCTGTCCTGGCTAATGTGAGGCTCGTAGGTGAGCCTATATTCGAGGTTGATTTCCCACCGGGTTCTGACATGATTGGTGAGATTCTCAGCGGTCCTAAGGCTGGGGAGAGGATGGAATACGAGCTTTTCAGTCGTTTGGTTGGAGTCACGTGAAGTGGCGGACAAGGCCTTTGTACTCTAATAATTAATTCTTAATGTCTATTATTAACGGAGTGCGACCGAGTGAATTCACATGATATTTATCTAATCCATCAGATCTATTTATATTATTATGGAATCGGGGGTACGGGGGCTTGCCCGTGTATAGGAGAGAGCGCTAGCGATCGTTTATGTATATAGCAGTCACGGAACGGTATATAGAGAGCACCAAGGAGGCCTGTGGTGCCAGAAGAGAACAGAGTATGATTCCCTCTGTTCTCTGGCACCAGGAACCAGTAAGGAATATACGCAGCACTTCCACTTTATGCTAGGACTTTTCCTGGCGCCAGACTCAAAAGTACGTTAAAGCCACCGCATTTAACCCTAGCCCTTGACACCAACGCCTGACACCAAGGCGTAGCGCCACGCACCGGGTGTCACAAGAACCAGTCCCGATTAGGGAGTAATTCATTACCCGGCCGTCTCGCGATACGGTATGCGGGCAGAAAGCTCCATCTCCCTTACAACTACCCTTACGATCATGTCTAATCGCTCACTGGGACGCAACGTCTACATCTACGATGCAAGCGATCCCACAGGCCCGGTTCTCGGGGGCCTCGTTCTTAACAGCGGCGTGACTAACGCCAACTTCTACTCGATGGTGGATATCATCCTTAGTAGTATCTATCATCTACAAGATGCAGGTGGCAGCCAGGTTGACAGGGATGATCATCCGCTGCAGCCCGGTAATTACTACGTTGTCACTGATGGTGAGTTTCCTCCACGTCTACATCAGATAGTGAAGCAGGTGCTGAGTTATCAACAGGTTCGATCTCGATCAACAATGAGATTTGCCTTACCCGTACCATTTCTCTTGGTACTGGTACTCGAGTTGCATCCTTTAGGAATGCCGTCCGCGACCGGGATCGTCGGTGCATTATCACGGGGAAAGAGGCTGTCAATGCCGATCTTGGCAGCTGGAGGGGCTTCGAGGCTGCCCACATCTTTCCGCTGGCCTACGAACACAACTGGATCATGGACGAGTATGACCGCTGGATTACCATTGAGTCGACTGACGGAGGATCCATAAACTCGGTCCAGAATGGGATGTTGCTAAGAGCGGACATTCACGGCATGTTTGATGGCTATGAGGTGTCGATCAATCCTGATGTATGGATTCCTTTTTTCTCTTGAAGAGCCATAAGTGCCTAATTCGTGTTGCATTAGGATGGCTACAAGATCGTGTGTTTCCTCAGGGATGGAGATGGTATTGCCGGCAGGCATCTCGATCAACGGTTCCGTGACGATCCTCGTAGGCCTGTCGACCAACTGTTGCGCTGGCATTTCAGACAGGCTGTCTTGGCTAATATGAGGCTCGTAGGTGAGCCTATATTCGAGGTTGATTTCCCACCGGGTTCTGACATGATTGGTGAAATCCTCAGCGGTCCTAAGGCTGGGGAGAGGATGGAGTACGAGCTGTTTAGTCGTCTGGCGGGAGTCACGTGAGCTGGAGGACAAGCCTTTGTAATTAATTAATAATTAATTCTAATGTCTATTATTAACGAAGTCTTATTACTGAATTTATTTGTGAGCAAGGGGGTGTGGGGGCGAAGCCCTACAGAGGAGTGGAGTGCAACTAACTACTAATATTTTAGTTATCAGATTTATCTAATCCATCTGATCAGCTGAGGAAAAAGGGGGCGCAGCCCTGTATAGGAGGGGGCACTTAGCGACCGTCGACAAACGCCAGCAGGTGGGTGTCGAGAAATCTGCCAGGGTGCTGTCAAGCACCTCTATGTTTCCCCTGGCAGATTTCTGGCACCAGACACCAGCCTAAGATATTCATGCAAGTGACTATCATTTCTATCAACGCCGCCAGTGGTTCGAAGAGGGGGAATGGGGCGGAGCCCCTGTATATTCAGTCATACATTATCGGTATCACCAATTAGTGAGAGTGACTATGGTGCGCACACTCTTAAAGGTGACACGGCGGTATCTGGAAGTGGAACAATCGTGAACTCCAAGGCCAATGAGAGGGCTTATTCCTAGCCACTTTGCTGTATTCCTGCCGCAATTCACTTTTGAGGGTATAATACTGTTCCGCCTTGCTCAGTCTTGGCGCTTTTTACATACAAAAATATGTACACAATTTCAACCTCTGATAACTTTACAGCCCAGACAGATATCAAGAATCTGCAATGACAAAACTAAACTTCATCACTAGTACTAGAGTTCTATCATTACACTTTTTTTTAATACCATTTTTCGTTGCAAAGTTATCAACCATTGGCATTTCGTCGCGATCCGCTACCTTTAAGAGTGGGCGCACCATACCCTAACTAGGAAACTCGGACAAGAGCAGCAAGAAGAAAAATTAATGCAATTTTTGAAATGGATCCGTGACACTCGTTGCAAGTGTGTGGCAACGGTGTCAAGAGTCAGGGTTCCAGTGTAGGATTGAGTCTGGTGCCTCAAATCCCCCTAGTATAGAGCTGATATACTGCGTATATCTTAGGCTGGGGCCCTGGCAGATTTCTAAGCACCCGCGATCTCGCGGCTGTGACGGTCGCTAAGCGCCCGTACCCCCTCCCTCTCAACTGATCTGATCGATTAGATAAATTGCTGACTAATACCACTCTCACTCTTACTACATATACATGTAGTATACATCCGCTCCACTACATCCAGGGGCCCCGCCCCGTACCCCCTCTTCGAGAAATAGAAGATTAAGGCTCTGTTCGGACGGACGTCAATACCATGGTATTCACCCCGAGTAGGAAGGTGTGTAAGTCAATGTAGTATTTTAGTGTTCTGATGGCCCAAATTATTAGTTTTGATACCATGAATACGCCACAAAATACCATGGTTTTAACAAATACCTCTGGAGGTATTTATTTCCCGTTGTCTTGTATCTTCATGCCTCTAGTAACCCAACAATATCTCAACTCCATCCGAACGCTTCCCCCTTTGGCGAATACTTGGTTTTATCCCTTAAACTGCCGGAATTTTCACTGCTTTTTAGCGCTGGCGATCGCCCCAAGCAGGAAACCAGGACTCCCGGAAGAGGTTGATACAGGTCACAACGCTTCACGGCTAGATCTAGAGAGGTGCTAGTGATACCCAGAGCGGCATTAGCAACAAATGAAATCTTGATGTAGTAATACTACTGCCCACTATGGCTGACCATTCGTACCTTGAACACAGAGGAGGGGATCTCAGGGCATGATACCATGCAACCAAATTTACCACAGTATTGAATACCACGTCCGTCCGAACAGAGCCTAGAAGAACTTTATTAGACCAGCTTGCCCATCAGCGAGCGTTGCCCGCTATTTTACCCGCTACCCCAGGATGCAACGGTTGCCACCCACCAAAGTTTGGTGGACGTTGTTGGCCGGGTTCTAATTTCGTCTTCGGCTTCACGACGATTCGAATGACAAAATGAATAAAATCTTATTTATTGCCAGGGAGGAATCAAACTGAAACTTGTCTGACGATACCGACGGATGATAATGAAAACAGAAAGGAAAACAGCGAGCTAGCCATGAGGTCGTTCCGCTGAGAACACCTTTACAAAGGGATTGTCCACGTTATCACGTGCTGTGCTGACTAATACACGACAAATCACTTTACAGCAAATGTGCCCAACAACGTTCGCTGATGGGCAACTTTTTTTATGTAGTTTATTGATTCGAGGTACAAAGCTTGCATGCAGTCTTGGACTATGGCATAGCTCACTGATGAGCAAGCTAGTTTATTATCTATATTTATAATCAACTACAAGTACATATATCTTTCTCGATCGCAACCGTAAAACATCATAAAGGAACTTAATTACCTCGCTCATTCACACTTGTGCTCACACCTTCACCAACGCTCTGGGACCTCTATCTCAGTCGCGCAGAGAAAAGTGGCCGTCTCAGTCTCGAAACAAATCCGAGCTTCAACAATTTACTCCATAGTCATAACGATACCGATAAATCTTTTCAACTGACTCCGACGAGATCCAATGTTGCCGACAACAGGCAGACCGTACGCCCGGAGTATGGCTCGAGAAGCTATGGGGGGTAGGTGTGTAAACTTCGGCGTTTTTTTAAAGAATCGGCCAATCAAACTTATAGAAATTGGCCATAATGGTACTAGCGCCTAGACTAACCCTGGCATTTTCTCAGATTCCCACACAAACGAAATTCCTCTGAAGTTGACACACCCGCCCTCTAGGCCTTCTCGCGCCATAGTTGGTTGATTTCGTTCGCTATTTCAAACAGCGATCAATCAGCAGCGTCATCATACCAAACCAAACGACCTCCTTGGAGGCGTCAAGGAATGGGTCACGTGACCGTTGATGTGCCGAGCAACGAACTGTAGAAACAGGGGTCTAAAAGCAGGGTTTCTGTGGCTGGGCAAGCCAATAGGACTCCTCCCATATTTCTACAATAATCTTACCGCAAGCTGTACTCGCTAGATGATCAAAATCAGATGGATATCGGTGGAGCGGAATTACTACCGATTGAACTTACATTGAATCGAAACGATTGTTGACCGCCTCAAAACCTTCGCAGATATGACCTAGCCTATTTTTGCCTGTATGATATCACTGCCGACTTCGAAGGCCTGCCGGCTGTGACCTTCAACTCCATCAACCCAGACAGAGCAGCGGAAGGTAAACTCAAGAAGTAAAAAAGCCAACAGACAGCGGAAGGTAAGTATTATTCCATCAATTAACTTGAAGAACTTTGGTAACTACTAATAGAACTTTGAGTACCGGGTTTTAAAATACTTGTTAGGATTGAGACAAAATTCACTACTAGCAGAAAGTGAGCGGATTCTATCAAGGGGATGGGAATATGCGCGCCGAGACTAATTGCTTTCGTTCAGTACTGGTGCGAGGTGGGAATTGAGGTATCAGAGGTTGATGAATAGGGAATCTGCTGCTACAGGAATCTGAAGGTGAGCGGCTCCTGTCAAACAGACTGGAATGCGCTGAGACTAATTGCTTTTGCTCAGTACAGGGGGGTATCATAGGTTGGTGGATAGGGAACCCGTTACTATTAGGGAGGAAACTGAAGGTGAGCGGATCCTGCCAGACAGATTGAAATGCGCCGAGCCTAATTGCTTTTGTCTTTAGTAGCTGGACCAGGGGACTGCGAGTGGGACGGAATTGGCTATAGCAGGTACATAGACTGGCGTGTAAGGTAGGGGATCGCTATCACGCAATAGAGAGCTTTGATTTTATGCTAATTGGAAGAATCAGAGAAGCTTAGGCCGGATGGATTTTGTCAATCAGCTGGACCCGGCACCAGATAATGCGCCAATAATGGATCTTGACGATTCAGAAGAAGAGGTTGAATGACGAGGTCTTCTTAGGGTTGGACTACAAGAATAGTAAGTTGAAATTATTCTTCAGTGGAGGACTTGTTTTCAAGTGCAGGCAGATCTTATGGCTGGAGCGAAGCGAGGATTCGGATACTGCAACCGTGGACATGGGTGATAAATCAAGAGCAATTTGGTGTAAATTCATAGGGATATCACGCCTAGCTAATTTGTATCCTCTGTTGTCCAAAACTCGTTTTATGGCTAGACTACGTATTCGGTTTTATGAATCGACTCTCCCCCAATAACCTGAGTAATTCTTTGTCCACCCTAACCGGTAACAGGAATTATTCCTTACCACATTAAAGCAGATCGTACATCTTGATTGTAGGCGAAACAATATGGGAAGGCATCCACGCAAACAACCTATGTACCGAAGGCTCCTTTTCTAGACACCCTGGGACTAACATAGGTACACACATATAGTAATACTCCTAATTGGGGCTTGATCTCGTTCCATAGGGTATACAGAATATGTGAGAATATATGCACGAGACTACTATAACGCCCTTAGCTATGAACACAGTATCGACACCTTAGATCCGAAACGTCGGTACCGACAAGGAAAATTGTTTAAATATTGATTACTACTGAGATATGGCGCCGATTTCTTTTTTGTCTCATACCTAGTCTCATATTTATAGCTAGCGATTGGGGTTTGGAAAGCCCTCAATGCCCAAACAGGAAGCCATGGGAGTTTTTTTTTTTTTGCTTTTAGGCCCTTCTGAAAGAGCCCGTTTAAGGGGTTGTGGAAATATCTGTTTCTTCAAAGTGTTTCGTTTCTCAAAACTCTTCTGTTTATGGAGCGTGTGATTCTAATAAAGACCCTATTGAGAACCAGATGCGGTGGGTGCCGGATAGTTGTCTTGCCTATCATTGGTTTTTTTTATATGCAACCCTAACCCTGATAAAATCCCTATAAGGTTCTCAATAACTAGCGTCCAACAGCCAAACAAAAGAAGCCTGAGGATTTTGAGATGTAAAGGACGGAGTGTGAGTTCTTTGCTGGTTTAAGAAATTATCATCCATATCTACTGATAATCTAAGTACGTAGCTATGAGCCAAAATTAAAGATTTGGTACGAATTCGCAGTTCGTTGGGATAAGTTGATATCTAGTTTAACAACAAAATCCTCTCCTTGTTAATATCCATATCACCAATAATTTATGATCGGATGTTTTTTTTGGCAGTCCAAGTTGTGTAATCTATATTTGTAGATTTTGGCCTATCGAAAAATTTAATCAAGACCTGTTAAGGGCGTTCTAATACTCACCAATCCCTTATTTCGGGTCTATTGACGTGGATTTTAGAAACATACCTTACAATGAATCCCTAGTTGTTTTATGGCATATTCTTTGACTGCATATATATATCTTTCATTCTCCCCAGTTCTCAACAACCGATAGTCTCTAGCTTGCCACCTGCAAGAATGTTCACGGGGTATTATCAGGTTTCTCTTTATCCAAACAACAAGAACCACAGGCAACCTCTCACACTTCTCGAGATTTCAAATTCTCAATGTGTAGCAGTAATGATACTTTTTTCAAGCTAACAGTGCTACTCCCTTTACTAAAGCCCAAGATATGCTGGAATTATAACTCTTATAAGAAACCTAGAGTCCCAGTCTGTTTAAAATCCTCACTCGCTCAGAGCATTCCGAGTTAGCCAATACTGAATATCCTTTGATCAGTACCGCCCAGTGTTCTAATTGATATATTATTATCCAAAAAAAAAAAAGATGAAATTCACTAGTATTTTTGTGGCTTCGGCCACGTTCGTATTCCTTGCTGCGGCACTTCCCCAAGTGTATGAGCTTTCTCTCCTCAAGATGTCTGTTGTTATTTTAGGTATATTAAATGCTGACTATTCAACCTTTCCTGAATATAGTATTATAGCTCGCCGTAATGCAGAGCCAGAAGGCGTCACAATCTGGGGCCGTTCAGTGTTTCAAAGACGTCAACTTGCGGTCCGCGTAGCTGAGGCCGATGCTGATCCAGATTGTACCGGACCAAACTGCGTGTGCGGCAGACCCGGAGCACCGCTATGCTGGAAGGACAAACGTGGGGAGCTTCAGTTCGTCCGCGAGGCTGCGCCAGAGCCCGTGGCTGAGGCCGATGCTGATCCAGATTGCACCGGACCAAACTGTGTGTGCGGCAGACCCGGAGCACCGCTATGCTGGAAGGACAAACGTGGGGAGCTTCAGTTCGTCCGCGAGGCTGCGCCAGAGCCCGTGGCTGAGGCCGATGCTGATCCAGATTGCACCGGGCCAAACTGCGTGTGCGGCAGACCCGGGGCACCTCTGTGCTGGAAGAACAAGCGTGGGGAGCTTGAATTTGTAAAAGTTTGACGCTCCATCTTATTAGTCTCCTATTTGTTACGGACTTATCTCTGAGATGTCGATTTTGTTGTTGTTTTTCTATGAACTTATCTCTTCTTAACTATTAATTCAGGTTATTGAGAATTCACAGTATCCTAGTCGGTATGTCACGGCATACCTTTCTTTTTTTTCCCTTGGGACTTTCTCAGTCAATATCTCTTATTACCTCGAGGTTCATTCCATACCACGAGCATGTGAACCAACCTCTTGTATGATGGAGAGCCGCTTTACTCTTCTCTTTCTTTCTTCTGTCCTAATAAAGGACAGTGTGGGAGCCGTCGGTACATCAAGTGTTGAGGGTTTGGAAACTGTAAATTTTGGATGTGCGAATCAAGGAGAGCTGCAAAAACAGCAGGGGGGGGAGGTTTCTGAACCTCTATCTCTGTTATATAGTTAGCTATTTTGTATAGGCGAAATTGAAACCCCTGTGGTTGTTTTTGGCCCTCGAGCGTTGTAGCACTATTCACGATATGACACTACAAAGTCCGTGGATGTACGAGTGACTTCCTATGACCAATGTGCACACGTAATTTACTAGCTACTATTTTTTTTTTTCGTTATCGGGGGGGGTGATGAGCACTTGGGCCTGAGAAATTTTATAACTCTTCCCCCAAAGATTGAGATAGGGGTGGGGGTTTGATGATGAGGTTGGTGAAGGTTGGAAGATGCAAAAGTGGGATGTGATGGGAGGTTGGTTGCGTGGGCACCTCTATGCCACGCGTGCGTAACCACACCAGTGCGTCGTCGTCCCTCTACGTTCTACATGATCATTGACATATACAGCAAGACTCTAATTTAAATCCTGCATCTGGCTTCCGCGGGGAACAATGACAGCTTGACCACCAACCCATCAATTAGCCCCAAAATGTCCTTCGATTATCTCTCTCGTCCGAACGAAGTACCTGCTCACTCCCATGGCTCAAACTTTGATAAAGATGCTCTGTCTCTTTCAACAAAACTGACGTGTATCAATGGCGAAATGTCGCGGATCTTATCGCTGCAGGAACAGGTTGGCGGGCGCAGAGATAGCGCAGAGTTGAGAGAGATAATACAGCGTATGCTGGGGGAAACGGGGAAGAAGTTTGAGCGGACAGAGGTGGATGTGAAGTTGATACGACGATGGGAGCGATGTGAGCTTTCTGTATGTATATACACAAAGCTACGAAAAAAAAAAAAAAAAAAAGCGGCTCACAAGAGACTACATTCAGCTCACATCTACACTCTAGCCTACACAACAATACACCGCTGAAAAACTCTCGGACACATTCTCAAAGCTCTTTACCCGTTTTCAGTCCCTCCAGCGAGTATTGGCCGAAAATGCCACACGGCCCCTTCCAACTGTCCCCTCAGTCTTTAGTTCTAGTGAGGCGCCAGTCACTATAGGACCTCAGCTACCTCCATGCGAGTCGGCCCTGGCCGATCAAACAGAGGTTGAACTCCAGGAAGCGATAATTTTGCAAAGAGACCAAGAGATACTATCGCTACGGCAGGGGGTAGAAGACATCAATAATATGCTCAAGGCCTTGGCAGCTATTATAGGCAAGCAGAGAGATTATTTAGTGACCATTGAGGACAACGTTGACGGGGCAGCGAGGGATATTAGAGAAGCGTTTGTTTTTCCATTCATATGTATATATAGGCTATATTATGGGAAGTAACTAATCATATAAGCTCATACAGAGACAGCGAACTACAGCACGCTATCAAGCTGCATAAACGGGCTAGGAACAGAGCATGCTGTCTACTTCTGGTCTGCACCATTGTGTTTGCAATTGTATTACTTGCGGTTTGGACCTCAGCCAGTATCCCCTTACCATCTCCGAATTAGACTGATTTCTTAGTTGATCGCAGCTGAATAATTTTTGACCGGAGCCATTCAACTATAGCAAGTAGTGATTACATGTACGCTAGTAACTCATGAATATAACCTTTCATGGCGCCAAGAGTTACTCCAAGTGATATTAATCATAGCACAAATGCCATTCTCTCAAAATACGGCCTCAACCAGTTTTTGCTTGACCCATTGATTAGGCGCGTAGGAAATTGATATTCTCTGTCTTCTTCTGCATTTCTGGTTTGCTTGCCCACTATCTTTTGAGTATCACGTTGACAAATATTATCATAAAGAGAAGGAGGAGGAGGGAGGAATGCCAAAAACAATTTCATAAATATGGCATAGTAATCTAACTCAATTGTAGCAGATTATCTGACCCTGCCAAACTAGGGCACACCTTTCAGCGGAAGGGGGTGCATCAATGGGATGCGTCGCCGCTAAGAAGTGTAGTCAAGAAATGAATCTTGTGAGATATGTATCTTAGTTTGGATTTTAGATTGAAGACAAAACAATCATGAATTATCACTCGCACCAACCAACTACCAACGAATCATGGAAAATTTAAACCCACAAACACTGAGACGGTATCATATTATTGACTTTAGCTATTCCCCCGTTTTCAAACTAAAGACCCAACTATTTCATACATGACAAACTCCACATCAGTTTTAATTGAGTGCATGGAGCACCAACTTCTTGTATCCCTCCACCGCCTCCTCCAGATCCGAAACCATCACAAACTCATGATCACTATGCGCAGTCGTAATGGATCCAGGCCCATAAAGGTACTTTTTATGGTCCCCCTTCAAGTGCGGGATATCAGTGCCATACGACATTACCGCTTTCTCAAAACCTAACATCACAATGCCGCTTGTCAGACTTCATTGTATATACCTAATTTAATTTTGATGTGTGAACAGGGACATATATAAACCGACTCACCCTCAACATCCGAATCCAAAACCACCGGATCATAAAAGAACCCCAAATAACTCCACGACACCCCACTAACACCCCCAAAATACCCATCCAGCTGCCCCTTGATCGTCTCCGCATCCACCGCCAGCCTCACCGCAATCGACGCGTTCGCATACGGGCTCACCACATTCGCCGCCGCCCCGCCCCTCACCAACCCATAATTCAGCGTCGAGTTCCCCAGCAGCGCGCTCCCGGGCAGCTCCACCCCATCCAGTCCATACAACGCCGTCACCAGCGCCTTATTCGCGTCCACCCCCAGCTGCGGATACCCACTATGCGCGGCCTTTCCAAACGCCTCGAGCTTGACCGCAAGCGCACCCTTATGCCCCACCGCCAGCTTCAGCTCCGTCGGCTCCCCAAAGACGACCGCCTCCCACGACAGGCCAAGGTCGTTCGCAGCCTTCATACCCGCGCCGTCGACCTCCTCACCAACCACAAACAGCATTGCCACGTCCCCGTCGTCCACAGACCCATCGGCAAGCAACTGCTGCAGCGCCACGACCTGCGCCGCAATGGAGCCTTTCGCGTCGTTCGACCCCCGCCCCGTGATGGTCCCGTTGGCTGTGATCCCGTACGGGATGTACGGGCCCACGGTGTCCATGTGGGATGTGAGCAACGCGCGGGCATCCCGGGAGCTGCCGGTGTAGGCGTAGATGTTATTGCGGCCGTCGGCGACCTGCTGGAGCTCGACGGTGAAGTTGTGGGACGAGAGGTAGGAGGCTAGGTAGGTGGTCACGGCGGACTCGTTACCGGTGAGGGAGGGGATCGAGACGAGGCCCTCGTGTAGAGAGAGGAGGCCGAGCGTATCGTTCTGCGTGCAGCGAGATACGTGCGCGCGAGCAGCGGCGGTTGCAATTGCTGTAGTGGAGAGGAGGGCGGCGAGGGATAGCTTCATTTTGGGGCCTAACTGTCGTCTAGTGTAGTGAATGGCGCTCTAGGGGAATGAAGAATGGGGGGGGGGGGGGAAGGAAAACTCAGAAGTGCAGCGGGATGAGACGATATATATATATATATCCTGGAGACTAACCACACTTATCTTCCAGAGAACATATAGGGACTAGGCGTATAGACCGCCCCAACCATCGTGGCAGGCCGGCATAGGACAGAGGATCAACAATTGATATTCCCACATCTCCGTGCAAGTTGTTGGAGGTGCGCGCAGTGGGCAGATCCCTGCTGGGAAGGTACATACATAGAGTACTCGCGACCAGCAACAAGAACCCGAATATGCAGCTGCAAGTCTTTGGTGTATTTTTGACTTCTACTCCAATGGAAATTGCAGATTAGGACGTGCATTTTCGGGTTCTTGTTGCTGGTCGCGAGTACATGTCTTCGGGGGTCGGCATACATGTACATACAGAGTAGGTACTCTACCTCAGGTACACGCATAGATCTAGAGTGTCTTGGGCAATATACTCTATCGCCCAGCTGCCTTACCAACCATCGGACGGGAGGGGAAGGAGACGAGAAGAAGAAGAGAGGAGTCGAGGTGTTCGAGATGTCGAATGTTTCTTTTTCCCAACTACATGCATATATAACTATGAGACGATCTGATCATGAGGCTATCTCATGATGCTGTCTGTCGTGTAACGGTTCATGCGTTCTGCGATGGATTCTTCTTCTTCTTCTTCTTCTTCTTCTTCTTCTTCTTCTTCTTCTTCTTTTTTGTTTTACCTTTTAGCCTGCCAGCCTGCATTTTATATCTCGACCCGGATCGATAACGATATTTCGAACAGCAGATGTTCTGGTTACCCAGCCCAACCACCACACCCGCGCACCGAGACCACGGAACGGTTCCTGCGCTGCACCCTGAATGCCGAGCCAACGCGGATGTTTCCCAGGGCAAGGGGCGGCAGAGCAGCTGTGTCTGGCACTGGCACTGTCTGCACTGTCTGCACTGTCTGCACTGGGACTCTGTACAGTCTGCCTGTGTCTGTCGTGGCCGGTGCCAAACAACGTCATGGTGGAGCACCCGTCTGTGCGAATGTTACTTGAATTGCGACGGGGGCGCGCCGTTGTTGTTTAAGTACCGGGAGCTACATACATACATTTACATACATATATTTCCCCACCGACCAGGAAGGCACGGACATGTCTGGAGGAACGTGTTGTTCTTCTAGTCCTGTCCATGGTCATCGTGAGGTCATACATTATACATATATTGGCTTGGCTAGCAAGCAGGGTTCTGCGATGCAAATGTTTAACCTGCAATTAAGCTAGGGCATTTTAAACAACATTTCCCAATATGCGATTCAGATACAGTGAATAACTAGTTAGTGGAATTTCAGACATTCGAGAAAAGATTATGCCCTATATTACAACAGGAAGAACAAAGACTTCAATCAGGACCCTTTCCTTTCCTCCTTCATGATTCATACAATAGCAATTCCTTGCCTATGACTTATCCAGTGCCCCTGAGCTCCTAAATGCGCCGACCTCAAAAAAATACAAAGAACTTACAAAGATAAAGAACAAAGCGATAGTAAGCCCCCCCCAAAAAAATCCCGCGCCCCAAACAATGAAAAGAAATAACTCCCCAAAAAAGGCCCCCTGAATCCCTAAAGTACGTTTTCCCAGCCCTGACGAAAAAAAGGAAAGAAAAAAAAAAGATCCCCGATATGACAGCAAGAAATTAGGAAAAAGTGACCCCGTAGTAGTAGCCGTTTCGTTTCGTTATATTTCGTTACGTAACGTTTAATTCGTATAGTAGTTTTTTCGGCAGTAGTAATAGTAGTAGGATGTGCGTGGAATATACACTCGTGAGATGTCCGTCCGAAAATACCGAATAGAGAGAGAGAGAAGCTGTGTCTACGGTACTTCCGGACCGTGTTCGCGGCAGATCGTAATTAAACCATCAAACCCGCAACAATCACACTCATGCCTCCCACCAGGACAGCGACAAATCCAGGCGACATTCGGTGGTCGTGGGGCTCAGAGTGCATGTACATCTGCCGTAGCGATGGCGCCGACGAAGCTATTGGCAAAAAGCAGATGATAAGTCAGTTCCGGTGAAGCTTGATGAGGAATGCTGTTGGAATGAAGGGAAAGGGAAAGAGAGAGAGCTTACTCAGATCCTTGTCGTTGCGCCTGGCTGGACTGCCGCCGGAGGAGGAGGACGTGCTGGCGGCGAGAGCTTGAAAGGGGTGACCGGCGATGACACTGGCGATTGCGAGGAGGAGGAGCATGAACGCGAGGGAGGTTCGTAGGGTGATGGTTCGTGGAGTGAACATTGTGGTAATGAGTTATTTGGGAGGCTTGGTTTGTGTGTGGTTGACTCAGCTGTTGAAGCAAAGGGCGTAGAAAGGTAGTCGAAGCTTTGTTCCTTTTTGTGTGAAGCGGCTTTGAGGTGCAATAGGTAGAGTAGATGGGATGAAGGGCCCCCTTGGGTTTATATCTCCTAAGAACGTGGGAAATTGGGCCCAGATGGGATGATGGGAAAGGGAAAGAAGAAAAAAGAATATGTAATTAACCTCCAATTCCAAGACGCAGAGCCAAAGCAAGGTTAAATAAGTTGCATATGTTATGTGGAAGGAGTTGAGTTTTAACGCTGAGCTGTCCCGCCCTTGCTTGAGTTTCTTTCTTTCCTGCTTAAGTGCTTGCTTGCTTGCTTGCTTCAAGAGAGAAAAACCCCCGGCACTCCAAGGGTCCGAGATCTGCCTGCAGGGTTCAACACACACACACACACACACACACCACACACGATACTTCTGCAGCAAAAAAATTATCTTAAGTTGCTTGAATGGGGCCCGTGAGCTACTACTACTACTGTAGGCCTTCCTCTTTTGATTCACTGCGGGGAAAACGGTGGCTTTTCGTTTCTATGCACTTGTCGCAGAATCAAGACAAGAGCTTTCCTCTTGGTGCGACTGTACTTGCCTTGCTTCACCTCTAAAATTCACGATGATATTCGTTCAGTCACGTCACGCGCGCCCCCGACCCCCCCGACCGTTGTATCAGTTTTTTTGCACTTATGAGGCAAGTAAGCAAAGCAAGCAAGATTAACCTATGACTACAAGTGCAGTATGTAAGGTTTGTTCGTGATGGTGGCGGTGAGGGTCATTCGGCCATGGACCTGTCTACTCTAACTAGCTGGACGTCACCTGTCTCACTCCCACTGCATATAGCACACCCATCTTTATCTTTAATCCCTCTCGAGACGGTCGGTGGTGGTGCCCGGCCGTTGGAGTACAAAACGATCTAGATAGATTTCCAACCAGCACCTACCTCACCTCCCGTTAAAAAAAAGTAACAACCAGCAAGCGCTTTTCAGGGGGCAGACTTCGAAATCCCCCTCCTCAGGAACGTTTGATAAGTCTGGCCCTACCCACTAGCTGCACCTATTTTTACAGGACGGGGGCAGGGGTGGGTGGGTGTGAATGCTGTTGCTGTTGCTGTTGTTTTTTTCTTCGCTTCCGAATGCACTTTTTAGTGGTAACCTACTCTAAACCCCCCCTGTCCGGCAGTGTTTGATCTGCTGCTTCGCAAAGGTTAAAAAGCGCGGAAGGACCCGCAGGAAAGCTAGAGCCTCAGCAGCATCCACGCCCGGCGGATTATAATATTGACTTTGTGGTCTAGATTGGAGTTTTCCTACATACATACCTAGGTTGGTCGCTCTAGCCAGCCAGTGTTGTGAATCTATCTGTAGGGAAAGTTCTGGCCTTTGTAGAGGCGCGATGGGAATGAAGAGAGTATTCATTCGCTCTGGCTAGCTAGCTAGCACTGAGATAGCGCCTATCCCACAAGAGGTATCATTTCCAGTGTCCTCTCAAGGCCTCTCGATAGAGTATAAAATTAGATCAGCTTGGGATGTCTAAAGCCACATGTTTGGCCAAATTCCATAACTATGGTTTCTACACCACGCACACCCGACGGAATTCGCATTTGTGCAAAAGGTCCACAATGTGTGGGATGGTGGTCCCTTGCTCGATGAGCAATAAAACTGCATGTCTCGGAAAAGATGCAGATTGTGTTAATATTTCCCCCACTTATCAATATCGCGCGGATTTTATTGATGATGACTATAAGGCAATGGTTAAGATTAAAGAAAATCGCGGATACATACCTGTGTGCTCAGAGATCAATAAATAAATTATCTGGACATTGACTCGGCGAAATATATAACCAGCCAAGTGCATTTGCTTTTAAGCTTTGGGCAGTCTGGCATAAGACAAGAACATAAATGCATCGTCTAATTGTCCTACGCTTGGAAACTGGTTGGTCAAGGGCCCGAAACACTGAGAGAGAGCTTGTGTTCCGATCAATGTTATTCAAACCTTTGGAGATTTGTGCCAAGACTAGACAAGCCTTACTCTTAAATTGATCATTGGTTCTTGGCCTTTCTACTATTAACGCTTCGGGCAGCATCAGTTAATTATTAGTCACCCATATTTAGACATAAGCCCAGTTTAACCCATGGAAGAATTGGTAGTGAGACCAGTGAGATATCAACATCATTAGTCTTGAAAGGTTTCTATAACGACACTAATATTCACGTCAACCTTGTATATCTATTTCTCCCCTCAACCCCATTTATGTATCCCTCTTACGCCTGTCCCTATACCAAACAACCATAATTAATTCTCCACCTAAGCTCTAACCAACAAACTGTGACCAGTCATAGCCTCAGCCTGCTCAAGACCCATACAGGCCAGGACAGTTGGGGCAACATCACCAAGAACACCGTCCTGCTTCTTCAAGCTCCATCCCTTTGGCGCATTAGCCATGATGAATGGGACTTTGTTGGTGGTGTGAGAGGTCTTGGGGGTTCCCTCCTCCGTCAACATCTCTTCAGCGTTACCGTGGTCCGCAGTGATGAAGAGAACATAGCCGTACTTCTTGCAGGCCTCGTAGACGGTACCGATGGCAGCGTCAGTGGCGGCAACGGCTTTGACAGCAGCCTCGTAGACACCAGTGTGGCCAACCATGTCCTAGTATTATTAGTCACTGGGTTATTTCTGGCCGTGTTCAATCAGGCAATCTTACAGGAGGAGCAAAGTTGTTCATGAGGAACTCGAAATTATTCTCGGCGATACGCTCAGAAAGCTTATCCGCAACAGCCTGCGCAGACATATGTGGTTGAAGATCGTATGTAGCGACACGAGGGGACGCGATCATGTCACGGACTTCGTTGTCGAACTGTTTCTCAACACCACCGTTGAAGAAGAAAGTAACATGAGCGTATTTCTCGGTTTCAGCAACGTGGCACTGCTTTACACCCTTCTTTGCGAGCCATTCGGCGAGCACGTCATCCATGCGCTGGGGAGGGAAAGCCACAAGGAAAGGAAAGTCAGACTTGTATTGGGTCATGGTGGTGATATAGATACCCTTGGGGAAGGGGAAGTCGGGAAGAGGTGAGCTGTCGACACCGAGGAGTTGAGTGATCTCGCGGACACGGTCAGAACGGTAGTTGAAGAAAAAGAGTGTGTCGTTGTCTGCAAGTGATACTTAGTGAGTGGTATTTGAAAAATATTGGTGCACCATTGATGAGGGAAGCACGTACCCTTGACTCTAGCAGGCTCTCCGCTGACAATGATGGGCTTCAAGAACTCGTCATTTTCGCCCTTCTCGTATCTTTCCTTGATTGTGGCTACAACATCCTCAGAAGTTTCACCTTTGCCGGAAATAATACCCTTGAGGGCAATCTCCACACGCTCCCATCTAAACGGAAAGTCAGAATTTTCCTAGTTCCCATTAACAGGAACAATTCCCATACCTCTTGTCTCTGTCCATAGCATAGTATCGCCCAACTACTGTGGCTATCTTCGCAACCTTTTCCATACCAAGCTCCTTGATCTTAGCAAGGAGTGACTCCATGTATCCAACGGAGCTCTTGGGGTCGGTGTCACGCCCATCGCCGAAAAAGTGAATGTAGACCTCAGGGATCTCCATCTCCTTTGCAGTGGCTAGAAGTGCATACAAGTGGTTCTGGTGAGAGTGAACACCGCCATCGGAAACCAACCCGAGGAGATGAAGACGTCCATTACCGTTCTTAGCGTGAGAGAAGGACTCCTTGATGTTCTCGACCTTAGGGAACTCTCCCCTCTTCATGGTCTGGTCGATACGGACAACCTATATACGTTTCCGTCAATAATCTGGTTTCTTCTTAAGGTCTTCGAAAACATACATCTTGCCAGACGACACGTCCAGCTCCAATATTCAAATGTCCGACTTCACTGTTGCCCATCAAACCCTCGGGCAATCCGACAGCAAGAGAAGAGGCCTCGAGCTCAGTGTAGCCGTCGGCATTCGCCTTGAAAGCGTCCATGATGGGGGTTTCCGCATTTGCAATGGCGTCGCCCTTACCACCAACTTCACAACCCCAACCGTCAATGACGACTAGAATAATTCATTCTTGTTAGTACTTATTACCTTGAGTAGGTTTTCATAGCAAACAAAGTCAAGCAAAGGAAGTAACTCACTCAAAACAGCCTTCTGGTCAATGTTTGCCATTTCTTCTATAGTTACTCTGTTCGCAAATCAATGGAACAATTAAAACTCGACGTGGGTGTATCTGTCGCAATACAGAGGTGAAGAAATAGAATCAAAAGAACAAGAAAATTCTATAGAACTCTATCGGACGATTTCAGAGGTGAGGTGGGATGATGAAGAGAAAAACACAGAAAGATAAATAAGAGGGGCAATCAAACGTGGGATGTTTAGCGCGGGGTGTTTATCGGCCGTTTCCAAACCCTGGAAATTCTACTACGTAAACAGGCCCCCTGATTCGACGTCACCCTGTTCCGCAGCGGCCGGCCGACTTACTAAATACATTCTTTTCTGGATCAATGGCGAATTCGATGGCCCGCCTATCAGTACAAATCGAAAAAAGTAAAGATTACACTAGTGTATAAAGAAAATAAACCAGAATAAATACAGTATTTAGCCGCTTCGCACGAAGTAACGAAAACAGAAATGCACAGACGAGTTAGTGCGGGTGAGACAGCATGACCCTGCCCGGGCGAGGTTCCTTCGCTATTGACCCAGAAAATACTATACCTACATACGTTACACACAACTTCGTTTACTGATCCTCAAGCTCACGTCCTCCAAGAGCAAAGAGAGCTCCACGAAAACACCCGTACCACTCAACCTCGGCCCTACCCCCTCCTCAAATACCCTCATTTGAAATGTCTACCGATGCCCCTGCCCCTGCGGCTTCCGAGTCTCCCGTCGCGCCGACATCTCTTCCGGCGAACGCCTTCGACTTCCTTCCCGACCTCCACGCGCTGCTCCAACGTGTTTTCAACGATGAGCTTGACCCAAAGGATGTGGCCCACGAGTCTAGTCAAATCCGACTGAAGCTGGAGAGGGCAAGGGTCATGGTGGCCGAATTGCCTGACGTGGATAAGAGCTTGGACGAGCAGAAGAAAGAAATCAAGGAGCTCGAAGAGAAGATTGAGAGGCAGAAGAGCATCATGAGGGCCGTTTCACAAATGGACGTTGTGACTGAGATCGTGAAAAGAAGAGGGCAAGGGGAGAAAATGGAAATTGTTTCCTGAGCTAAAGCTTGAAGATATGAGCGCAAGGTGTTGTGATTCCTCACCATACTTCGTATGAGGTTTAAAAATATCTAACAAAAAGTATTTGCTACGTACAAAATAGATAATTGATGAAACTTTCTCTTGGAATATCAATATCTTCTATATCAAAGTAACCAATGCCCAGGTCATATAGATGTAATGCACTAGTCACTTCTCCTGTGTGCTCAAGTCTCTCTTACCCAGTCCCTGTTTGACAAATTCTACCCTTATGGAACTCGTCGATTTTCATGTAAAACCTCTATTGGATATTCGGTGAAATCCCACATTGCACGGATGAGCTGCCCAATAACAGCCCGATCTACTACACCTACAGATATTCTTCCGAGTCAATCTCTCCCCCACTTTAAGGACCGCCTGTATCATCTCCCAGACACTCACCGGTAGCCAAATACTAGATCTACAGTGCTTCCGTCTGAAGCGAGTATTCATACAAGTATTTCTTAGCTGCAGGTTTGGTGCCTTTGCTCGGTCACCCGTGTGCTCGCGACGTAGGAAACGCTATATCCCGCTGAAAATCTATATTCTATCAAATGTAGTAGACTTTTCTCACACGGAACATTTAAGAATAAGCATAAAACATTATTTGAGGGCATTGAAGTTGAGATATCGACGTTATCTAATCCATCGTCAGGCTCTACTAAATATTTCACGTGATTACTCTCAACAAGCTGGGCCCTCTGCAGCATGGGGACTTCAGCCCTAGAGCACTCCAATTCTCCACATGCAAACAAGATTTCAGCAACAAATCGCCTCCCTTTGGCGTCTCGCATGGCGATTTAAAGCTACAGCCTATGAGAATAAGCGATCTTGGCATTGGTCATTGCCGCCTCGTACCGAGCGACGACATTACGTAGCTGCAATGCCATACCAAGTTCGAAGCCTGGGGAGCGGGGATCCGGAGGGGGGGGGGGGTAGATGCCATTTTATATAGGAGCATTCTGGGAACAGACTTCTCCCAGCTTTCATCAAGACATCCTCTCTATCTTCCCATTGTAACCCTTGATATTATCATTCACAATGAGCGAAATCAAAGTCCTTGCGTTCGACCTTTATGGTACAATTCTAGATACCTCTTCCACCGACAGGAAGCTCAAAGAAATCTTCCCCTCGTCCGAGAGTTCGAAAGTTCACCATGTGGTTCAACAATGGCGTAGATACCAGCTTGAGTACACCTGGAGACTCAACTCCATGGGTATAACACCTCTCTTGTTCTCTCCGTCAGACCAGTAGCTTATTCTAAGAAAAGGCGCATATAAATCTTTCGACGAGGTGACCTACCTCTCGCTCTCCCATGCGGCCAAAGAGAGTGGTATCTCTCTGTCTAAAGAGCAGCTTGAGGAGGTTGTGGCTTCATACAATACACTCTCCCCATACCCAGATGCAGTGAAGCTGTTCCAGGAGCTTCCTGGGCATATTAAAGCATTAGTCTTCTCCAACGGGACTCCACGTATGCTCTCCGATACGTTTTCGGCTTCCGAATTCCTAAAGGATGTCAAGTACTTGTCTGTGGACTCTGCAAAATGCTTCAAACCGGACCCTAGGACATACCAGCTTCTGGTGCAGCATCATAACATGGAGGGAGAGGCAATTAATGCAAGTGAAGTGTATCTTGTGAGCGGGAATCCGTTTGACATTGTTGGTGCTGCTGCCGCAGGGTTGGGCACGATCTGGATCGATCGTGCTGGAAAGGGATGGCAAGATGGGTTGGGAGCACCGGCACATTCGGTCATGAGTTTAGAAGAAGTGAAGGGTGTTGTGGAGAAGTGTAAAGGAAAATCAGCAGGTGCAGGTGGAGACCCTTGCTGCGGTAGAGGATAAAGGTATTTTTTTCCCTCCTCTCCCTCTTATCTCTTCTACAAATGCTCATTAATGTTCATGGGTTGACCAGACATCGGTCACAAAATTGAGATCCTAAAATTCCTTTACCTTATCAAAAGCCTAAGTTGGTTTAACCTCATGTACAAGTAGTCGAGTCAGAAATCTCCCTATGTTGAATATGAAACCCTCGTTTTTTATTGCGAAATATGACTTTATCCCCTGGGTCGTAACAGCCGATATTGTGGTCCTTTTGGACCAATATTTTCTTCCGGTTTTTTCACCTAAAGGTGCGCCAAGCCCTTCCAACAAAGATCCGACTACACAGGGACGTTCGGGGGAGGCCCCTCTTCTTTTGAGCCATCTGCAATAAGCATAGCGTCCGTGACTGTTGAGATATTTCGAATTTCCACCGTTATTGTAGGAACTTTATTACGACCTCCTATTTTCGACCCATTGAAGCCGACAGTCAGGTCCAAGTACATGTATTAACGGCCCACTCCAAGTTAGTCCCAAGGACAAAAATGTAGACGCTATTCACTCTCAAAGAATCCTGTAGAAAGAGGGGGGGGGGGGTGGTGATGATCTAGACGTTGTAAACGAAAGCACTTTTATTATTATCAAGGAGAAATACACATCCAACCATATTCCATACCTCATGACTCGCCGGTGATAGCCAGATAGTGGTGTTTAGTGACGAGGGATTGAAAGGGACAACCTGATTTCTATGACACCAAACCCCTTAAGTTTGCGGAGGGCCTTAATCACATATTATCACTCGCCCTCCCTGAAATCCCACCAAAGATCGAGATCAAAAAAATATAGATACATGTATGTACGTATAGCGGTCTGAAGTGCGGTTTTTCAAATCACATGCTGGAAATAACAGGAAGTCTTGTGGCTATGGGGCAGGTGTCAATCATTGCAATTAATGAATTAAACAAAAAAAAAAAAAAAAAAAACAGGTGTCAATCATGATATATCACTCGGTATATATAAACATTATCTTTTGTGGGCTTAGGACTAGTAAAGGATATTTCAGGCCAGTGAGAAACATTTCTTTGTCAAAATCCGGGACTAGCCCCTGTTTATGATTGAGTACCTTGATTTTAACCGTTGCTACAGGTGCTCCGTTCACGAACGGTAAATGATAACGCGTGTTCGTCGATAATATAGAACGCAGCCACGTATCACCAGGGACACACGACAGGGGTTCAGTTGGATATGGAACTTTTAGAATTGGGAAAGTTTTCTTCTACAATAAGACTAGAAAAGAAGTAATTGCGGCCAGTACATAGGTTACTATATTAAAGAAAAATATGCCACTGGAAACAAGAAAGAGCAGAAGCAAGAAAGAAAAGAAAAAAAGAGAAAAATAAATAAGCAAATAAGTGGATGTGTAGTTTAATAACTCCCGCGTCTATTTCCGGTATGACCTCGATAACCTTTTTTTTGTTCCTTCCCGATCATTCCTCGTTCTCATGCAGTCATGGAATCGTGTAGTTGGGTTGTTTGTTTACATGAAGTCGTCACTGTAGCCACAATCAGTATCAAATTCTAAATCACGGGAAATGACAGAAGACTTACTCATCATACGTGTTATCCGCACGGTAGTCAGTTGTGTCAAACTTATCCATCTCCTTTCCAGCCGCCGCCAACGCAGTCTTCTTAACGGTCTTCTTCTTACCACCCTTATCCGCCGCCTTCTCCTCCTTCTGCTTCTCGTTGGCCAAGGTTGTCAGGCCACTTGCAACCTTCCTGATCTGCTCACTGGGCATATCTTTTGACAACTGCCTGGCAAACTCCTGCAAAAACAGAGGATAATGTGCCTTTTTGGTATTAGCAGTGAGCAGTGGCACAAGCACCTCTCTCAGCTTCAAAAACGCATCTTTTGTTGTTGGGTTGAAGATTAGCAGCGATCCCAAGTCGATGTTCTTGGTAGGATCGTTGGGGTCCGTGAGACTGATCTTCTTCTCACGGTTCCCAATACCCGACCCAGCACCGATACCAACAGCGCCAAAAAGATCGATAGCGTGAGACATATCCGACTCCTCCTGTCTGCGGCGCTCGCGCTCCCTCTTCTGCGCGGGTGTCTCGTTCTCAAGTTCCTCGAGTTCGCGGGCGGCCCGCTCGGCAGCAGCAGCCTTCTCGGCTTGTCGCTCGGCGATGCGCTCGGCCTTTGATTTGTGGTTCGCAGCAGCTTCGGCGGCGGCCTTCTCGGCGGCAGCCTTTTGGCAACCTCCTTCTTGCGCTCCTCCTCGGAATCGTCGGCGGCGTCCCAAGAGTCGAGGACCTATAGGGGAGGGGGAGTGAGTCAGTTTTGGGGAGCTTGATAATAGTGAATGGAGATAGGTACATCATCATCGTCCTCCTCGTCGTCCCACTTCTTCTTTGGCGCGATACGGGGGACAGTGCCGGCTACTTCTTCCTCGCTGCTCTCAGCCTCATCATCTGTGATGGTGCGCCGTTAGTTTGAGGATCAGAGAAGCTTTAAGTGATCGGTCGGTCAGATATACACACCCCATTTGTCCTTTGGTGGAGCCATGATTGTGCGTTTGTAGGAGTGTGTGCAAAGAAAAGGCTGTTAACAAAAAAATGAAAAAAAAAGTGAAGCACAAGCAAATGAGTGAGATGAGGTGGTAGGTGTAGCGAGACGGAAGAAAGGAGGGTCCCTTTTTTTCTTTGAGGCTGGAGATGCCAGTGAGGGGCAAGGTGGGGTGGGTGTGGCGTGTGGCGTGAGGCTAGAGTTCGAGTCAGACTAGCAGGTAGGGTAACGGCAGACAGAATCAGAGATTCTCACTCGGCCACTCCCACTGGCCAGATTGGGGTGGGGCAGGTACAAAGACACAAGCGAGCTGTCTCGTTCTTTCATTGGCTCCGGGAGAATTAATAAACAACCTACAAATACATGTAACTAATAGCCGCCTCGCGCTACCAACTAAGCACACAGATCCGCCGTACAACGTCACGTGCCCAGATCATCACAAACGATCACTCGGGTATGTCGTGCTTCCATCTACGAAGCTGCAACATAACCGGCCGGTTGGATGCCTGAATTATTTTTAAGACAAGTCACGCTTATTGCGGGAGTTTGCGGAAGATTGAATGGATAATATTTTATTTTTATTTCTCATTCCATTGCTAGCAAAAACAGAAAGCCAACCGTTCCCAGAACTAACTATAGATAGGTTTTTTTTTTTAGTTTTTTTTTATTCCTTCCCAAAACATCAGTCACAACGTCCCAATAAATTAATGAATGGGACCCGCGGCGACAAACATTTACAAGTTGACAGCTAGTGGCCCAATATTAGCATCAGAAAGTGGAAGATAAGGTAAAGAAGACCCACCGGTTCTGAAGTTCTTGCCAGCGTAGATGGCCTTGTCACCCAACTCCTCCTCGATACGGAGGATCTGGTTGAGCTTAGCAAGACGCTCGGATCTGGCAGGAGCACCAGTCTTGATCTGACCAGCCCTCAATCCAACTACGATGTCGGCAATGGTGACATCCTCGGTCTCACCAGAACGGTGAGAGACCATGACTCCCCATCCACCGGCGTAAGAGTCCTTGGCAGCCTGGATAGACTCGGTAAGGGTACCGATCTGGTTGACCTTGAGAAGAAGGGCGTTGCAGCTCTTCTCCTCGATGGCCCTCTTGATACGGATGGGGTTGGTGACAGTCAAGTCATCACTAAGATTCAAGGTTAATAAATGATATGAGAATATCTGATGGCTCAAGAAGCTTACCCGACGATCTGGAAGTCGCTGTTCTTGAAGAAGTAGCTCCATGCCTCCCAGTCATCCTCGGCGAAGGGGTCCTCAATGGAGACAATGGGGTACTTCTCAGCAAGGCTCTTGTAGAGGTCAGCAAGCTGCTGGTAGGTGAGCCACTTGCTCTTGTCGGAGTCAGGGTTCTATGGGTAAAATGTTAGCATACGAGTTCCGGCAAAAACAACTGCATATAATCACTTACCTTGAAGTCCAAGTCGTACTTCTTAGCATCCTCCTTGTAGAACTCGGAAGAGGCAACATCCATTGCAATCTTCATCTGCCCGGTGTATCCCGCCTGCTCAATAGCATCGGTAATGAGGTCAAGGGCCTCCTCGGCAGTCTGAATATCAGGAGCGACACCACCCTCGTCTCCGACGTTACCCGCAGACTGTCCGTACCTCTTCTTGGCAAGAGACTTAAGCTTCTGGTAAACCTCAGCTCCCTGTCTCATGGCCTCAGTGAAGCTTGGGGCATCACAAGGGACGATCATGAACTCTTGGAAGGCAAGACGACCTAGAAATCACATCGGTAAGTTGCGGAAGGTTAAGGGAGTACAAAGTATAACTCAGATGTGCCATACCTCCAGCGTGGGAACCTATATTTCGGAATACCGGTTAGTATTGACGAATTATGGAGACGGCAATGATTGCCGGCCGGGGTTTTTAGGAATAGTAACTCACCTCCGTTAAGGACGTTCTGGAAGGGGACGGGAAGGACATACGGCTGCTTGGTACCGGCAAGCTCCGCAATGTGGGCATAGAGCGGGATTTTCTGTTAATTCTCGGTTGTCAGTTAATCCGGCGGATCCCGATTTCGTTAAGGTTACACAATAAGATCCTCGGGAGTAAGATCCACGCCCAGAAAAAACAAAAAAGGTACTTGGTAGTAGTAGCATGGGGAAAGGTGGGGTGGGGTGCTAAGCTGTGTCATACAACTATCAAATGCGGAACGTGGGGTAGCTCTTTCAGATCCATACAATGGTCTGGAGCAATGACACAACACCCAGGAAACCGGCAATGGCAACGACAGCGAGTGATATTTCATCAAAAAGACAAAATAAATAAGAGAATACTGTAAAATACGAACCTTTTCCGCGGCACCGGCCTTAGCAACAGCTAAAGAAACACCGAGAACGGCGTTGGCACCAAGTTTGCCCTTGTTGGGGGTTCCGTCAAGCTTGATCAAGAACTCGTCGATGGCAGACTGGTTCTTAACATCAATGTTCTCGGCAATCAAGGCAGGAGCGATGATGTCGTTGACGTTGGAAACGGCCTTGAGGACACCCTTTCCAGCCCACTTGGACTTGTCACCGTCACGGAGCTCGACGGCCTCGTGCTGACCTGTGAAGTTGAGGGAAGTTGGTAAGTAACTAAACCGGTGTATGCTACCATACTAAACATCTAGAAACGGGAAGAGTGTTACATACCAGTGGAAGCACCAGAGGGGACGATGGCCCTGTGGAGGCCGGTCTCAGTGTGGACATCGACCTCGACGGTGGGGTTACCTAGAAGTAACAAACCGATATCAGTATCATGGTTTTACCACAGCAAGTACGGAAATCTATCTCTCAAGAAGATGGGGACCATAGCTACATACCACGAGAGTCGTAGACAGAGCGAGCGTGAATTTTGGTAATGGCCATTTTTGATGATGAGTCTGATGATGATGAGTCTGATGGGTCAAACGAGATGTTCGGAGTTTATAAAGAAATCGAGACAAGGTTCTCGGGGAATAGGGTAATAGCAAACTAAAACAGCTGAGGGGAAGAGGTAAAAAAAAAACGAACTGGGACTGTTGCGCCAATGGGAGTAGCAAGGGTACCAAACGTGCTTTATGCGTCTAGACTATATTGACAGAGATAAGGCCCGTTATTTTACGTAGGGTAGTAGGGTAGACACGATTGACGCGCCCCCCCGGGGGGGGGGGGGGGGGGGGTGAGATGAAGGAGGGGCGAGGAACCAATAGAGATATTTAAATGGGAATTACGTTTTCTACATCTTACCACTCACAGATAAGGGAAAACGTGTGACATTTTTCAAGAGAAAATCACCAGACTCACGGTGATTATATTTATTTACAGATTCGGGCCGATAGTCAATATTTCCTTTTTATTATCCCCTGTGTTCCTGATGGCGATGGCGTTTTTCGATGGGGGAAGAATCGATGAGGTAATGAGGAGGAGCGGGGCCAACTTAGTGGGGGGGATTTCAACCTCATCTTCTGCAGCCTGCCCCTCCTTCTTGTCATGCCAAGAGATTTTCACGTGATATGGCTACAGAAATCACTCTACTTTTTATCCAGCAGGGTTGTTGGGCATGCCACCGGCTGCTGTATGCGTGTTTGCTACCAAAGAGCCGGGTTTTTTTTTGATCCGCAAATAATAATCAACCCAGGATAACCCCAATCGTAAGAATACACGGCCGCGGGAGAGCTTGAAAATAGATCATCCAATGTGAATTGTTTCATTCAAGGACTAACGGGAAGAAAGAAAGGTTTGCTAAATAGAAAAGAAAAACAAATACAAAAAAATAAAAAATTCGTCTATGAATCAATACGGTAATAATATTTATGGTTTTTCGATATTGCAAATCAGGTCCTGCCCATCGACCGAATCACCCTCCTTAACCTCCACATGCTTCACCTTTCCTGAGTGCGGCGCACTAATAACCATCTCCTGTTAAATGTATTAGCGATCGTGGTTTCGTAGATATGAGCGAGGAAGGAGTTTTCATACCATCTTCATTGCACTGAGAACGGCAACTGGGTCACCCTTCTTGACATCGGAGCCCATATGGACACGAAGCTCCACAACAACACCAGCCATTGGCGCACCAATTTGGCCAGGGTCACTGGGGTTAGCCTTGGGACGGCTCAAGTTCTCGACAGCTATATTTACTGTTAGTGATGTTTATAGTAAATTATCTAGGTGACACTTACCAGCTCTCTTGTCATCGACAGTGACCTGTCTGACTTCACCGTTCATCTCGAAGAAAACCTCTCTCTGCCCGGTCTGCTCGGACAAAGGACCAACAGCAAGAAGCTTCAAGATCAAGGTCTTACCCTTCTCAATCTCGACGTGGAACTCCTCGTTGATGACCGGGCTAGCCAAGAAGTACCTGGTAGGAAGGACACTCAAATCACCATACTTCTGTGTGAACTCCTTGTAGTCCGCAAAGACCTTGGGGTACATGTTGTGGCTGGCAACATCGCACTCTGAAGCGAATCCCCACTTAGCCTCAAGCTCCTGCTTGACCTTGGCAAGTTCGACTGGTGGTAGCGACTTTCCAGGGCGTTCGGTGAGCTTCTTGCGTTGGTTACGGAGCGCATTGGTACGAAGAGGTTCCGGGAAACCACCGTACGGCTGTCCCATAAGTCCCTCAAAGAAATCGAGAACAGATCCGGGGAAGTCAAGGGTCTCAGCCTTCTCAATAACTTGCTCGTAGGTGAGCTTGTTGGAAACCATGAATTGAGCAAGATCACCAACGACCTTTGATGTAGGAGTGACCTTTACAATATCTCCAAGAAGAGCATTTGCCTGGGTGTATGCCTTCTTGGTCTCGGCCCACAATGTTCCCAATCCAAGCTGGCTTGCTTGGAAGATAAGGTTGGTCAATTGACCACCAGGGATTTCGTGTACGTAGACCTCGGGATCCGGTCCAGTCAACCCAGCCTCGAAGCAAGAGTAGAGAAGACGGAGCTGAGCCCAGTATCCATCAATGGCACGGATATGCTCAATGTTGAGGCGTGGGTCTTCCTCCGATGCCTCCAGAGACGCAAGCAAAGCACCAACGCTGGGCTGCGAGGTCATACCAGACAAGGAGTCAGTGGCACAATCCACAGCATCGGCACCGGCCCTAGCACAAGCAGCCATAGAGGCAACACCAGTACCGGCTGAGTCGTGAGTGTGGACGTGGATAGGAAGGTCAGGGTACTTCTTGCGGATGCTTCCGATCAAGAGAGTAGCAGCTGCGGGCTTCATGACACCAGCCATATCCTTGATACCGAGGATGTGAGTACCCATAGCAACAATCTTGTCTGCGAGACTCATGTAGTACTCGAGGTTGTACTTCTTCTTGGGGTTAAGCATGTCTCCACTGTAACAGATGGTAGCTTCAACGACACCTCCAGCCTTCTTAACAGCCTTCACACCAACCTCAAGCTGGTCAAGGTCGTTAAGGGCGTCAAAGACACGGAAGATATCGACACCATTTCTCTTTGCTTGCTCACAGAAATGATCAATTGCGTTATCGGGGAGCCTTGGAGCTATCAGTATATATATCAATAAGTAATCATGATTTGGGACTTACGATGAGTATGCAACACCGTTGGCACCACGCAACAACATCTGGAAGGGAATGTTGGGCACAAGCTTCCTCAATTTCCTAAGTCTGTCCCATGGGTCTTCGTACAAAAACCTCATGGCCACATCAAAGGTGGCACCTCCCCAACACTCCAGAGCAAAAGCATTGGAGTAGGCATAGCTGGTGTGCTTGGCAATGTTCACTAAGTCAGTAGTCCTGACTCTGGTAGCCAAGAGAGACTGATGAGCATCACGCCATGTAGTGTCCATAATCAAGGTTCCCTTGTTCTGGCGAACTGCCTTCGCGAAAGCAGCTGGGCCATCCTTGACCAAAATGTTACGCCAACCAGTCTGGCAGGGGTAGGTAACATCGATGGTCTTTCCGGCATCGTCGAGAAGAGTGGGCAAGACGATTTCTCCCTTGAACTTTGGCTCGCCAACCTGTCCCTTGATGCTGCTGCCGTTGACGGCAACGTCTCCGAGGTATGCCAAAAGCTTCTGAGCACGGTTCTGAGAGGTCATGAGAGCGAATAGTTCCGGGGTGTCATCGATGAAAGTGGTCCAGCAGTTTCCAGAAATGAAGGTGTCGTGTGTAAGTAATGAAGCCAGGAAGGGGATGTTGGTCTTGACACCACGGATTCTGAATTCGACAAGGGCACGCAACATCTTTCTCCTAGCGATTTCATATGTGGAACCATGGCAGGTACATTTGACCAACATGGAATCGTAGTGGGGAGTAATAATGGCACCAGAGAAACCGTTACCACCATCGAGACGAACGCCGTTACCGCCAGCTGAGCGGTAGACTTCAATCTTACCGGTGTCAGGCTGGAAACCCTTGGCAGGGTCTTCAGTAGTGACACGGCACTGAATGGCGTAACCACGAGTAGAGATACGGTCCTGTGTCAGACCGAGCTGCTCCAATGAGGCACCAGCGGCGATCTGGATCTGAGCGGCAACAATGTCGATACCGGTAATTTCTTCGGTGATAGTGTGCTCGACTTGGCTGTTCAAAAATGTTAGAACTTGTAGGCTGGCTACCGAGATAGTTTCCTGGGTCTTACATTCTAGGGTTGATCTCAATAAAGTAGTATCTGTTCTGCTGGTCGACAAGGAACTCAGCGGTACCGGCGTTACGGTAGTTTACTGACTTCGCCAAACGGACGGCATCGTTCAAGATAGACTCTCTAACTTCCTGAGGCAAGTCCTTCGCAGGAGCAATTTCAACGACCTTTTGATGTCTTCTTTGGACACTGCAGTCACGCTCGTACAAGTGAACAACATTTCCGAAGTTGTCTCCAAGCAATTGGACTTCAATGTGCTTAGGACGGTCGAGGAATCGCTCAATGAAGACTGTTCCGTTACCAAAAGCGGACAGAGCCCTGAATAATTTAGGGTTAGCAACAAATATTCACTAGATGTAGATCCGTCAGGGAACTTACTCGGATGATGCTCTGGTGAAAGCATCCTTAATGCTGTCACCCTCCCTCACAACTCTCATACCTCTTCCACCACCACCAAATGCCGCCTTGATGATAACAGGGTATCCGTACTTTTCAACGAATGATACTGCTTCCTCGACCTTACCAACCGGTCCTGGAGTTCCTGGAACAACAGGAACATTGCACTTAATTGCAAGAGTACGAGCAGAGACCTTGTCACCTAGCCCATCAATGACTTCGGGGGTAGGTCCAATGAACTTGAAGTATTATATTAGGGCTTGAACTCCAGCTATATGGGCAACAATTACTTACGATCATACCGGCCTTCTCGACCTTGCGAGCAAACTCGGCGTTCTCAGAAAGGAAACCATAACCGGGATGGATCATGTTCACTCCATGGGTAACAGCAATCTTAATAATCTCATCGATCGCCAAATATGCCTGCACGGGGGTGTACTGTCCCCTCGCACCAATAGCATAAGCTTCATCCGCCTCTGGAATTCGGGTAAACGCCCTGATTAGCCTTTATCTCTGTGTAACCACGGATCTTGAAGACTTTACTTTGACGGTGCATGCTAAGACGATCCTCATGACTGTAGACGGCAACAGTAAGAAGTGACAACTCGTGGGCCTGCACAATATCACATTAGTATTTGTATCATTTTGGGTAAATTGCAAAAGATAACAATGCAGACTTACAGTTCTGAAAATCTATATATCAAGCACACAACAACGTCAGTAAACCAGACCTAACCAATAAACGTCCCACGTGCTCAAAGATGTTGCATTATATACCCGAATAGCTATCAAATCGCCGAGTCAGTATCCACTATTACAGATAAGAACTCAATAGTAAGAAATGTGACTCATACGAATTTCACCACGGTTTGCAACTTATCACCACGAAGCCATTCTGTCAGCATCTCTTGTTGCTTCCTGAGAGTTATCAAAAGAGCGAGTCAAACAAACCCAAAATCTTGTTGACTTGCATAATTGTTGAGTTCGCACGGAGACGGTGGACCGTCCTCACCGTCGACGAGTCCGCCGAATCCTCAAAGACCGCATTGTAATCGGGGGAAGATTGCTGTTCCATCTTGCACTGCTATCCCTAGTAACTAGGCGCTTTGAAAATGGCAGTAACAAAGATCAAAAAGAACTCGGCGTAGGAGAGAGATGGATTACTGTTTCTAACCTACGAAGATGGGGTGAAGGAGGGTGTATTAAGAGGAGGAGAAGGAGGAAGTGGGGATGAAAATAAAGGTGGAGGTGGGGCGCTCGGCGATATGTACTATGTAATGGCTTGTTTTTTTTCTCAGTATTTTCCCGCGTAAGTCTATCGAGGGGGCGGTGAATTCAAACAAGCTGGGGTTCAAGGAACTACAATTGTGCCGCGCCTTTCTCTTTCTTACCTGGCGGGGTGAGATTCTTGGGGGGGGGTTGGAGGGGTAAATCGATGATGTCGCTAATGCGGCGCCGGTGCCCCCCAAAACGACCCGAGTCCTTATCAGTTGAGACTACTACTCTTTGCAATTACAATCATCCTTCTAGCCTAGCCCCACCACCCTCGTGGGCTCTGTGTCTTGTCCCTCCAGGCACGTCTTCTCATCAGACTCATCGTAGGATTATGATCCATATGGCTTTTTCCCTGTGCTACCAGGAAGTCCGAAGGAGCTCTATCTCACGGCACCAATAGTTCCCCGGCAAATCATAATGCAATGCACATGTCGCGCGTACGGTAGCCGTATTGTGGAAGCAGATGCCTATCGAGTAGAAAGGACATCCCAGATCCCATAATATTTACGCACTCCGCTTTTGATCTTGTTACCGCGAACTGGGACAGAGTTAAACATGGGTATTACCCAGTAACCTCGGGCGGAAATCGGGCTCAGGTCGGTCTACTCAAATTAATAACCGAATAAAGACCTCTCTTTATCTCGTGAATAGGCCCTCGTGAAGATGAGTTCTACCGGAAACTCTCCGGTGCCCTTTTGATAGGGGTTTGTTTCGGGCTAGAACAGAGCGAATTGTCGTTTCCCCACGTCCTCCCGCGCAAATCGCAGATTCTTCGCGGGAGATGGATGTAAATGTGAGATAGATGGGGTCACTGTGCTATGTAGGTGTTGCAGACGGTACCTAGTGCGGGGGGAAAAGCAACTCTTCTGATCATGCAAGTGCCGATCAAAAAAAAAAAAAATTGGACCAAGCGATTTTGGTACCGACACACCGTGTTTATGTCGTTTATGTCTTAGGATGAAGTTCATACTTTGTGGCTTTACCACTATCGACGATCGTGAGGAGATAACTCTCCGTAATAGTAACTACTACTTAGCCTGCCAATGACATTTACCTTTTGTTAACCCCGATGTTTAGTGATCATCGTGTTCAAATTTACTTCGTTACAGACATACGGGCATAAATAAGATTCATCGAGTGGGGGGAAGCGCTGAAGACGAACGAATAGAAACAAGATCGCGCAAAACTAGTACTACAGGTGAAAAAAAATTATGAGCAACCCACACTTAGCTATAGGTGACGAAAAATGAAAACCCTTAGACCAAAAAAAGGAAATTTGACATCGAATACCCTTCCTTCCTCTTTCCCCTGCACCTCCCCCTTTTTTTAAAAAAAAATACTTCCTTTTGTCCCAGAAGTCTTCCCCCCAAAATACTAGAGAGGGATATACAGAGAAGAATAAAACAACATCTCTGACTTTCTAATATTGCTTCATAAGGAATGTAATCTAAAAACCCGAGTATCCAGTAGCCTGTGGCGCGATCCCATTAGAGTACTGCATCGGACCCCCAGGACCGGCTGTCAACATCAACCGGTTACCCAGAAGAATGGGGGTATTGTCTTCATCTCGTTGTTGGGTGACCTCCTTGGCTTTACGCTCTTCATTATCTTTTTCCAAGGTAGAAATCTTCATGGATTGTTGCCTCATGGCGTTGATCATGAAGGGCTGTGAAGTTAGCATCGTGGCTTATATCCTGAGCTAAAGGTATCTTACCATAGTGTAATCATTAAGGCCATGGCGCCATGAAATTTCCATAACAACGTCAAGTTGGATAAGATCGTAACAGGCATAAAGCATTCCAACGTAACACTCGCGACTACCAATATCAACGAACTAGTAGACACCAAATTAGTAACTGCAAGCGAGTGCCAAGGTAAATATTGCTTACGTAACGAAGCAGCTCCTCAACGACATCCTCTTTGCCTGATACAGCAGCTGTCTCGATGGCATCCTTGAATAGTCTGTCTTGCTTAGACAAGGCAATTGACTGGCTCCATCGTTTTTGTTTACGATAGATACTGGCAGCTATCTGTCTGAAAAAGACAAGTCTAATCGAAGTTAGTACTCGGGCCCTCAAACAATGTGACCAAAACCTACTCATGTGTCTCAAGGCGTTTGGCAAGTTCTAAGGGATCATAGTTGTCATAGTTTTCAACGGAGTCTCTAAGAGTCTTATAATCCTCCTCCTCGATAAGAAGATCGTTAATGGCGTTATTGACGACCTTGTTATTCTGTGACTGTACGCTGATGAGGAATGGCTTAATCAGTGGGATATTGTCCGACTTTTCGAACATGCGGACAACACTGGTAATTTGTTAGTTTAATGACAATTGCGATTTCACGGAATAAGCCATACCGAGTAACATCAATGCGCTGTGTAAGTACAGCCAAAAGATCTGTAAGCAAAGAAGGCTGCTCCTGGAGGTAAAAGTTTAGAGCGCGATAGTAAATCTCCAAATTGGCAACTTTGACAACGATGTCTTTGAAAGACTGATGTTCCCAGGCATCAGCTGCCCTCTCCATCATCGCCAATGCAGCGTTATCCCACTCATCATAACTAGCAATTATTAGTCAAAGAAGCTAGACAAAGGGTTAAGAGAAGACATACTGGCAATACAAGAAGATGAGCTCAGGCCAAAGGTGAGCCTGTTCGCACGCGCGGATCATCTTGGGAATATTGATACGGCCCCAGAAGAGCTTCAAGTGCTCCATGACACGATCAGGGTGGTATTTTGACAGAGCAATGCCAAGTTCGGTGAACATTCCCTTCAAAAAAGTCAGACAAAAAACAAATTACTAGATTTGTGTTCGGATTGAAATGTACCATGTGTGCACGTTCAAGTCCTAATCCAGCCTCGAGGAGACTGATCAATTCATCAAAGTAGCCGTTACGCTCATACTGCTTAACAAGGTCTTGCAATTCCTCTGCGTGAACAATCAAGTTCAAACCACAGATTTGCGCCAAACGGAACTCTTTCTTTGCCACACACGCTTCATTGACCTGTTTCCATACTTTGGTGCTGTTGGCCTTACGAGCACACTCGACAGCATTCTGGTACTCTTCCAGGAACACGAGTGTAGTCTAAAATTATCAGCGGAAATCACTAATAAGAAGTTAAAAAGGACTACTGACCGCCAACTTAGCCCAATTTGAGATGCTAGAGAAGAAGATCTTGGCTGCTTGATGAAGACCCTCCTCATATGCTCGGTCACCAGCTTCGTCAACATTGGCAACATTGGGCCCATTCAAGAAATCCTCTAAATCAGAAAGCTTGTCAACACGGGCAAGGGACAGCGCCAAACTGCTGTCAACCTCTGGCTCTCTCAGCGTTTTACGGCACATATGAAGATATTTAATGAGTTCTTCGTTCTTGCCAGCATGGCCGGCAATTTCGATGACTTCTGAGTGGTTTCCGGGATCGTTGGCACGGATATAAGATTCAATGGAGTCTGAAACACGCAGTCCATCAAGTTGTGCTTTACCAAGACGGCTCCAAACCTCGGGAAGATCGACTTTGTCGGCGTATGCATAAGCACGGTCAATGCTGACAATGTATTCGATAAGGACATTAACCGCTTCGCTGTGCGCATCAACCTTCTTGAAGACTTCGAACGCCTCCTCATAAAGGTTGTTTTGGATACAAATCTGGGCAACATCAGGGCCGTCATAATTGGTAAGACGGTGGATGTAGTCCATGACTCTAGCCTTGTCCGCCTTGACAGCAGTAAGAATCAAGAGGTTTTGAAGACTGCTATTATCGCTGAATGGTGAGGGTTCAAGAATGATCTTCTCCAAAAGCTCGATAAGCTCTGTTGGTAAATCGAATTTCAAGAAACACTGCACTGCGACGGAAACGTCTTCAGGATCGGTAGACTCTGGTACAGCAGTTGCAACCACTTGATCCACGAGTGACCGGCGGTGGATGTTATTTTGACTCAAGACGAAACCCCACAACTCAGCATCACGACGCTTGACAAGGTAACGAGCTTGCTGTTTGAACATGGAGTTCTCGTTGGTGATTTTAACTAACTCCACATCATTCGACCCTTTCTGGTATGCAATGAACGCGAGGTACGGATCCCTTTTCTCGCAGTATTTACCAACCACAAGCGTATCGTAAAAATCGTTTTCCTTCAAGAATTTCTCGGGGTTGTTATTACTATCGATGTAAATCTTGGCCAACGCATTGAAAACGGCAGGTTGTTGGTTTCCGCTATTCAATGATTCTTCGAGGAAAGGCAGTAGAAGTTTGAGACGATTTCTTCGTTCAACCTCGGCAACAAGCTCATCAATAGGGATTGCCGAGCTCTGAACAGAGCCCAACAGACTCTTAATGATCGACTCATCACAGTCCACATCCAACAGTCCACCGACGACTGCCGGTGTCCTTGCAGGGTTGACCCTCTGCACGTAAACTTCAATCGACTTAAACTGCTGGTTCTGATAAAGATATAAAACCAACTCATGAATGAAATTGAATCGATCACAAACAATGATCAAAGGCAGCTGTTCGGCCAATTTTGCCTCCTTCAGGAAATTCTTGACCTTCTCGGGGTTATAAAACTGACTGTCACGACAAATGCGCTCCACTTCGCTGAATTGCCCACATCTAGTGGCAGCTTGGATGTACTTGAAGTGGACATCGGCGTCTTCGCTGAGGTTCACAATACTTCCAAGATAATAGTAGAGACCCTCAAATGTCTTGAAGCTTTCAAACAATTCGATCAAGCGGTGTGGTCCAAGCAAATCGGAATATTTGGTAGCCACTTGAATGACAACTTGGAGATTTTGACGGATGTTTGCCCGCAACATTTCACTCAAGCAATCCAGGGATTGCTCTAGAGACATGCGCCCAAAGTACTCAACAATGAACTCGGGGGGATTCCGTTGTTGTCACGAAGAATCCGCTTGACGGCCGCGGGATCTTCATAATGCTCCAAAGCCTACAGTCTATCATGTCAGAAATCAAAAACAACAAATTATTATAAAAAAATAAAATAGTACCGTACCCTTTGGAAGAGCCCGGCGTTCTCGCAAAGTTGAGCAATCTTTTGGCGATCATAGTGACTGAACATGTTGTTCAAGAGAATAGCATCAGCTACTTGAGGCGCATGCACCAAATTCATTTCAAGAAGGCGTGTCTGTTGAGCAGCATGTTCCGGTTTGTTTCCATCCAAAGCAGATAACAGGAAAGCCGTGGCTTGTTGGATCATGTTCTGGGAAAGGAAAATATCAACAACACGGTCAATGTCAACTAAGGAACCACCCTGGTGACTGGCGAGCTGAGTTGCAAAATCTGCTCCCTTCTCTGGATTGATGCGGACCATGTGCTGAAGAAGAGCCGTGTAATCAGGGGTGTATCCGACACTCTGCGCATATGGCAAGATTTTGTCGAACTGGCCGGTTTCAGCAAGGCACGCAATAACCTTCTGCGGAGAGTTAGAGCGTTGGTATACGCTCAGCGCCATGTTAAGATCATGCAGCTTGACAATATCTCCCAACTCCTCCGTGCACTCCAGCTTATTCTCCTTCAGCCATTTCTCTAACAAATGTTTCCTATTTTGTGCCAAGACTGGCTTGACCAGCTCGATTGTCTCATACTTATTCAAAGTGGTCTTGTCTAGCAACATGCCGAAATACTGAAGAATAACAGATAGTTGACCAGGGGGCGCTGGGACTGCTTTAAACTTGTCAATTGTTTGGGGGGTACGAAGGAATCCTCGGGGTGAATTCGCCGCAACCTTCGCCGCTTCAATGTAATTCTGCTGGTCCATGAGGGTCTGGAATTGCTTCTGGTAAAGGTCATCAGCGCCCTTGAGACCAGCCCGGGAAGCAAGCTTGATGGCTAGGCCCGAGTTTGCAGGGTTCTCAAGTAGATAGTCAATGATATGGTTTTCGTCCACGCTCACAGACAAGACCTGTCCCTTCCTGTTGACACCGATAATACCGGATGTGGCATCGTGAGGGGCTGTGATAAAGATCGTGTCACTGGAGATTCGGTTCATGAAGATACATGTTCCTGTCTCAAGGTCGTAAAGGTGGATAAATCCATATTTAGTGACAAGATAAATGATTGAAAACCTTGGCGAAACCTGCATTGCAACTGGGAAATCGTTCACGGCTTCAGCAGGGAAGTATACATCGACCGCCTTCTTCTGGAATACCGGGTTGTTGGGTGGGTGATCGACTTCGACAACATGCAACTTGGCTCCCTGGGCTGTTCTAACCGCAAAGGTGAAAAGTTTTGTGTCGGCCGGAGCCCCCTCAAGACGAAGCTCAGCAAATACGGCGGCGTGACCCTCGATAGCCTGACTGATACCTCTATCCCGCGAGTAAAGCTGCATATTTCCAACCACGCGGCCTTGCTGCTGAGAGATACCAACAACAACCATCCATTTCTCGTCCGAATTGACACGATAATTGATAATTTGACAGTTCTAACGCAGACCATAAGCTCTCGGGCCTTAAAAGGCTTCAATTATGGGTAACAACTTACGTTCAAGTTTGTGTGTCGCTCGAACACCTTCACCGGGGTTGCCTGTGTAGGGTCCATTACATCCCAGTGATAGACAGCAGCATCAGTAACAAGACCCAAGCTCTTCTCGCTGATCCACTTCCAAAACACAACATCTTCGTTCATAGTGTGTGACTTGATTTTCTCCTTGGCTTCCAGGTTGAAGATCTGGAGTGTCCGTTGGGCCTTAAGAGCAATGATTTTCTTGGTCCAGTGCATAATAGCACTGTCGGCCTTAATAGTCCGCCTAGTCACTTCGTTGCCATTGTGAAGATCGACTATCACTACTTGAGCAGCGGCTTCGTCGCTTTTCTCGCGGACGCAGATAAAGTGATCGCTCTCTAAGGTCTACACCTCGCGATAACAAAATTAGCTACTTAACCAATACCAGATAGAGGTATTTAAGAAAAAAAACGAAGAAAATAAAAAAGGGCAAGTGGAAAGGTCCCACAGTTGTATTAAAACCTATCGACGCTTGCTGATAAATTTATCATGTTAGTGTAATGCCATCTAAAAATGCCGGGGGTGTGAAGTTGCGTACTTGGATATCGAGCTGTGTGAGCTGTTGTAGCGAAGATTGATTAGCATTTGACCCCGCAATCAGAAATCATCAAACTTACAGAAAGGAGCTCTGTGAAAGAAATGGGTAGAGGCGCCATGATTTCTTAGAATCTAGAGCGCCGGGGCTCATCCACGAACGGTGAAAAAGGAGGTTGAGTAAATTATCGAGCAATAAAACAGCAAGCAAGAGAAGATATGAATGCAAATCAAATTAGATGCAAGGTGGTGGAAGGAGTGAGGGAGGCTGTGGGGAGATGGAATGAAGGGTTGGGTATTAACCGGAGATGGATGAATATAGTTGTCGATGGTGGAGATGCCGTTTGGTAGTGTTGGCCTTGCTGATCCGGAGAGGTGTCGTTTGGTTTGGGCTCTGAGGTGAAGTCCGAAGTCTACGCCTATGTGCGAAACCCAGGGCACAAGAAATTTCCACGTGTTCTGCAGAACCAACTCGACCAATTGAAATTGGCTACAGCGGCGTTTCGAATAACCGTTAAGTCCTTTACTTCAGATGAAAACGAACTCGAATATTCAATTATACTTCGTTAATGGGAGAATTTTAAATGTAACCCTAACCCATCATTATAGCTAAGATAGCTCATTAATTGAAACAGCTAAATATAAAAAGTAGCTGTAGATAAAGTCGATACCATCAATCTTGAACTCAAATAACCTTCTTGCAACTTAGGACAAGCCATACAGCTACCATAATAGGTACAGTTCTGTCGAGAAAGGTGAAACTTGCAGAGCTTAAAGTAAGGGGAGAGGTACATACCAAGAATCAATCCAATTCCTTGGCCTGAGTCGCTTCGATCAAACTGAGTATTATGATATAAAAGCAATTAATAAATGATCTATATACCTCAGGCCTTGTAATGAGTGAGGGTCAACTAGCCTCTTCCTCCAATCGAGCAGGATCAATTGAGCGCATCACCACGCCCTTCCGAGCATATAGGTCAAGTCTAGGGTTAAGTTACCCTAGTGCGGCCCACGATTAATGATGGGCACGAGACTGGACGCCCCCATACCTGGCGAGACGATCTCAATCCTAGGATGAGACGAGAACTGCGAGTGATGGTAAATGATGCAAACCATTCAGAATAAGCTTGGCACGGTCCACAATTGGCCAAAAGTTTTGTTCCAGATCTCACAGAAAGTAACAGCGCAAATCCCTAACTTAATTCGATCAAGCCTAGTCTAAGTCTACAGACTTACCACAGGTCTCGAGGCTTTCAAGATTGAGATACGACGAGGCCTAGGTCCAAATTAATATTAGTCTCACCTTGTCCCACGCCCACCATTACTCACGAGGCAGAGGCTTCGGTGAATGCCCCGGACCAGCCCGAGTTTTACCCTCTCGCAAGACCGATAGAACTCGATACAGCACGCCCTCCGGCCTCGTCTCGAAGCTCGTATATATATACTATAGCTATACAGCTTAAGAGCTCACCACCCAGAAACCGAAAGACAACGAAAGTAATGCAGAGCTATCTTCATCACTAGCACTTATTGTCATACAGGGCAGCTCCTTTTAGACGAATACTCCTATCATATCCTCCGCCCGATTGGGATTTCCAAAAGGTTGTCAAAACATCAAAAACTCAAGGCAGCCCCCGCAAGGCAGATCAAAGCAGCTCGATACACATACTTTTACTCAACTTGAGGTTACTCGAGACACCACTAAAATTAACTTAAAGACTCCTTTCTATCTACAACCATCGTATAGCTAGTACATCTATTGTCTTACTGCATGGGTCCAGTAATTCAGAGCTTTATTTTTTGACACGCCTTACACCTACCTCAATGGCTACTAAACACAACAAATCTGGTACATCTAGTGATGGGAACGAGCCGAGCTGGCTCGAGCCTAGCAAAACATTAGTAATAATTCAAAAAAACCCAGAGCTTAGTAATTTATATGAGAATATATCCCCCATTATTCATCCTGAATACGAACTCTATATGCTGACTTACTATTTTTAGGTATAAACATGAGAGCTCGAGCCTTTATCTTCACAATCCGAGCCGGCTCGTGCCCATCACTAGGTACATCAACTCGCCACATCTATCTATGGCGGACATGAAAAATCAAATCTCAACAAAAAAATAGGGAACACATCCCTAGCTATAGCTAGTTAGCTCAGGGCGACAATCGTGGTAAAGTTTCTAGGTATCACGTTCAAGAGACCACCGCTAGCCCTTACCCTCTGCATATTAATGTCTTGAGATATTTAGGGATCTAGGGGATACAATTTCCATCCTTTGAAGGGAACTTAACCGTCAATTACATGTATGTGCGCGTCCTCCTCATCACCACTAGAGACTCGATCTAATACTGACGGTCTTCTCTAGATTTTACCCCTCAAGCACGAAAATAAACTCAAGTTTTAAGAGTTTTTATCCTATGAAGCTTAATAGGTCTCAGCAGCCATGTCTCAATATCTTTCGCAGCCCCGTTGTTATGAACTCATAGCACGAATACGGGCTCCAGTACTGTATACATCCTAAAACCTCTGCGAAGCTCCATAAGTAAAGTTACTACAGTGCAAACACACCTAGTTTGGTCCACGAGGCTGCTAGAGGCAGACAGAGACAAGTGCCTCGAGGCGCCTCTGCCTCGTGTGGTCCTTGCCTTTGCTTGCTCGTGAGAAACAGGTGATGCCTCGAGGTGCTCGAACTAGCTCGAGGCAGATAATTCCTATATTTAGGTTCGTCAAAAATCATATTTTATTGGAATACTGGCATGAAATGAAGGGAGTACTTCCAATATCCCTATCAGAAACACCAGTCCCACTGAATATATGCCATAGGACATGATTACCTAAACCTCGAGTGGCTCGAGGCGAGAAAAATGATTTGCCTCGAGCATCCTCGCCTCGTTGACCGCCATGCCTTGAGCTCCCTCGAGGCAGAGGCCTCGAGGCCTTGTGGACCACACTAAACACACCAAATAATTAAAAGTCCAGTTTAGGAAATGCTCATGATTTGAAACATGATTGAGACAGAGTCCGAGCTGCGTTTACTAATTATATAGCATTAGTAGATGATCCGGATCCACGGCAACTACTATAATACGTCTCATAAAAGCGACTGTGCGGTCGAATTTCTGTTCGTGGCTTCAAAGTCTTCTAGCTTCAACTGATCAACTGATCAATTCATCAATCAACAACTCCATAATTCAAATATTTGAATTACGGCCGGCGCCCCTATTCGCGATCCCTATTCACCAAGTCTCACCCAAACCCCATAAAATCGTCCCCTTTACCTTTTGTCGCGGACCATCATCAACTACTCTGCTTAAATGTCGAGAATAGTAGCTGTCTGGACAAGACTCCGCACAAAGATCGCGGTAGATGATATCACCTCGAAGCATATCAAAACATTTCTCAAAAACGCCATAGATGGCACAGATAAACTTATGAGGATGTGCGGGGACGCACAATGAACGGCGCGCCTAAATTCGCCAATCTTCCGCTTCAGACTCAAAGGGCGCTGCAAAGAAAGGTGGGCGAACAATATACAAGCCTCTCCGGAGAGACACCGGTACGGAAAGCTCGATCGAAGCTGGTTTTAACCCCCTAAGATATAAAAGGTCAGCACGAAAAGAAATTTCGCAAATGGCGGGTGATGATTGGCCCTGCACCCAGGCTCCCGACATACAATGTTAAGGGTGCACTAGAATATATATGCCGGAACAGCCCTTCAACAAAGTGATTGTTCTGTTTACTCCGCCCAGGAAAGTACTTCCAAGGTCAAGAAGGTTCCAGGCCAGAGCAGCAGGGAAAAGAGAAGCGTAAGGCTTTCATTCATCAACCTGGTTTAAATTGATAGTATAAATTAGTATAAATTGAGATGGCCATGCAATCATGAAATGATTCCGGTTAGTAACAAGAAAGGGATGTAGAATACTGCGGCAGACAGCACCTCTGCGTACATAGTGCCGAACCCTACCAAGGGGCTCAAGGAGATGGGCTTAAACTTAATTATAGCACAGAAAAAGGCATGCTCTGCTCTAGTTATGAAGGGAAATACCAATATCAGCTAAGACTTAAAGGGAAAGAGGAGCAGAGCAGCACGCGGGCGCAGCCCTTCCAGGCTGCTCTTCACAGCTAACAACCCCAAGAGGATCCAATGGTGGTAGTATGGGTACCTGCGACACGACAAATCAAATTATGATGTGAGATACTTCCGGCTGGGATGGTGTATGTTTCAACAGACATAATGTATATGACAAATTTTGCCAAATAAAGAATATAGATACGATTCTCTGCATCAAATGAAGACTTCTGCTGTCTTGACTTTCTCAATGTCGTCAAGCCCCCCCGCAATCAAGGGGGGAGGACCATACCCTCCGTCTGCCCGTGAAGGCGTCTAGGCGGTACGTTCTCGTATTGTAATATTATGATGAAGGAGCAAAGTGTAGTACTACTAAGTCTGGGATTTAGATCTAGATAACCCCATGGCCCATCGATTGGCCAACCGCCCAACCTATCATTGCCAAGTTGAAATGCTACCCGCTCAACTAATGCGGGGTACTCCTACATGAATAGGGCACGCTGCGGCCCGCTTATACATGTATGTCTCCCACAAACCGTTGACCCGCAAAACTTCATAACATACATATATCCTGGCAAAATACAACGTATACATGTAACTAGCTAGTGGACCATATCTATCATACACAAACAGGTTCATCGTTCACGGCCGCAGCTATGGATGTTTCGAATTCGTGCATGGGGTGATAGCTAGTATAAAATGTTTATTGTTGGGGTCAGAGTGAAATCGAGTGATAATAAATGACGCCAATCATTCCGGAACATATCAACTCAGTCAAAACTTTCTAAATTCCCTGTGAGTGGGGTAAAATACCGTTTCTATTACATTATCTTCTCTATATAGTTTCTAACCATAATACTGCATCATTCTCTCCTTGGATATGGGCGTCGATCTAGTAAAACCGTCCGCACAGCCAAATCCTTATTCCGAAGATCAACCACACAACCAAATCTTCCTAAAGCTCAGAGAACCTCGATGAGGGCGTAGAATTAATTTTTCGGCCATCTGTCCCATCAATTATAACCTGTAGAGTACGGTAGTGAGCTGATGATGCTTCGTTGCGTTGTCACACCGAACCCTTTTACCAGATTGACACTAGCTCATAACATATTAGGCCTATGACGACACCGTGATAAACACAATTTTAACGAAAACAGTATACTCCACTAACTTTTAGAGGAGTTTCGCGTGATAAGTTGGTCAATCTTGCACCGCCAGTTGACGGTCCCAGCTAGCTCGTACAATTTGTATGGTGCCATATGTCCTGAAGCCACACGAAGGGATATTATATATCACCAATTAATGAGAAGTGAATCATTGTCACTATATTGGCTCCAGCTTTGGCTGAAACGAAACGAAACGAGGCAAGACATAGCCTAGTCTTGTAGGTACTCATCGTTGCTTCTGTATTAATATAGCCTATCTACCACAACACCTCCTTGCTTATCCAAGCTCATTGCAAGAAGCTCAAAGTTTCTTTGAGGGTAGTGGTCAATACGTACCTCGAGCTCCGGATCCACTGTCTTGATCAAACACTTCCATAAAAATTTCTAGATATACGCAGTTAGCAACATGTACTCACGGCTGTAACAGCTGGGCCACATACATATACAGCCATTTACAGGCATTAACTATTTTAATTCTAGGTGCTCTGGCTTATTCTTAAGCGCTACTTAGCCGATACCTCAGAATCAGTTTTATCAACTTGACGTCAGAGGGAAATATACTCATCTAAGTTCTCATCTGTAGCTATAGTCTAGCTAGGTGGAGGTCGTCTCATATATATAGACGCATTACCTACCCCGTTTGAAACAAATAACAGAATCAATTGTTGCATTAAACTAGAGATGCAATATATCTGAATTGATATTTGTGAAGTAATTTCTCATCAGGAATCTGTTGTCAGTTTATAGCAAAGATCGACTTAACTCTAGTTGGAATATCAGAACACTGTATGATACATGTAGATTAGACATAGGAACACAGTACGAAGTAGCTAATGAAGACAACGTGTTAATAACTAGGACTGTATATAGAGATAACAGAGCACCATCATTACATGTACTTAATTCACTTACACCTTGGATCTTCAGACCGTGCATACATGTATCTATCTGTCCTCATAGTATAATATATGCCACAGTTAGTAGGATACATAATATACAGCAGTGTAATACATCTCTTCCGAAATAACAAAAAACACAGTAACTCAATGAACGGCTTGGACCGTTGGGATGCGCAGATGAATCGAGACAGCTAGCGTCTGTCACCCCCTTTCCGAAAAGAAGAAGAAAAACGGGCATTAACTAACAACTCATAAAACTTTTAGTTATTAGATCATATCGCAATTGGGACCTACAAATACTGAATTCGTTCATCTTGCAATCAGGCCAATGCGGGATCGAGTGATCCTCCATGACTCCAATTACTTCCCAACCATCACCGCGCGTCGCGGAGAAACTAGCAACATGTAGTTACTCACTTCTGCACCTACCTAAATACTAACACCGAAAACTTTCTCTGACCCCGGGCGCAAAAGAAAAAGGAGTGGAGGTTTACGTTATGACATGAACTTACTGTTCTGCTCGCATTGTCTGCCAATGACAAGACTTTGGCTAACCTTTCGGCCGAGCTCGACAATTCGGCCGGGGAGTCTGCACTTGTTTGTACTGCGTGAAGACGAAGTTTATATCGCCACGGTCGAGCATTTAGGTTTCATTGAACTGTTACTCTACTCCCATGACAAACCTGATCGTAAGGCCGGTGTCCGCTTTCAATCAATGGCTACATAGGATGAATGCAGCTCTACATACTCGGCCTTGAGAATTTGATCAGGACCTTAACTAAAACCTCGAAACGCGCGTATGTTCCTGCCCTATCCACGAGTCTAGAATACACAGCACGAAAACAGCCACCCAAGAGCCCAAGATGCCCAAACGCCGCAAACAAAAAAAGCCACCCCAAGAAAGACCTTCCGAAGCGCTCGCCCACAAGTTACAACCAACCCACGCACACAGAACCCCACAAAAACTAACTCACGATAGCACGGGTGTCCCAACACGACCCAGAACCAGAGAACACTTATCGTGACACCTGTCAAGGGAGTTGGCGCACCATGCCCATCCAGCTAGTCTCGCTCTCCAGGTGTGCGGAGGAGGGTCCGAAGCTAAGGGTGTGTATTATTTTTGGATATTCAGCCGCGGTTGGTGTGTGGGTGGTCAGTCATGCACGATGGATGGATGGGTCCAGGGTGTGGATTGATCCGGGCCGTTGCTGCAGGAGAGCCTTGGAAGGGGTAAAGTGCTGATCGCGGAATAACTTCACTTCACTAAGAGAGAGAGAGAAGAAGAGAAAAAAAGTAGAGGTAATTAGGGCATTGTATTTCTAAGAAGTATTACACCCGGCATCAAGACCATTAAACCCATCCATCCACATCCACATCCAATCAAATCCTATTTTCCCCATTACAGTACGCAGGCCAAAGTAGCTGTAAAAAAAAACCGAACCCAGAAAAAAAAATTATAAGAAAAAGAAGAAAAAACCCCCTTTAAAATTGAACACGAAGGAATTTTTATTTCACAAAAAAAGACGCCAGCAGTGACAAACGGACCCACGGATCTCCTCCCCATATTTTCATGTCAAATTGGTGTTGGGTTGATTTACAAGACCTGATAAAAGATAATGATAAGCTTTTTGTTCCTTCTTGGCCGCTAATATGATAAAGAGAAAGAGCTTCTTACCAAGACAAGGCCAGCGGCGACAACGGCTCCCAACATACCGCCGGAGACGGCGTTGTTGAAGGCAGAGCCGGTCTCTGGGTTAGCGGTGGGGGTGGCAGAGGTTGTAGCGTTGGTGGAGCTGTAATATTGATGTTAGAAAACCTGATGGTCTCTCGAGATATTTTCTCTAGAAAAAAACTTACTTTGAACCACCAGTGACGGTAGCGTTCTGGGCAGCAGCAGAGGCCACGAGAGCGGCAAGGGCAACGGCGACGATGTTGAACTGCATTTTGATTTTTGTTTGGGTTTTTTGGGTTGGTTTTTTAGGGTGGTAGTGTTGAGGTTGAGGTGAAGGTGATGAGTTGGGGTAGTAACGAAAGTGGGTGATGAACGATTGTGGTGGTTCGAGGTGATAAAGCGAATGTAGGATGGTGAAGGAAGAGACAGAGAATGGGGGGAAAGGGCCAGTATTTATGAGGCAGATGGTCAGCCCCGTTTGGGGCAAATACAGAGTTTATCAGGGCTGCCCACCCCCATCCCAATCCCATCCATGCACGCTCTACCAACCTTGCCTTACAGGAAGGATCTATCTGGAAACCTCGAGCAGCCAAACACACGCGGCAGCCCTCCCCTTCCTGATGGAGAGGGATGGGGAACCCCCACTGAATTGAAGATGGGCAATTGCTAGCTGTGGCTGCAGGGAAGTCCCCGGCCAGCTTGCCCAGTGGATATGGGCTGGGATGGGATCATGGAAGCTCGTGGTTGGTTGCCACACACACTCTCATACATGCGCATGCAACTGCAACCTGAAATTCAGGTGAAGGGTGGCATCTCATCTCTCTGGTTCTGTCTTGTCATGTCCTGTCTTGTCGCTTACAGGTAGGCAGGCAGATTGGAAGTGCTGCACGACTCGTCGAATACCTAGGCAAAATGCAAAAAAGGCTTACTTTTTTACTATGGGATTACTCGGAGCTTGATCTGGACCTCGCTGCATGATACTATCACCATCCAACTGCTATATTCTAAAAGCGCGAAATTCGAAATTCAAATCTCTCCTGTTCAGTGTTACCTACTGCTAAGGCAACCCGGTTTATGAGCCGGAAAGTAAAGCACTCTACTCTAGAGTAGGGTGCTTAAAATAGAATTTTATCGAGAAAAGACAGGTGGTGGTGGTACTGGAGCCGGCAAGACCGCAGATCGAGAGGCAGAAAAGAAAAGAGTTGTTACTCTAACTTAGTAGTGGCACACCACCACGAATTTCGGTGTGATTTCCTTTGTTAGCAGGCAAGCAAACACAAGTCTTGAAGGCTGGTGGTGGATGTGGCTGCTTCTGCTACGGCAGGAAGGCTCTGCCGGCTGAATCGAATCGAAACCAGCCAGGAACCTGAAAGAACGCAACAAGCAAAGAAAACAGAAAAAGTAAAAATATTCTCGAAGAAGAGGACGACCATCCATGCAAAACCCGGCATTCCCTGTCCTTCCAATATTCAAAGTGGAAGGCTGGGCACTCACCCAGGCTAAAGGTCCTGATTGGCTGAAATGGCCTTTTTGGTGCAAGTGTCTTATCGCTGTGATGAGATGCGAAATGGAAAACCAAACTGGTTGGTTGAACGAAGGAGGGAAACCATATCCCCTAACCCTTTGTTTCCCCCTTGAGCGGATTTTTAATAATTTGCATATGCGGAGGTAGGGTAGGGACCCCTTTTGGGGTGATCGCAAACAAGTCTAGCCAGTCTCCCTGCATAATTGTTGCCCTTTTGGCAGCGGCCCTGGTCGGGTTGTGCAATTTGATATCACCGCATGAATGATGAATCTCACATCTCAGTAAGCCCGGCTGGCTATCGTGAGATAAAATATTATTACGATGAGCGAAGCGAGCGCGTACGGTAATACGGAATTCATCCTCTTTCCCTCTCTCCGAGCTGTCTGGACAGGCCGTTGTTTATCGTGTGCTACGTTACAATCTGGACCTTGGGGGGAAAACAAGCTCGTATCGACTTTTGTTTATCCTTCCCATGTACGAGTAGCTGCTACTCTAGTCGATGGTCGATGGAGCAATCAATTACTACTCTAGAGTACTCTAGAGTGCCCTGCTGGCTGGGCCCAATTTCGCTTACGACGCAAGCCCGTTCACAAGAGTTTCGTGACGGCGGCATGCGTGTTGATCTTTGCGGGAGAGTTGGGACCCTTCGACCACTGAAAAACCCGCATGCACGACAGGTAGGGACTTCGGAGAAAGGCTAAGTTCTAGTGAGATTTTCATTCTTCTTGGACAGGTATGGATGTTACAGGAGTCACTATGGATCTACCCTCCAGACAGGAACCTTCGAAATGGCATTGTGCGCCAAGGCTGGGACGAGACAAATAAGGCTGAAGAAATGTTTAAAGGGTGGGGGGGGGGTTGTCCGATTTAGCTGCCAAGAATGCGGAATTTATTATTTTTAAAACGCTGCTCCTGTTGATCATGATGGTCATGACGGTGGAAGATCTTCATGAGCGCCGGCCGTGTCCGGCTCAACAACTATATTCTGAGTAACTGACAGACAACCGTCGATATGAAATAACGATGGCTGGATGATCGCGGAGAGAAGGAGGTGAGGGAAGGAAGGATGTTGGTTGGCCGGTCAACTATGCGGTCAATATCCGACCGAAAACGAAGTAATAATACTCCATAGAATTAAAGGAGAGAAATATGATCTAGAGTATGTGAGTAAAGCAGAGGGGGAAACATACTCACATACTCGCTTTACCTACAGCCACTCATCAAAAGTGTTCGTGATATGGTTTTAATGTCAGTGCGCAGTGTGGCGCACCCGTAATACTGATGTTATTAAATTAAAGTTGAGATTCAAACAACGAAAAATATATAATATAGTTTGTGACTACGTATAAAAAGAAGATAGGTCATTGATCTTATTCTTCATTAATTTGGGCGCCATTGGTCACTGGGAAAGTCTTCACTTGGGGGGTTCTTGATGGTCCGCCGTGGTTACATATGGAGAAATGTCTCACTCCGAAATCGGAATCACGAACACTTTTGCAGAGTGGCTGTACCTCTGCTCTCTGCTCCGAATGACGACGAGTACAGCTTACGCGTTTTACTAGAGGAGCAGAGAAAGGATCGCTATGTTCTGCGAGCTCTTAAAGATCATACACGCGTTTTCGAATGCCATGCCTATCGATGACTAATATAATTGGCGGCTGCGCGTATCTGGCATGAGCGGGCATAGGACACAAGGGTAGAACGGGTATAAGACTGCATGTGTCTTAGAGTAGATTCTTCTATTCTCATCATTCATCCTTCTGTAGGAATGCCCCGTCCCGTTATCGAGTAGTCGATCGCCTTACTCGTAAACTACATGTATCTACTCAAGTGGATACAACAAATTGCCAACAGCGTGGGTTGGAAAGCTACCTACCTATCTGACGACGTATGCGTTCGTCCGGAATCTCGTGTTTTTGCTCTATTTTAGGTACGGGAAATAGCTCTTGAAAGAGCCTAGAACATACGATCTGTTGCGTGTCCCCATGATACCTAGGGAGCATTATATAATTATGTGAGAGTTCATATCAGAAATGACTTGCTCGGGGGTAAACAATCTACTTACTCTACGACTAGATAGCCCTCAGCTGAGTTGGGGATGAACCTGCAATCTTGGACCAGGATCGCTAAATGCTCTACTATTGGCCGGTTAACGACTGTCCCACACGAGTGAGGGACTGTGATCTGGACTTCCTTCACTTGCACTTTCAAGGCTAGATTTTGAGACATTCACAGTTACCGTAAGTCTGCGTTATCGCTCTTTTTTATTTGTTTTTATTTACAACTTGCTAGAGTAGGTAGCCTACATAATGATACAATATCTAATAGTATCATTTGTATCCCGATTTTTGCCGCCAACTCATCAATCAAGCCACAAAAGAAAAAACACAGCAGCAGTGTGCCTTTGCCTTAAGAGTTGCCCGGATCGTGAATGGATGGAAATCTTACACGAGCGAATTGATATAATTCTCGATGTTCGTGTATCCATTCCCAAACTTGTACCCAGCAGCATCATTGACTGCGGGGTTCAGGCCATTCGCCGATTCCCACGCATCAGGCATGCCGTCCTAAAAATATACAAAACCACAATCAGTATCGTCGTCACTATCAATGCAACCCACAACAACACTTATCCGCCCAATAGTCGAAAACAATAATTTCGCAACATCTAGGAAGATTTACTCACCCCATCAGTGTCCACTGGCGCCGTCCCCGCTGCAACAGTCCCGGCCCCCGAAAACGGCGAGGTGTTCTCATTCGTCAGGATCTGCCCCAACGTACCCAAGCTCTTGAGCTCCGTGATGTACCGTTCATCCACGCTGTCACGCACCTTGCTCGCTCCCGCGCCCGCAACAATCGCATTGAAGAGGTCAGTGGTGGGCGTCAGCACGGTGGCGACGGTGGGGTAGTTGTATCTACTGGTCACAAAGTCGACGGTCGTGTACTCGCTCTCGGGGATGAGTGTTGGGTTGAGGACGCCGTCTGCGTTGAGGTCCTGGTAGTTGTTGGCCGCATAAACGTGGAAGTTGAGGTTTCCGCGTGTAAACGGGGCAATGGTCGTCGATGGCCCGGAAATGAAGAGGTTGTTGATGATGTTTGCGTCTGCGGGGTGTCGGGTTAGTATGGACTGTGCGGGCCGGCCGGCGGGTATGAGCGGGACTTACAAGATGCGCCGTCAGAGTCACCGAGGATGTATCCGCCTCCGCCTCCCCAGTTATAGACGACATTGTTGATGAACTTTGCACCGTTAGATCGATTGGGCTTCCTTCCACACAAGGAGAGGAAACCTTACCTCGTTGACACCTTTCACCTTCGGGTTCCGGGTGTGATTATCCACATACAGTGTTCTTATGATACTCACCCCACCATCCGTCTGTATCAACCCGCCGCACGAATGGGTCTGCAGCCCCATAGCGATCATCGAGTTCTGAATCGTGATGTTGATTGCCTCATTTCCGCTAATACTGAAATTCTCGTCGCGGCCCCAGCTCACCGACACATGGTCAAAGATCATATCATGCCCCTCCGCAATCCCCACCGCATCCTTCCCGCTGGTGCCCCCGCTCCCCATGCGGAACCTTATGTACCGCACAATCACGTGGTCCGCATTTGAGAAACTCACGCCATCGCCGTAGACGGTAATCCCGCCGCCGGGTGCTGTCTGCCCGGCGATTGTCTGCCGGCTGAGGAATACGAGGCGGCTGTTGATGTTGATCACGCCGCCGACGGCGAAGACGATGGTACGGTTGGAGACGCTGATGGCGTCGCGGAGTGAGCCTGTGCCGCTGTCGTTGAGGTTGGTGACGACGTAGACGGGGCCGCCGCGGCCGCCGGTGGAGAGCGCGCCGAAGCCTTCGGCGCCGGGGAAGGCAACGAGGGAGAGTGCGGTGGGGATGAGCGCGGCGAGCGCGATGAGAGTGGTGGGGAACTTCATGATATGATAGGCTCCGTAGGTGGATTTACTAACTAACCTACTATCTGAGGTATCTGTGAGGAAGCTGGCACTAACGGGTTTTATAATGAACTCCAAAACCCATTATAGGAGATATATCTGAGAGCTTTTCCAATCATTGAGTCACTTTGGCTGTGAAAAAAGCTTCGTTCCATTGCCCCATAGTAGGAGGTCATGGGTGAATTCTATGTACGAACGGTTCCAACGCACCGCTACTCCGATTCTGCAACGGCTTCTTTGTAGCAGCTGGGGGAGGCGGGGGAATGTTTCAAAAGCTTGATCGACGATGTCGGGTTGATGGGTACCGAAAAGCACTGGCACGGTCCGATTACAGAAGGATCAGATGGGTTTGCGCTTGCTTTCAATACATAAAGTCAGTGATTATCGCGCGCGCATGTGAATGTGAGGTCGGAGACAAATAGTGGGTTGATTATGATTGAGCTCGGTGTTTGTCAGCTATGTAGCTAGAGCTACTTAGCTAGAGCTACGTAGCTAGTTTGTAGCTCCTCGTAGCTGTATGGTATATAGCAATAGTTAGATTAGGATATTGTATCCTTCAAAGTATTAATCAGGCTAAAATTAATGATGCTATGATATTTTATCCTTCTCATCTTACCAAATAAACATGAATCCTTAAATCAAAACCACTAAGTTAAATACCGAGAACCCAACCCGGACGGGGAAGGCGGGAACTAATCAAAAGCTATACCTCCAGTTCCTCCCTCTTCAATTACTTACCCAATACACCACGACTCCCACGTGCACCGTTTATATAAATCTGGGCTGAAATGTCAATCCAACCCCCAATACTACAAGTCCTCCAAAGCAAGGAAAACCTCCCCTCCATCAAAAGGGCCATTCCACCAACCCAGAATATGTACCTACTCTACAGTACCGAGAGTATGTACTCTACCTGCCACGGTCCGTCATCCCTAAACCCTGGCCCGTGCTGGGGTCCTCGGAGCTCCTGCGCGAGAGAAATAGGCAGGAGCTTTGGACAGGGTTAGGGTTGGGATGTCGGAGGGAAGGAGGGAGGGTAAATGAGGTGGGGGAGGATATGGGATGGTTTATGGAATGAGCAGAGTTTCTTGATTGCTGGATAGGGGGTGATGTGGGCGAGATGGGTACGGTTTCTTGCTACCGGGAGAGAAAGGAGAGTGTTGGGGACCCTAACCCTGGTGTGTTGGGTGGGTGCGAGTGATGGGTCGTGACGGGTTGGGTTGCCTGTTGCTCGCACAATGGCTGCCAGAGCAGATTGTAAAGATCTCTCTCTCCCGCCATTGATTGCAGATAACATCTAGAGGGATAAAGAGATTCTCTGGGCCAAGGTCACTCCGTCTCGGCGTCTGCTTTAGTGTAGCATAGCTATGGGGTTGATGCCTGCTGTATTCTATTCAATGGTGAGGGCGCCATTCAGGTGCAGGCTTAGGTTTTTCGGTACATACATGTATTCTTTTATAGTACAGTAGGGGTTCCTTTGGACGTGAATGTGTATGAAAGATCTGGAGACATGGCCGTAATATTTGAATTCATATACTTATACTGCGTTGCGCAGTGCGTGCATATATAAACTTGACACAATTTCTGTTCCGTTTCTGTCTCCATATTTCCACCCTTCTTTCTTGTCCTTTGAGTATCCTTTGAGCTTCTTCTTATTCCTCCATAAACACAATCGGCCGTGAATTCCATTATCGTCGCACATTAAGTTTCTCCCTCCCCTCCTTACCCCCCGGCACGGACAACACCACCTCGAATCTGTGTTTGTGCAGAGAGGCCAGACCAGACCATAAAACAGAGGCAAGAGCGAAGATACAGCGGGTAGGGGTATAATTCCCACTCCAATCTTCCTCCCCATAAGTAAACAAAATAATAAAAAAAAAGCGGGTAGGGGAGCTAGAAAGGAAGAAAGAAAAAAAAAGAGGTAGAAACAGAAAGAAAATAATAGAAAGAAAAAAAAATTACCGAATAATACACACATAAAAGTTATTGACTAGACTAGCTACCACAAGAATGTATAAAAATGTATCTCGACTCTGATAGGATTTTCAAGTTTGCATATAAGCAAGAAACAACAACAACGGTTTCCCAACGGCCTCCTCCTGCTCCATCCGCGTCCGTTGTGCGTGTCCGTATCCGTAGTCCGTGTCTTTACCAGCCTAGGCCTCTGATCATGTCCCGTCAATCACATATCCTACCTACTCCCTTCCCTAAACCCGACAACTAAAGAGACATCCCGACAAGAAAGAAAAAAAATAATACTTGATACAAAAACGCACACAAAAAGCAAACCCCCGATACAATGCGTCATAACCCTAATTAATCCATGTTCCTCCGACCTCTCTTGAGCCGGAAAAAAACCATGTAGAAGCAGAAAAAAGAGAAAAGAGAAAAGCTAAAACATCTCAGACACTTAATAAAGAAAAGAAAAAAACAAGTTTCAAATAAATCATCCATCAACTACTCCATAGGTCCCAAAGTCCATTCCCCCCTTCGCATCGCGGGCCCAATTGCAAATCATTTCTATCGGTCCAACTGCGGCGCTCTATGCAGCCTCGCTCCCGTCGAAACCCTCTTCTGCAGCCTCTCCTTCTCCTTCTGCTGGCGCTCGCGCATGCTCGACGTCCCACTGCCCATGCTCAGGCTCGTGTTGCTCTCATACTTCTCCGTGTTGAGTCGCGACGCATCGCTGTTGCTCTGAGTCACTGGAGTCCGCTTGGCGGTCTTCACGGCTAGGTAGTTCTTGGCTGCCATGCTTAGGCCGCCCGCTGGTAGGGGAAGGGAATCTCTCCGCCGTTCTGCAAGAGAAGCTCGGCGACGGGGAATGTTACTGGGTTGAGAGGGGGGCTGGAGGGGCCAGGTGATAGCTCGTTGCTTGAGGTAGACTGCGGGTCGGCCGCAAAGAGGGCGAGGAATATCGCATGGATCGATGTGGCTGGGTCAACAGTATTCGGGCTTCCATGAAGAGCGAGCGCATAGAGGCAGCCAGCAATATCATTTCTCTTGACAGCGTCAAGAACGGATTCATCTGGCGACGCAAACTGCGAGAGTGTCGGCGAAAGAGGCTGGACCCATGCACGATCAACGTATTTCGATGTGATAAACTTAAGACGTGTCTCTCTGGACGATCTAGGGTCGGGTCGCTGGTTTGGATCCAGCCTGGCCTCCCAGACGGAGTTTGAGACCTTGTTTCCGATTTGGCAAAGAAGCTCAATCAAGTCCGGGGTAAACGACGTGACGTCGAGTGTGAGTGAGCGAACTTTCGAGATGTGGGTTCCGAGGGAGCGATGAAGACCACTGCATTCTATACACACACGCAAAAAAAAGGTAAGATGAGACGAATGCAGCTACGCAACACACTCCGGGAACACATACCTATGCACAAGACTATGCCCAAATTGATTGAAACCCACTCCGTCTTGACCTGACTACCACAATCCGCACAGCTGCTGTTGCACGGATCCGCCTCCCGCACCATCTGCAGCAGCTTCTCCGGATCCTCACCAAAATTACTACTATTACGCCTCGGGTTAATCGGCCTTGCACCAACGGTGGTGCGTCTATAAACACTATTATTTGCAGAATTAGAGTACGACATTGGGTTGGTGCCGTGCACCGAGTGGTGGTAATGCGGCGCCTTCCCGGTCAGTGCAGTTTGAATATTCTTGAGCTTATCGGGGCCGTCGTTGCTTTCGACGTGGGAGGTGTCGAAATTCCGTACAGACCCGCTACCCTCAATAGTACTCTTTACTGCATTATTAACAGCTCCTATCCAGGTGTTCATATCATCCTCTGAAGTTGCCTGGTAAACACGCTTATACTGTGGCGTGACGACTTCGAAGCAAAAGCGTCTATCCGAATTCCGTGCTTCGCGTACCGATGCCATCTTGAGATTTATGGGGTCGTTGTGGAGATCCAACTTCTGCTTCCAGTTTGAATATTCATATAGCTGTCCTCCAGCCAGAACCACCCAATATCTTGGGTTGTGGTCAGTCATTGCCGACAATGGGTTGAGTTGGTATACATACTTATGCCATGCTTGTTTGTTTAGGCCTTTGGGGTCCGCATGACTACCGGGCCTACTGAGGGCCCAGAGTAGACCCTCCTTACGGCGCTCAGATTCACCATTGGTAACTCCGAGTCCAGTGTACTCCTTCTCCTGAAGATCTCGTATACCTTTGAACTTGCTGCTTTGGCTCGGAGAGCTCAGTAGTGAAGACGTGGAGTTCGCTGTAAGTCCATGACCATGCCCTGGTTGTGGTGGAGACATGCTACCCTCTGGCCCTGTCTCGCTACCGGAGGACACCGCCCTGACACTGCTGGTACCTACACCCAATTTCTCAAATCCCTTATTGTGACCAAGTATATCACCGGGAGTTGATCCGTAATAAAGCGAGTTAGAGGTAGTCATCACCGGAGGTGGAATAAACGGGGGAACACTGTCAGGCTCAGTATAATTCTTATCACTCTTCTCCAAAACCCGCCTTCGCTCCTCGCGCTCCGTCCTCTGAACCTGAAACTCCTTCTCCGACTCCTTCACCTCGAAGCTCAATGCTTCCAGCTGCGGCATGAGCTCCTGTACTCTCTTGGCGGTGGCTAGATAGCTCTTTGCCTGTGCATCCGCGAATTTAGTAAGCTGTGAAAGGACCTCCTGCTCCTTCCTCCCACCATGCAAATCCTGCATGAACGTGCAATAGTCGAATCTCTTCAGCTCAAAGTTCTTGCGTTTACTCTGGTACTTTGTCTCGCTGTCGAGCTTCTTCTTCTCCTTTGCCGAGTCGTTTCGGATACCCAGGTACCTGCTGACGTAGTTGTAATAATCCCTACTTTCCTCCTCAAAGTCCTTCTTCTTGGCTTCTGCCTGCTTGATATCAATGTTATACAGCCTTGTTAGAGGGTCGATAATCAATTTCTGAAGACTTGCTTCATTCTGCCTCTCAAATAGCAAAATCTCCCGATACGTGCGCTCAAAGTAATGATCCAACGCCGGCTGAATACCAGAAGCATTCCCTGAACTAGCTGCGTCCCGCAGAGCGTCCATAAACCCGCTGACCGCGTCATTGCAGAACGTCTGTGCTTGACGGGCCTGCTCCGCCCTCTTCAACACCTTCTTCATCTTTGTTCGCAGGGTCCCAGTTTTCTGCTCGAGACTCTTGATTGTAGCCCTAAACAGCGGTCCATCTTCCGCCATCGCGCTGTCTACCGGTCGCGGGCAATTATCTACCTTGACCGAAGGCGCAGGCGTAAGTGAGGCGAGTGTTGAGCCATCGAATGTATCTATTAGCGGAGATGGCGGCTCGTCAGGCGAGTTCTCGTTAGCCCTGAACTCTGGAGAATTGCCAGAGATAGTTCGCAACCTCGGCGGAAAACCGACGGTGAATTCCGAACCAGGTAGCGGCGAAGGGGGACAGAATCTTGGTGCGTCTAGAATTAGGAAAAGAAAAGAAAAATATTAGTATCCATGTTTGAATCGACTGTTTATGGGAGGAGGGGGGCGATATGTGCTTACTTTGGACCCAAAATGAAAACTGGGCCAAGGTCGACAGCTTGTGTGCTCGTTGGTCATATTCCAAGAACTGAGCACCTTCAATTAGCTTCTTCGGCAGTGCACGCTTTGTGGGAAAGGCAACTGATCCATACACTACAAGTGTTCCTCCACCCAACACCTCTCCGCTCCTCGGCGCCTTGTGGGGGTCTCCACCTCCACTTCCACTCGAACTCTATTGAGTTAGAACCCTCGGTGCAGAAATCGCCTATCAGGTTGACATTAGGGTTCTTGTGTAGGTTCGGGTCTGCGTGGAACTCCCGGGTAACAAGGTTCTCGAGATCTCTGCCATTAGATGCGATAGCAAACGTCAGCCCACTAATGTTTGTGTCGGCAACTGTTCCCTTGGCGGGATCCCCTCGCTGCCTTATGTTAAACTTGAAGTTAAAGAAGAGGTCGTCTTCATTGGATAGCTTTAATAATAACGGAGTTTGAGATTGTGGGTCCGGATCCTAAAAACTCTACGAGTCAGAAACGCACACCACACATGGGACTGCCTACGAGAGTATAAGCTCGAGGGAGGTTTTATTTTCTCGGACCTGTACGAACTCCACCAACGACTCATCGCCCAGATCCTTCTTTGCGGTAATTTTCGTGGACGGGAACGAGTTTGGCCCAATCTTCAAAACAATTCTCTGGCGCGCATTTGTAATCACCAGAGATGCAATTGACACTGTGAGACCCCAACAAGAGCAAGCAAAAAAAATCGCAGCGGCAACAAACGGTCAGCGGTGTGTTGCGCAGATAGGAAAGATGTTCGCATGCGGTTGTGTCTGAAAAGAAAAAAAAAAAGAGAAAGAGACAAAGCGACAAACCGCAAGAGAAGAGAGATAAACCCGGGGTGCATACGTCTAAATTGATCACTTAAATACAAAGTTGGCCCATCCTCGAGCTTCCCACTCACGTTGCCCATGATGGCGGCGACGGCCGAGACGTGCCTACTAAGAGACTTTCCACCTGTATATGAGAAATGGGGCTTCTTTGGCGCTTCGTGTGGTCAGGTATGAGGAGGAGAAGGGCAGTTAGTTCGGTCTATTAGATGGGTGCTGTATCGTAGCCGGCCGATGAATATGGCGGGGGGTGATGCTCTAGTCTCGCTGTTTAGGTTTGTTTGTCTTTGTTCCTAGAACAAGAACATCCGAATACAAGTAAATAGTTGATAGAAGGGGAAAAACAAGTAATACGATTAGTAGAAAGGGCCCAGCTGTAGACGGGCTACTGGACAATAAGAGGATGAGGAAGACTGATATGTAGTAGTTCTGTAGTTGAAGTGATGGGGGAGGAGGAGGTTTGTGTGAAATGGGGGGTGAGTGGACCCGCAGCTGCGGTGATGTCGGTGGGACGGAGGAGGTCGTTTGAGGGTTGGGATTTAGGGCCGGTGGGTCACCTGCTTTCTGCCACCTTTGGTATCCTATCGATGTGATGGATATGACGGGGGGGGGGGTGGATGTGAGAAGATGGATGGATGGAAGAAGCAACGATGGAGGGGTTCCTGTCTCGGCAAACTACATACATATAGGTCGATGAGGTCCACTCTATTGCTGCAGCGTACGTGTGGGTAATATATTCTGCTGTAGGTACCTTTTTCCTGTCTCGATCAATCAAATTGTCAAGCTCGATGATGTCCGGTTGAGTTCGGATCACAACTTGTACATGTATAGCATCCACCATCTATAATCATGAGGTCCCGTTGGGTGGATATGTGGTCATGGCACGCGCTACAGTTCAGCAGTACATGTACTTGGTGTCCTCAACTACATGATTCCAGCCTCCTTCCACTCACGAGCTTGGGCCACCTGCCTGTGCCTGTCGACAACCCCCCCCCCCCCCCAGGTGCTTCTATTCAAAGTTCATGCCCTATCCTTTTTTCAGGGCCCATCGGGGCTTCTGCCTGCCTGTCAAGGTGCCTTCTAAAATCAAATCGGGAATCAAGCTCTCCAACGTGGCTGACTAAACGCCATCGTGGGTCACCGTTACTCTATGTCTGTGTGTGTGCATATCAACAGCTCGCTCTCGGGACAGTCTCCGAAGCTTCTGTGGGAAGTGTGTATGTCATGATTTTTTTTTCTTTCTTCGTGCCTCTCTGCGCCCTCGCCCTCGTCGTTTGGGATATAAATAATTACAGGTCTCTTTTTTGGCACCCCCAGATTTTTCCAAGGAGAAATCCCCACACATCTAAATGCAAGTTCACTTGCGAATATCGTGGCTGAGAGCACTCTACCCCAGTCCCAGGCCAGATCGGATTCAGATCCTCCTACATTTTTGTTTGTTTGTTCTGCGCTGTTGCGAACCATTTTTTTTCCTTCAACGGCCATGCTGATGACGACTCGATCGAGTACCTACACTACGCATAATGACAGAATCCGTCTGGTCTGAGCCTCCCGCATCCGATAGCATTCGCTGCTCGCCTACATGCGCCCTTAACGACAAAGCGGGTTGAAAATCTGAAAGAAAAGCGACTCCCATTGTGCATGGCAAAGGAAAAGAAAAAATAAAGGGATGATGATGCCGCATTCCAATCCCCTATTTCCATACCTCACTCGTCGTCCCAGTGCGAGTGTTTGCCTCCATTGCCACGAACCTCGGTGAAGGATGTTTCGTGTGAGTGAGGGCGGCGCTCCCCCCCCCTGGTCATTTCCTCTTCCCCAGCTGCAACCGCCAGGAACAGTAGCTAAGGATTTCTTGGTAGCGGTGGTGCAACACCCCAAGGGCTAAACCCGGCATTGCTCAATTGCCCTTTAATTCTCCCCCTTGTGTATGCGGCTCGAATTTAAGCTGTTGTTTTGAAACGGCCCTTTATTTATTTTTCCTACTGTGAGCGATCCTTAAAAATAAAATATATAATGAACGGGACTGGCGGCAGGGACGCGTACGTACATGCGTGGACACTGTGACTGACCACTAACTGGGACACACGCACACAGCCTGGATGCCTTTTTTTTGTGGACTTGATAGAAAACTGAGTCGTCCCGGGGGGGGCGGCGGTGTTGTGGCAGTTCACGATTAGGGTTTTAGGCGGGATTGCAATTATGGGGCGAGTGATGGGTTGTGATTGCGGTGTTTGGGCGAAGGCTATGATGACACATAGTGTGGGATGAGTACAGGTAAGCTGTAGGAATGGACTGATTGGTGAGCGCTTTACCATGTGGGATCTGCTTGAATCTGCCTGATCCTTCGTGGAGTAGGATGCCTGATTCTGCCTTCTTGGTACTGCGTATTCTAGATTGATTATAGGGTTAGGTTTCTGTCGTAAGCACTAGAACTCGTGTTCTGATATTTAGCCATCTTGATAACGTTCACTCGTCCCTTGCGCCGCTCAAGGTCTGCGCTATAATGCAACACATTGACTCAACGTGGTCTCCTCCGGGTCAGTCAATCTCAATATACCACTCACAGCAAGTACATGTAGTGTACGTCGCCCAAGTCAAGCAGCAGGCAGAAACCGAAGTCAGGTTGGCCGAAACCGAAGCCAGCCAGATAGGGAGAAACCGTCGTACTCTCTCTCTCTCTCTACACAGCATTCATATATAATCAAGGCGGGAGATGTAGTCATTCATCAACCCTCTGCGGCCCTATACGACCACCAACTAGACCGCTATAGAGTACAGATAACACTCGGGTGTGATGCTACTCCACCGCAATTCTAGAAACTGGTGTGTGGTGGGCGCATGGATCCACGGAGTCAATTGATCAAGTACATAGCCTATCGATATCAGTGCCATGATGGTCCGGCGTGGACATCTATACGCCCAAGCCAGAGTTACCCCAGTACAGTACAGTACAGTACAGTACGCATATATATCGAAAGACCGGGAAGAATCTGGCTACTCACATGGCCCCGGGGGTCAGCGGGGGGTGTATATTGCAAAACTCGGCCGGTATATACTATATGCAGCGGGAAAGACGCAAACGCTGATCCTGGGCCCCCGGGGTAGGGACTGCCTATATACATGTAGCTACTTAGCTACACCCGTCTACATGTAGTCCCTCAATATCTACATGTACTTACTCCCTCAACATCAGGTCTTAATTGCTTTGTAGTATATATGGGGCATATACATAGGCCGCAGAAAGGTATCGATGGGGGCTTTTTTTCTTCCTCTTCTTCTTTCGTATATACGTAACTACATGCAGGCTGCATGACGTTGCTATTGTTACAATACATGTACATATATACATATATGGGGTGTCGATCTAGCAAAAGGTATGGTGCTTAACGGTGGCGGACCGCGACGAAATGTCAATGGCTTATAACTTTGCGACGAAAAACCGCAAAAAAAAAGAAAAAGAAAAAGAAAAAAAAGCGTAATGATAGAACTCTAGTACTACTGATGAAGTTTAGTTCTATTATTGCAGAATTTTAATATCTGTCTGGGTTGTAAAGCCTTAGGAAGTTGAAATTGTGTATTTTTGTATGTAAAATGCGAACAAAGTGGAACAGTATTATACCCATTTATGCCCCCAGAAAGGCAAACCTGACTGATCCGTGGCAGTAATGCCCTCTTATTGGCCCATGAGGCCTATTGCAGCCACAATTGTTCCACTTCCGTATATATGCCACCATATCACCTTTAAGAGTGTGCGCACCATACATGTAACTACCTGTCTGTGTACTGACCAACAAGGCATTAACAAACAAGGCCTCACTCACCTCACCAGAATTCGCTATATACCGCATTCTACAGCTAGCTATGTAGGCGCCAATCGATAGGTTCAACCAATGACCGCAAAAAAAAAAAAAAAAAAAAAAAAATACCATCAGTTCCGGGCTCTCTCTTGCCAAGGCCGGTTCTCAGCTGAGCATGAGCTTTATAATGGGCGACTTCCCGTGGACGTTTAGAAGGCGTTTAGAAGCAGTTTGGATGAAATTTAGAGTAATAAAATTTGGATGGCAACGCTCCAGATTCAGAATCTGAATGGGGTTTGGGGCCGCGGTTTTACCTAGAACGGCACCCACCCCATATACATAATCTAGATCCACTAATATCCAAACCTATACCCCGCCCCCCCCCCCCCCAACCCCAAAACCCTCCTCTTTCCAAAAAGTGAGTAGTCCAGAGTGGTCGTGGCTACATACAGCGAGAGGTGGAATTATTGTAGAAGCAGGGTGTCTAAAAACAGGGTTTCTATGGCTGGGCAAGCTTAAGCCAATAGGACTCATCCCATACTTCTACAACAATCTTACCGCAGGCTGTACATGTACCCCACCACTGTCGATCACTACATGTATTTACCGTTCACCACCTCCAGCAGCTAGCAAAACCCGATCATGCATTATGTACACCTCCACCTCCACCTCCACCTCCACCTCCACCCCTAGCTCCAAAATCTAAAAAACGGACCTGCATCACGGTATATCACTCGCCCACCCCCCCCCCCCCCCAAAACCGACTAGATACATGTGAAATTATTTCCAAGCATGGCCTAGCCTCTACTCTAGTCGGTGAGCGAACTACGGGTGCGGCGGCGAAGGTAGAGTACTATGTAGGTACATGTATATATGGGACTAAAGCTATGCTCCTTAAGTCTGCATGTGTACTTTAATTACTCTATATCTGCAATGTTGTAACTCCATGTACTCTATATAGTAACCCACCCACCCACCCACCCACCCACTCAGCATGGCATGGCATGCGCATTACAGTACTAATTGTAGTTGACATAAAATACCAGCTCTAGCTCCAGCTCAGCGAACAAACCATCATGTATGTACTGTGGATATGTATGTATATATATATGAAAATTTATTAAGGCAAATTAGCAGCAGTAAGATCGATCCCAAATACCTACCTACTAGAGGTACCTATTCAAAAAAGAATACAAATTAAGCCAATCAACTCCCCCCCACAAAGAAAGAAGAAAGAAAGAAAAAACTCCGAAGAAAGACAAGAACCCCCCGGACAGACAGACAGACAGGTGCAAGTGAGAGTATATATATATGAGAAACCAATCCAAACCAAGTCCAATCCAGAAGAGAGAGAGAAAAAAACACGCCTTCCAAACAAACAAACGAACCAACACCGCACTCCTCACAACTCCCCACCAACCCCCCTCGACCGCGCCTCACACTCCGTCCCCCCCTCCTCCTCCTCCTCCCGCAGCACCCTAATCTTCCTCAGCAGCGAATCCGGCGGCACACACAGCCCCAACCTATGAAAGTAGTCCCTATGCGCCCACAACATCTGCACCGCATTGACCCTCCCGCCCGCCACACACTCGGGGTCCTCCTGCCCCACACACAACCTCACATCACACCTATCCACAGGCAGCGCCACCCTCTCAACAAAATACTCCCCGCATGCTGCCGATACCCCCACGCGCCTAGCGGCACCAGCGGCACGGGGTCCTCCGCGTGCGTCACCCGCCGATACGTCTCCGCGCCAAACCGCGCATCAAAGTAGTCCGCCAGCCCCTGGTTGCCGACCTTGGGCTCGCCAAAGGTCGTGACGTGCGGGTCCCACCCGCGGCCCTTGTAGTCGAGCGCCGCGAGCGCGGCCACTGCCCCGCCGAGGGAGTGCCCGACGAGCGTGAGCCGGTAGCCGGGGTACTCGGAGCGCAGCGCGGCGACAACGTCCGAGATGAGGGCGTTGGTGTTGGACCATGACTGCAGGAAGCCGGCGTGGACGAGGCAGTCGTTGCATTTTGCGGCGGCGGGGTCGGCGGTGTGGCCGTCGTCGGGGTAGGGGACGTATTCTTGCTTGTTGATTGCTAGGTCGGCGAGGGCGTTGGCGATGCTGTAGGTGCCGCGGAAGGCGACGATGATTCTGGGCGGCGCGGGCGGGTGGGAGAGTGCGATGTAGCCGCAGGAGTCGGAGAGGGTTATGCCGGTGTTCCAGGTCTGTTGGAGGGTGAAGGTGGGGAAGTCTTTGCAGAAGGAGAGGCATTGGAAGGGCTTTGAGACGCCGGTGTTGAGGCTGCCGACGCAGTAGGCGATGTCGACGATGCGGGAGAGCTCTTCGAGCTCGGTGAAGAGGGCGGGGGAGATGGGGGGGTTTCGAGGGGTGGGCGTGGAGGTGGGGGTGGAGTGGAGGGGGGTCTGGAGAACGGGGGTGGAGGTGGTGAGGGGGAGATGGAGGGAGAGAAGGAGGAGGGAGGTGGTGAGGAGTGGGAGGAACATTGGAGGGGGCTCTGTCACTTGTCTGTGTGCAGTAGCAGGGTGAGTGGAGATGCATGAGGTGTAGAGAGAGGGGGGGAAGAAGAAGAGAATGAGAGAATGATATATGGCTGTGTGTGATGTATCCAATCCAGCCTGTGCAGAGAAAGGAGGTGAGTGAGACCTGTTGTGTTGAGGAATCGTCACGCGGCGCCACCCAACGAAAAAGCCAAAGTCTGGGGAAGTGTAAGAGGGATGCTGGTGTCCTGTGGGAAGACACCCGATAGGTGCAGATGCGCAGTGCTGGGAAGGCGCGGATGGATGCTGAGATCTGGAGATGATGTTCACAGATCTCAGATGGCCAGGGATACAGGGTGCGGTTAGAGTCCCCTGCGATAGGGAAGTGTACCTTTGGGCTTCACGAATAGAAAGCATACAAGATGTAGCTACCACTACGGAATGTGGGCTCTCACCCGCTACATGCAGTACTGTACTGTAATAGGGCTGGAGACTGGACTGCCCAATACCAGAAGCTCACAAGAGTATACATGCATTTCAACACTATTTTTCACAGAGACGGTACGACATCCTCTCGCCCAGGGGGCTCTCCCTAAACATCTCTCGACGACTGCCCCAGAGAAAACAGGGCTTTCTCTTCCAGCCGTGTTTCTCTGCGTTAATAAATATAATTAACTATAAAGACCACAACAGCAATATTAGCACAGTGAGCGGTCACGTGAATGGCGATAACTGCCAAGCCAGAAGCACATCTCCAAGTCAGTCATCTCGAACTTCACCTCAACTACCTTCTCCTCTACCTCTCCACTCCACCCACTTCTACCTCACCTACCTCCTCTCCACACACACACACCACCACACCACCACACCACCACACCACCACACCACCACACCACCACACCATGGCCGACCCCCCCAAACCTTCCTTCTCCCTCTCCCTCGGGCCCGCAAAGCCCAAGGTCCCCACGCGCAAGCCCCCAACCACCTTCGCCGCCAAACGCTCCGCCGCCCACCTCGACTCCGACGACGATGATGCCGAAGACACGCACACCGCCAAGGTCCAGCTCGTCACCGCCTTCGACGCCACCCGCGGCGGCGCCGTCGACCTTCACAACAAGCCTGCAGAAGAAAAGGGCCCCCTTGTGATCCCGAAGCTCTCCAACCGCAACTGGCGCGAGGAGGCCGAGCGCCGTCGCGGAGGAGGCGGGAAAAAGGCGATATACCTGCCCCCCGAGGCCCTCGCGAAGCAGAAGGGCGGCGTGAAGCCGGAGGACCTGGTCGAGACTGATACGATCGAGCAAAAGTACGGGCTGCAAGTGTTTGAGCGCGCGCCGGAGGGCGAGCAGGATGCAGCAGCAGCTGGGGAAGAGGCACCGACAGACGCGCCGCCCCCACCGCCCGAGAAACCGCAGACGGAGGAGGAGCTTGCGCTAGCCTCGCTCCTACGCGGTGATGCACCAGCGCCATCGACGCTCGTGCTTGCGCCCGTTGCGGCATCGGGCGGTAACGACTGGCGTGCTGCGCGGGCGGCAATCGGCAATGAAGACGCCGCGTTCAAGACGGATGTTGCAAGCCGGCCAGAGATGGCCACGCTGGAAGACTACGCGGCGGTGCCCGTCGAGGAGTTTGGTGCTGCGCTGCTGCGCGGCATGGGCTGGAAGGAGGGCGACGAGGTTGGCAAGCGGCGGGGCGCGGCGGCGAAGCCGCGGGTGGTGGAGCGGCGGGCGGCGTTCCTGGGGATTGGCGCAAAGGCGAAGGAGGAGGCGATGGAGCTGGGGACGTGGGGGAAGGGCGACAAGAAGAGCCGGAGGAGGCGGCAGGATACGACGTATGTGCCGGTTGTGATGGTGGATAAGAAGACGGGGAAGGTTGTGGACCCGGCGGAGGCGGAGGCTATTGCTGCGGCGAAGGGCGTGGATGGGAAGAAGTGGGAGAGGGGAGAGGAGAATGGGCACGGGGAGGAGAACGGGCGTGGGGAGGTGGCGAAGAGGGAGCGGTCGAGAGACCGAGACCGGGATAGAGAGAGGGAGAGGGAGAGGGACCGGGGCGGTGACAGAGACAGAGGGGGAGACAGAGACCGCGACCGCGACCGCAGAGAGCAAAGAGGCAACGACTCTTCAGACCGCCGCCGCAGAGACCGCGAGCGCTCAAAGGACCGCAGCAACGGGAAGGACCGTGATCGCGACCGCGACCGTGACCGGGAGCGGGAGCGCAAGCGCGGAGACGATGACCGCGACAGAGACAGAGACAGACGGAGAGGCGACGACCGGCGCAGAGACGAACCCAGACGGGACCGTGATAGACGGGATCGGGACCGGGACAGGCGTTAAATCTTTCAGCTGCATGTATTTATGTACTTGTCGGGTTAGCTACATAATGATTCTAAAAAATTGCTGTTTGCATTGGTGGTGGTTGTACGATAGGGGAGTGGGGGGGGGGGGGGTTATATATCAGTGGTTTGGTTATTTTGTTTGTGATTGTGATTGTGTGTGTGCGGTGGAAGAGGTAATTTGATAATGCGTGTTTATTTGTGCGGATGTGTTTTAATGAGGAGTCGGTAGTGGTAGAGGACGAGTGATAGCCTGTGAATCGAATGAACAGTACGGGCCGGGCAATGACGTTTATGACTGCTTTGTGCCCCCATGTTCAGTTCTCCACAACCACAGCTACAACAAACCCACCCCCTAAAACAGAGCCTATTATATATATATTAAACAAGAGGGCGGCCCTGCAGAGGGTTCGTGGTTGCAGGGTTAGGTTTCCCTAGCCTGCTTTATAATTACCCTCACTCCCTGAAGTATTGCTTACTTCCCGGCCTTTGGCAGCTATTCAACTCCAGGGGTGGGAGTAATGCTCGTATACGGCATGTAACGGGGAGCAGAGAGAGAGTTCGATATCGCGAATCGATCAGAACCTGGAGCCCGTGAGAGAGAGCCTGTAGGACGGTAAGAGGCGGATGGTCCCCCCTCCCCCCCCCCCCCCCATGGCCCACCCAGCATTACTTTTTGTGTACTTATTTATTGCCCGTTATTTTTTTTATTTTTTTTTTTTGTTGGAGGGGCTTGAGGGCATGTGCGTGTGTGTGTGTGTGTGTGTGTGTGTGTGTGTGGTATCGATTGGAGCTCTAGAGATCTAGATCTGGGCCGACCCTACAATTAATCAACCTTGCAGATTAGCTTCTCGCTCATTATTTTGGCCAGTTAGGTATGTCTCCCCGGCCCATGTCAGGGCCGGATATATATAGGATTAACTAGCTAGGCCGGTTTAGCGGGGCTCTTTCAGGCTGTGTTCTTTTATAGTATAGTATAGTAGATGCAAACCCCCCGGCGGGGGGGGGGGGGGGGGGCTTCGATCTGCACTTGTAGATTTGTTCTCTATATCATTGCAGGTTGGTCTATGTACATGTACTACTATACTTATACATGCAGCTGGCTATATGTCTGTATCTCTTCGTCTGTACTTGTATATATCCAGCACGTTTTTGTAGCTGTGGCTTCCGGGCCTGTACGTGTCTATTGCTTTTACAACTCGAGGGTCGGGAGAATGTAGGCCATCTGCGCGTCATATGTGCGGTTAACACAGTCATGATTATTCTTACAATTATGGATCACCGGTTTCTATCTATCTAGGTTTAAGCTATTGTAGCTATTCCCTTGCGTGGTCGTGGGCCTGGGCTAGGGCTAGGTCGGGTTACACTCAATTGGTCCGCCGGGGGGGGGGGGGGGGGGGGGGGGGTTCTATCTACAAGGCCGTTGGCATGGGCATAGCTGTCTGTAAAAGGACTAGTCACCCATGGAGTAGAGTTTCTAACTGGCCGGCGGCAAGTGGGGTGGGTGCTAAGAGCGAGTGATACATCGTGATGCCCGCGGCACTCTTCTTGGGCAGTTTCTGGTTCTCTGTCTGCAGCTGGCCTTTGTAATGGCGTTAGCTAATATAATTAAGGCCGATATTAGTTGTTTTTTTTTTTCTTTCCCGCCGCTATGATCCGCGGAGTAAGTGCATTAGAGTTCTACATGTTGTGAAGGTTAGCCGTGCTATATCTATTGGGGGGGGGGGGGGAGGGGGTTGGCCTTGTTTTTTTGTTTTGTTTTGTTTTGTTTAATTCATTAATTGCATTATGGTCTGCCCTTGCAATTGGTGGACATATGTACCTGGAGGCTACATGTACATACTATAGGACCATAGATATCCACTCCAGACCATATACTTTGTATTTCTCTGACGTTTGTGGGCGCGACTGATATTGCATGCCATACAAAAATACGCCAAGCTCATGATTTTGGGTCTATGCAAAAACGTCAGAGAAATACCAGTATATCCACTCCATGCATGCATACATGGATGGCCGAGACAAAATTGCAGTTAGAGTACCTACATATACTTAGGACACATGTCGTTGATGCACTCGTCCCCTACTAGAGTACATGTAGGTAATGGGTCTGTTCATAGCCCATCACTCGACCGTGCGGCTTAATTAACCAGCGGAGAAACGCGCGCGAGGAGGATGGGTTTAATTGGCGGGACACTAATTTGGCTAGGGCAGGATGAGCCTAGCCGGGGTGTATGTCTCTCGGCTCACTCGTACGGGACTTGCCTGGTTTGGATCATCACACTCAATATTAATATTCGAGTACCTATTGTACTTTGAAATTAAAACACCAAGTGTAGATGCATGTATGTAATAGCAGTATTTATTGATCCCGCACGTATATACCACCGCCCGCCCGCCCGCCCCCCGCCAGCACAGCAACTACAATTCGCTTCAGCACATAACACCAATCAAGCCAGTACCTCGCTCGCTCAGAGCGCATCACAGGAATTAACAGCTCTCCAGTTCAAAGCAATAAACATTACTCTCAAAACCCTACTACATAGCAATACAGGAGGCGGAGAACCTGCCTCCATTCCTTCCCTTGATCTTGCTTTTTGTTACGGTAAACATCCCCACAGATATGTATCACTATCACCAGTACAAAGCATTCACTGATTTAGCTAGACGGAACTCAGCAATTGAGACACTCGCGCACACACACATACACACACACAAATACACAAAGGGGAAAAAAAGGGGTGGGGTGGGGTGGGGTGGGAAGAGAATACTCTGTAATTAATATAACGGGCAACCCAGAAAAGAAAGACAACAAAAGAAAAGAAAGAAAAAAGATAATTATTCCCCCAAACAGAAAAAAACCATACATACTAGTAAGTGAATTCCGAAGAGTGGTAAAGAAAAGAAAAAAAAAGAAAGAAATCCCCCTCCGTTCCCCAGTTCAATCCTTCCCAACATCCCATCGTGAAAAAAATGTATCGGTATCGTTGCGGTGCTGTGTGCTGGTGAAAAAATTCAATTATCTGACTCCATCAATTTTAATATGTACCGGAATTCCTTAGGCTGTGGTGTTGTTGGATTTCTTGTTGAGTAAGGTGACGACGACCGCGATGATGATGACAACAATGATGATAAGGACTGTAAATTCCCCCAAAGCAAAAAGATTAGAAGCCAGCAAAAAAAAAAACACCCAATATTTCCCACCATTCCGTAAGTTTTTTCCCACAATCCAGATGTAGTTCTTAAAGAGAGAGAGAGAGGGAGGGGAATAAGAAATTGACAGTAAGGAAAAAGAAAAATGAGGGTTAAAAATGAACAACGAAACAACAATCCTCCGCCCGCCATTTTGTTTCAAAAAATACAAGTCTTCCCAGTACCAGGTATAAACATTTGCCTCCGAACCATTTCCTCCCTTGATGAGTCCAAGGGTATCCGATCACCACATCCCATTGACCTTTGTCACCACAACAGCGATGATGACAATTGCGATGATGATGAGGACTAAATGTGGAGCGCAACGCGAGGATTTCGATGTTAGGGTCGTTCTTTTTTTTCTCTTTCAAATGAAAAGGGGGGATCAAAAAAAAGAGAATTGAAAAATCCAGCTAGGTTCCTCGTCCTGGTACGGCCGTCTTTCATTTTCGCATTTGCGTGACCACTACTGCGACCACGACCACGATGACAATGATAAGAACTGCCCTCCCAGACCCCCAATCAAGGGATATAATCCTGGTTACTCCCAAGAGGATGGTAAAACGCTGTAGGGATAAGGGGCCCCAGGAGAGACCGCCAAAATCAAGAAAAAGAAGGAGCTAAACTACAAACGCAAGGGGAAGGGATGGGGAGAAATGAATGTGGAGAAAAAAACTACGCAAGAAAAGATTGCTAAGGGTGCACTTACGGACTATCAACAAGCACCACCACTTCTTGCGTCTCCTTGAGCGCGCCTTTTCCACTGCCTGTCCTATCTGTTCCTGCGCTTGGTCGACATTTGTCTGGATCTCTTCACCACGCTGGTCAATGACCTCAACCATGGTTTCTTGCTCCTCCACAAGCTGCTCCATTTGGTTGAAGAGGTCCGCAAGTTCGATAATGGTCTTTTCAATACGCTGAATTTCGTTGTGTCGAGTCTGGACCTCACGAAGAGCTGAGCGGGCCTCGCCACGACGGTTTCCAACAGTCTGCAAGATATGTTAGTTTTCCGTGATAAAGTCTGGATATAATCCGGTGCTAACGTACTGCCTGCGAGAAGATCTGTGCGCCCTGGCTGTCGTTACAAGCTGCCTCAATCTCTGCCTCCGTCGCCTCTGGACAGACAATCCTGTACTGCCTGGCCATCTGCTCTTTCGACCGCTTTGAGTAAGCAGCTTCCACCTGCTGGTACTTCCTCAAAGTTTCCTTGAAGTTCCTATCCAAGTTTCCCACCTGAGGAGCCTTTGAGGGATCTGAAGCAGCCTTGCCCTTGAGCCTCTTGATCCTGTTCGTCAAGTTCTTGTTCAACGCTGAGGTCTCAGCGACAAGGGAATCCAACTGGTGCTGAGTCTGCGAAGAGGCGGACTCGTCGACATCCGTCAGTGAGCGTTGGTGGAGCGCCTCGATACGTGAGATGTTTCCCTTTGCGGTTTCAATGCCTTCTCTGAGCTCGTTGACTTCGGCAAAGAACTCTTGCGGCGATTCGCCGTAGCCGGGTGAGCCGCCGTTCATGTTGCCCATTTCATAAGTGTTCCCCGCGCCTAAGGGAGAGTACGGTTCAACTTTTAGTTTACATAAATCAACCTCCAAACGCTCTTATCGGTATATCGATCTCTTGCGCACCACCAACAGATGGTCTTGGGGAGAAGGTTCTTACCTGGCGCGCCGCCGCCATATCCGCCACTGGCACCGTAGTTGTCATTAGGGTTGTAGTTGCCCTGTTGTGCATAAGGGTTGTTCTGACTGTAAGTGTAACACAAAGTTTGTCAGTAAGGCGTCAAAAAGAATGTCTGGATTGCGGGTGAACGGTGCATGTAGGCGGTATTTCTTCATGAAAGAGAGGGGCGAAAGGTAGTGTTGAAAGCTTCTAGGAGAAAGAAAAGAGTCAGGAGAAAGAACATACGCGTAACCGCCCTAAATTCAAGAGGAAATCCTATTAGCTGATGCTCGAAATACGTAACCTTCGGCTGGTTTGGAGGCAAACATACACTCATTTTGAAGGCGCTTGTATTATATTAATGAACACGAGAAATTATTTTCGCGTTTCCCGCCAGGAGAATACTGATGAAGAGTAATAGTGTTACCGATGGCTGGGTGTGTTGAGTATTGTGTTTAAAAGGGTTTGTTGTAGAAACAAGCGAGAAGGAGCGTCCAGAACAGAAAAAAGAGTCTGAAAAAGAAAGGGAGGTTTGAAAAGACGGGAGGGGGGTTTACAAAGTTGAAGAGAAGGAAGAGGGAGGGTGAGAGGGAGTTTGAATAGAAGGGGGTGGGAACAGGGAGTTGGTAGTTAATGTTGCAGGAGAGATTTAGCGCACGGTATGGTATGAGTGGATGGCTGGTAGCAAAGCAAATAGTAAATCAGGGAGGACTGTGCTTGATTCCTGACCGTTCAAGGGGTGTTGTTTTGAATGATTCAAAACAGCGGAGGAGACGGGCGGGAAGGGGGAAGGTTAGATATGTATGCTGAACCTTTTACATGGATTGCTCCCGGGGGGGAGTGAGAAAAGAGTTTATGTACGGGACCAGTACGGTACTGTAGGTACTGAGGCCTAGGGAAGGGAGAAGGAGACCTTTCTGTTTAAAGAGACCTTCTACAATTTTAAAACGGTTAACCAAGACTTCTACCGACGCCCTACATGTACCCACATGCTCTGATCATTTCAATTTGTTCCTTCGCCCTCCACCTCTTCTATCTTCTTTTGTGCTTCTTCGCGACTTCTTCTCCCTCCTGCAGCTAACTATCTGTTCCACCTTCTGCACTCGACCTGTCTCATAATGACATAAGCTGTGCTTCTAAACCGTCCTGGGACACGATATCGACTGACGGTCGTCGTCAAATTTAAGGCTGTGCCCCAATGTGGCAAAAGTCTGCGCCTTGGCCCGCAAAAATAGCCCTCTTTTAGCGGCGGTCTCCCACCGTTCACCGCCTCTACACCGCAGATCATGCCTGCCTTTAGGAATTGTAAGGTGGAGCAACGACAGTGGCTCAATTCAATCGATAACCACTGCAACTCATTCACAGGTTACCGGTACTGTATGTAGAATGGAAGCGTTGGTAGTAAGAAGAACCTCTGATTTGCAATATCGAGGGACTTTTCGCCCAAAGAAATGTCCCCAAGCTGCCCTGCAGCCTATCACTAGAGCCTATGCCATGCTCGTCGTCATACTTCAAGACGTGCAGCGGAATCTAACCCTCCGACCCCGCAATCAGCAGTCAAGCACATTCGCCTAGGGCAATCAGTTGGCGATAAAAGCCACGAATACGAAGTATCCTGCATGTCCCAGACCAGCCAGTTAAGTCAGCCCGTGTAAATCGGTACTTGATGGTACAAAAGACGATGTACTTTTAGCCCTGCGTCCCAGATGGCCTTGCAATGGATACCCATCGAGAGACGTACCTTAAATTTATTAATAGCCCACGAACTAACTCACCCAGCTTCGCGGGTCGTCGTTGTCGTCGTCGACGACGGGCCTTTTTTTCGTTCGCATGCTTAAGCGGGACTCGGGATTTCCCTGACCCATGGTAGGTGCACGACGTGATCTGACGGGGGAGCCTCCGAAAAAGTCTCTAAAATAACATTCCGATGACGAGTCCTCGTAGGTTAACCTGACGATTCGTTGATTCATCCGGCTAGACGGTACCTATCTGTGCTGTATACGTACTGTACCTTGGGGGGATTAGTTGATCCATGTGGTTGGATTCTGCACTTCTACCTACCAGTTCGATTTGTAATATCAAGTCAGAAATGGTGGAATCATTGATCTTTCTTCACATGTTACTATTGGGCCAATGGGGGGGAAGAAAACCTGGGAATGAAACTGCGTCCCCTGGGGCCTAGAGTCTCAGATATAAGTAGGTTGCGGATCAATACTGTGGACGAGGCTATCTTCAGCCCACAGAGACTCAATACCTTCAGTCCCTTCAAACGTTTAAACTGTACCTACACATATTGCATGTGTACACGTAGAGTCCGCCGCAACAAAAATCTCAAAGTCGTCGATATTGTTCAGTGTTATTGCCCACAATTCGTCCTGTTTCACTCCTAAACAGTTCTCTTCTACCAAGAAGGATCTACTCTAAGTAGAGGACGTCACTCACTAGATGGTGGGGGAAAAGGAGGATTAGAGTTTTCGACCTCAAGTATAACTATACCCTAACCCAGTGCCAAGACACCCCATTCTCGAACTTCTAGAACCCGATCTTGCATCTGCATTCCTCACTCCTTTTTCCACAACCAAACCAATTTTCCAGTCAGTGCATTCAAGGAAAATTTTACCTCAATGGCGCGGCCTGATAACCCCCACGCATCCGATCTAACTTATCAGCCAAACTCTATTCTATATCTCAATGGCGCCCCCACTATCAACGCATCTACCCCCAGGCCTCCCCCTGATCCTAGCTTCGGCACTCTACTCTAATGAGACTCCCAATCTAAAATTTTATCTCCGAAGCCACAAGGATCTAACGCGAAATAAAAGAGAAAAAAGCAGCATGGATACCTCCATCCTTTATGAAACCGGTAATTGGTGCCAATTTTGTGGGCTGGATCGAGATGCTTCAGATATACATTGCATACAGCAGGTTCTCTAGAGTAGGCGATGTCCGTGATAGTGAGGATTGCGCGAAAGGGAGGCTTAAGTAAGCCTGGAATTTGACGGTCAAGGTTAACGGGGGTGAAGTATACATAAGTATGTTTCGCTACCGGAGGTCAGAATGCCTAATGATGACCTTACGGATGGGTTATATGTGGACCCAGCTAGCACAAGGGCGTGACTTTGCTTGTTGCTCCCACCACAAGAACAATAATCTCCCCAAGTACTCGAAAGAGAACTCCTAAACATGCTACATCACCAAGACCGACTAACAGGGCCGAGTGATCTGTCATGATTCAACCGAACGATACACAATATTAGATGCAAGAGGAAATGGAATGGATTGTCATTTCTTTCCTATAGATTGATTACCCAGCTCCTAACAACCGCGAAAACTTGTACAGCAGAAAAGAAAAATAACAACAAAAAAAGAAAGCTAAGAGGGATCTATCAACCAGCTAAACGCACTTTCTTAATGATGGAAAAGTCTAGTCTCCTGCTCAACAAAGGTGATACCACAGCTTGCGGCAGCCTCGTGGACTGCCTTGTCGCTCACTGAGCCACCAGGGGCAGCGATGTACTTCACACCAGACTTGTGGGTGCGGAAGACGTTGTCAGTGAAGGGGAACTATTGCACAAATATATTAGTTTTAAGTCGTTTGGTTTATATGTGGGAGGTGGACTCACGAATGCATCACTTGAGACAGCGACGTCGCAGAACTTTGCCATCCATTCGGCTCTCTCCTCCTTGGTGAACTCAGCCGGGAGTTCCTCAAAGACAGCCTCGTATAGCTCTCTCTCAGCAACATCCTCCTTGGCCGGAACCTGCCCGGTGACAAAGAGATCGATAGCGTTGCTCTTATCAGGGCGCTTAGTACCCTTCTTCCACTTGAATTCAAAGATCTTAGGGTGCTGCCTGAGCCACCAGTTATCGGCCTTATCACCGGCAAGTCTAGTGCAGTGGATTCTGGACTGTTGACCAGCACCAAGGCCAATGATCTGTCCGTTCTTGGCGTAGCAAACAGAGTTGGACTGGGTGTACTTGAGCGAAATGGTCGCAACAGTGAGGTCAATGAGGGCCTGGTCAGGGAGAACGGCGTTCTCAGGAGTAATGATGCGTGCGAACGACTTGTTGGTGATCTTGATGTCGTTACGGCGCTGGGTGAGCGAGATACCGTAGACCTGGCGGGTCTCTTCAGCGGCGGGCTCGTAGAGAGGGTCAATCTCGAGGACGGTGTAGCGGCCACCCTTCTTCTTCTTCAAGATTTCAAGAGCAGCAGGCTCGTAGCCAGGGGCAATGACACCGTCAGAGACCTCACGGTTAATAATCTTGGCGGTAGTGACGTCAACAATGTCACTGAGGGCGACCCAGTCACCGAAGGAGGACATTCTGTCGGCACCTCTGGCACGGGCGTAGGCGCAGGCAAGAGGGCTCTCGTCGAGTCCGGCGATATCGTCGACGAAGCAAACCTTCTTCTCGACGTCGGAAAGCTTCACGCCGACGGCAGCACCGGCAGGAGAGACGTGCTTGAACGAGGCGGCGGCGGGGAGGCTCAGGGCCTCCTTGAGCTCCTTGACAAGCGGCCACGAGTTCAGGGCATCGAGAAGGTTGATGTATCCAGGTGAGCCGTTAAGAACCTTGAACGGGAGGTGGCCGGACTTGACGAAAGCCTGAGCGGGCTTCTGGTGGGGGTTTGCGCCGTAGCGGAGAGTAAGCTGCTGGAGACCGTCACCAGCGTATCTCTTCCTGAAAAATTCAGAGATGGCTGCGTCGTAGTCGGCAGTGTGCTCGAATGCCTTCAAGGCATACTGCTTTCTTGAAGACTCGGAGACCTCGCCCTGTCGGAGCTCCTCGAGGAACGAGGGGTAGTCGGCGGGGTCAGAGAGGATGGTGACACGGGTGTGGTTCTTGGCCGCAGCGCGGAGAAGAGTAACACCACCGATATCGATCTCCTCGACGGCCTCGGCGATGGTGACATTAATCTTCGCAATTGTGTCCTTGAATGGGTACAGGTTGCAAACGACGTAGTCAACCTTGTTGATATTCTGCTCAGCAAGATCCTTCTCGTCAGATTCAAGGTTGCGGGCTAGAATTCCGGCGTGGACGGCGGGGTGGAGGGTCTTGACACGCCCAGCAAGCATCTCAGGTGCGTGGGTGATGCTGCTGACATCTCTATAATTTGGAAGATGACAATTAGGGCCCTTAAAATTTTTGTTTACGATATCAATTGCTTGACTTACTCCACGGGCATACCAGCATCTCTGATCAGATTAGCGGTACCTCCGGAGGCCAAAAGACGGATTCCCTGCTGGCTAAGACCTTTGGCAAGATCCAACAGTCCAGTCTTGTTGTAGACGGACAGGATCGCTACGAAGAGAAATACGCATTAGAATTGAAATTGATAGTTCAGGGCGTCGTTTGTAAATAGGCAATTAGAACTCTAACAAACACCGAATTGTTGCCTATGACCGCATCATGGCGGAAGTGACAATGCGGGGGAGTGGAGCAAGGGCGGAGGGACATAAGATTAGAAGGAGAGATAAGAAGGGAAGAAACACTAACCAGTCTTTTGCGCAACCGGATGAGTATTAGCAGAAGCCATTGGAATTTCTCTTTTGTCACTTGCTACAGGAGGAAGAGAGAACAGAGGAGGGGTGGATCAAGTCTTAAGGTTGAGAAAGAAGCAGCGATGAGATGATGCGATAATTCGGCCAGCCTTCTTAAGCTAAATTTTTTCTCTTGTCTACAAGAGGGTGGTGGGAGGCGGGGTTGTCCAGCCAAACAAAACTTTGCCTTTTTCCCTTCATCCCACTGCATGGTGGGGTTTTCCGATAAGGAGGGGCACAAAAATCAAAAAATACATCCATGATCCACTCCACGCTAGATTTCACTAAACTCAGGGAGTGAGGATATGAACTCCCCCTTGGCGGCACCCCAAGACCCAAGAGTGCAGGGTATAAATGCCAAGCACAGGGCTAGGGCATCGAGTTTTTTTTTACCGCAAAAGTATAAATTCGGCCAGCACCCTCGAACCCTCTTTTCCTCTCCATGAACAACGCAAAAAACAACATCCCCCCCCACATCATCATACTAGGCGAGGTTTACCCTTAATTGCGGTCGAACCCAGGACCTACCTCATGTTCAGGAGGCTTTTTCTCTTAACGGGGAAGGACGGTGTGGTGGGATACGGGGGATGGAGAATGGATTTAGGAGCGGGTCTTGGGTGCGGTGGATTTCGGCTGGCAACAGTATGAAATCGACCGCAATGACTGGCTGCATATCACGAATTTCTGGGGGCTTTATTTCTTTTTCCTTCTTGTGGAGCTGAGCTCTAGACGCGCTCAGCTCCTTATCACTAATAAATAAAATAAAAATAAAAAATAAATTTAAATCTGACCAAAAAGTCTGAATATTCTCTTGTGAATTTTCTCTAGGTAATGCCTGCTAGGAATTACTAACTTTGTAGTTAACCATTCTTGTGACCTAGCATCATGTAATATTGAGAGCATAGAGTAGAGATCACGATAATACACCCCCCCAATATCTCAAGTTCCTGGTGATTGCCGACCACTTGTACACTCAAGCCAAAGCAATAGACGCTGTCAGAATTGTAAAAAAAATGCAAAAATATTTAAATAGCAAACCAAAAGACGAATGAGATATATATTACAGCTATCGATTTTCCTGACCTGATCCGTTCAAATCTCCTACACATTCTTTACTCTCACCAATTGTCGTAGATACTTTATTCTCATTCGCACTTGTAACTCAATGAACAGAATACACACCTAGGTCGACTTTTATTCGATAATTTTGATCGCTCCAATCCACCAATCTACTTTAAACAGGATAGTGGCTTTCCACAGCCTTCGTCCCGCTGGAAGTAAATATGAACAAAAAAAAAACCCAACAAAAAGCTATCCTCTATCTGAACCCTGGTGGAGGGGGGAATCCCCTTCCTCCCTGGAATCCTGGGGGTGGCTGGAATCCTGGGGGTCCGCCACCTGGCATACCACCCTGGAAACCAGGCGGCGCACCAGGGAAACCTGGCGGAGGAGGACCGCCCATTGGAGGGGGACCTTGTCCAAGCCCGACGTTCCTCATCGGTCCCTGCAATCCTGCGGGTGCTCCCATCTGTGGGGGAAGTCCACCAGGTGGAGGTCCGCCCATACCAATGATGGGAAGTCCTCTTCCGGCAGGTCTAGAGATACCTGGCCCGGCGGCTGCAACACCGGCACCTGCAGCTCCACCAGCAGCAGCGCCGAGACGGGATGATGGGTCGGCGGGAGGTGGGGACTCGACTGAGAGGGTGACGATGTGGATACCGCGTAGAATTATGAGGCCGAGCGTACGCTTCTCTTCAGAGATTTGGGGCGCGGTGGTAGCTGGGGGGGCAGAGGCTTTGGTCGGTTTTCGCTTGATCCGGCGGAACTCCTCAGTATCAGCGAGGACAATGTTCATGTGCTTCAATGCGTGTTAGTAGATGAGCTAATATTCCCAACGAGGGGTTTATAAGAAGATAATTTACCTTGTCAAACGCGAGGAGGGTACCAGTAAGTTGGCGTCCGTCAGCGAGCGTAACTCTCATACGATAGTTGATCTAGTACGTATATATTAGTATTCCAATTTTGACTAAGACCTCTCTCCTCTTGGAGGAGAGCTATATTGAGCTGGTAGCACATACGAGGTTCGCCTAAGGGGTTCGTTCAATCAGCATCGTTCTTTATCCCCACATCCACGTCAACGAACGGTTTTCCTAAAAGCCAAACAGGAACGTAAAGACTCACCATTTTCCCTTGTTGTTTCGACATGTTGAATTGTTGTTTGAGGCTGATAGCCTAGATTCTCCTCTTCCGGTAGATTGGGAGGGGCAAAGAAGATAAGTCGAGGCTCTCAGCTGTGGGGGAGCTCGTAGATAGTAGCAGATAGTAGCAGAGAGGCTGAGGTTGGAAGAGGTGTCGTTGATGTTGACTCTCGTGTTCTGCCCACCGCTAAGCCGGATCTAGATAGTGTTCTACTGACTCAGCTCTCAGTCATGAATCTCGCTTACCCTGCCTTACAATTGACTTCTCTACCCTGCCCTACGTTGTGTGACTGCTGATTATTTAACTCCCCACACAAGAGCTTCGTATGTAGCAATTTCGACAGTGTGAGTGCTACACTACCCGATTTTCGAGACGACGACGAACATCGACCAACGCCAAAGACCCATTAACCTCACCGCCAAACGACCCATTCTCGTTACAATAATGGTCAGTACCTGTCGATATTCCGTTCATCCTCCGATTGTTACCTGCAAATGCTGCTGCTACTGGGATCCGCAATTGGAGGCTTTAGAGATACAATAACTAATGATGGACTTTGATGGGAATATAGACCGACGCAAAGAGCAAGGACTCCAACCCCATGCGGGATCTCCGCATTGAGAAGCTCGGTACGTTTCTTCCAATATTTTGCTTGTCGAGAATCAGGGAAAAATCCACATTCAAGAAAGCCAATATCTAATATCAACCTTCTTCAGTTCTCAACATCTCCGTCGGTGAATCTGGTGATAGGCTTACCCGTGCCGCCAAGGTGCTCGAGCAGCTTTCTGGTCAGACTCCCGTCTACTCCAAGGCCCGCTACACCGTCCGTACCTTCGGTATCCGTCGTAACGAGAAGATCGCCGTCCACGTCACCGTCCGTGGCCCCAAGGCCGAGGAGATCATCGAGCGTGGTCTCAAGGTCAAGGAGTACGAACTCCGCAAGAAGAACTTCTCCGAGACCGGTAACTTCGGTTTCGGTATCTCCGAGCACATCGATTTGGGAATCAAGTACGACCCTGCCATCGGTATTTACGGAATGGACTTTTACTGCATCATGTGAGTTTACAACAACCCTGGAAGAAATGGATTTGGCGAGGAAGGGAGGCAATGATGGAGGAGCGGATAATATGGGATATGATGGTTTCTCCGAGGAGCTGGTACTAATGCTCTTACTCTCTTCTAGGTCCCGCCCCGGTCTCCGTGTTGCTAAGCGCAGGAGGTGCCAGTCCCGCATTGGTGCTCCCCACCGCATCCACCAGGCCGACACCATGAAGTGGTTCAAGGCCAAGTACGATGCCACCGTTAGGTAGAGGGGAGGCTCGGAATAGAAATAAAATAAAAAAGTTTCTTTTCTGGGAGGTTGTCCGATGCGTGTTCAAGGCTGGGTTTTCTTTTACATACTAGTTTTTTTCTTTCTTTCTCTTGGGCGAATGTTTCTGTACCTTAAGCAAACGGGAAATATTTGGAGGACTAGAATCCAATCATGAAGCCACCGCGCATGCGTTCTCTCAAACGGAACGGAGAAAGAAATTTCTAGTTCCCGATCTATCAACCTCCTATTGGAGGTTTCTAGTGCTCAAGCACTTCTGGCACATGAGTCCTAGTGGAATTTAGGGACAAAATTGGTTATGGGGGTTGAGATGGAAGGATAAGAGATTTAAGATCTAGCTTATCGAAATGCTTTGTTCGAGCTTTGTTATATTTGTTGTTATCAAGCATCTATACTCAGCTTAAGCTCTGTGTCTTTCCCAAACTTTCTACTTAATTCTACATCCTTAGCATGAGCCCGAGTGCTTCGATATGAGACCGATAGCGTCAGTTACCTTGTAAACACGAGTCCCATGCTAAAACATTTGCTTTTCAGGTAAACTAGAGATGCATGTAACTGCAGACGCTCAGACCAAGGCGTAAAAATAATTTCTTTAATGATACATACGGATTATATGTTGGAGCTTTTTAGACTGTGAAGTATATCGAGAGATCAAACTCCAAGCTGGTAATATACAATACGCCCTAGTGTGATACCTTCACTATAACCCTTTCCGTCAGGTAGTAGAAGAGAGTGGGCGTGTCCTCCTTGTATCGGACAAAAATGGCGCCAAACGTGGTCCTTTGGTGGGTCCGTAGTCATCAGGCATCACTCGTGTTCCATCGCTAAGTGGAACCGGAGGAGAAATACCCCTCTGGTATTTTCAGGCACTGCGGAACTTACCTGCGGTTCTAGTTCCATATTTAATAGTGGAGATGCCATTTCGTGGCCGGTCTTTAAAATCACTACCGGGGTTATAAACGGTCAGTCAAAGTTGAGAGATCAATTGTATATATATATATGTTTTATTTGCCTGTACGAGTGGTTTTTCGTGGTAGTTATTGAACCACCACTTCTGAATAGGCCCAGATGAACCTGTTGGTGGTCTCTATATAACGCAATGGCACATGAAATGGATGTGGACCGGTTTTGCAACCTCAAGGAAGACGAAGAAGACTGGGCAAGTGTGCCCAATATGTCTTTATCGTTAGAAGTCCTTTCAATCTTGCGAGTAGTTGGGTGCCGATGGTCACTCGCGTACTTTCAGTTGGGAGATCTAGAGGAAGTAGTGGAGACTAACCCGCGCACGTATCAAAATCCGGAATATTACATATAAATCTAGCTTAGATATTAAGTGGGAAGATTCATGCACTAAATCGCTAAAATGACTTTCAATTTCTCTTGAGCTAACTTAAGAACTCCTTCAGAACACTTCTCAACGAACATCTCAAAGCTTTGAAGATTGTGAGTATTCCCCTTTTTGGGATGATGGTCTTGATATAACCATACGCCCCTTGTGAGTACGCTCAATAGCTGGGAAGTGTACGTGTATAAGGACACGCTTCTAATTGGCTAACATTGTCAGTACCAAAGGAACATCGTCACGAGTGATATTCTATGATTATAATATATTGAGTTCAACATCTTATAATGTGGGTGGTTAGGTTAGGGCTCTTGGCAGAATTCTATTGGTGAAGAAATATTAGATGTCTCACGCTCTCGGGCTTATATCCGTCGTTAAGTAAAATGGCTAGCTAAAATAGTTATAAAGTGCTCGTGATTCGTAACCTGACAATCGACGTTACCAATGCAGCTCAAGTCAGTTAAACTCATCGTATCATTCTACACAGTCGGTAAAAGTGTAGAATTATATGCCCTCATTGCTCAGTTATAATTGGACATCTATATATGGCTCCTCTCCTGTAACGCGGGGCCACAACTCGTGGGATCCGTTCTGGAACAGAAATTCGAGCTGGCACCATAATATATTCTAATCCTGATATATAGAAGGTTATAACTAAGCTTCAAAACTACCTATATCCTTGGGGGTGACTGCTTATGATGGAGTCTTTCTCTTAGGAGTCTTTAAAAGTTCTTAGGCGATGAATGTATCTGTAGAAGAGGTGTATGTTCCAAGACAGCCTAATTCCCTCTGAGACAAACCCCATTACGAACACTTTTGTAGGTTGATCGGCGTAGAAATGGAGGAGCGTAGTCAGAGTTATTGGTATCCGAGAACAAACAAACGATTCTAAAAACCAGCTTACACACTTAATGCTTTCATATCTAGAGTATGTCCATGTGCTCTAGTAGCACCAATAATATCATGGCTTAACCACGCGCGCCAATGATGTATTTTCAAGACGCTAGCTAGCTAGATACTTTAGTTATATCTCAACTAAGGAAAGACTTGAGGTCAAGTACATGAGTTATAGTAGGCTCTTTCTCGTCACACAGGGTGTACTGGTTTCTAGTCTCTCGTAAGATAATACTTCTTAAAATCCTAGGCCCTTCTTGCATTTGTACATATCTTCTTATAAAGAGATGTCTCAAGATCCAACAACCGTCTTACCCTAGTTCCCTCGTAGTCCTGAACAGCCGGAGTTGTTCCGGCCGGTGAAGAGAACATTTGGGCCAATAGATTAGTAGCCAACAACATGAAATTAATAAGGATCCCTGGACTAATACTTACCTGATTCCTTCGGTGTTTTAAAGTAGTTTCAAAAAGTCCCCTTCTACATACATAGCCTAATCATCAGACGGGTGGGCGAACTCATACGAACCAAATTACTCCCGGTATAAAACCCCGAACTGAAGTTAAATACCAGGGCACAATCTTATCTGTGCTCAATTGGTAGGCTAATATACGTTGCCAAGGCCCACCCCCTTGCAACCCTAGCCCATCCCGACTGGGGGTGTGGAATGGCCACCTTGCCCCTTCCTTTCATAAAATAGACATTCTTCCCGCCATACTGCAGCTGCTCTTCGAATTCACCAACCCACTATCTCACATTACTAGCCGACTTCAAAGAAATAAAAAGAAAGGACAATGGTTAACTTCAAGTCTATCCTCGCGTTCGCCGCAGTCGCGGTTTCTGTCGTTTCGGCAGCTAAGGGACCTTTAATCACTAATAAGGTAAGCATTCCATGAGCGAGCTCCAACGGATTACGGGCTCCTACCGAGCTACATGTAGTCAATTGGTGTAGTGTAGCTGACATGAACTTTCTTTGTTAAGGTATTCTTCGACATTGAGCACGGTGGCAAGCCGCTGGGTACGATCGTTATGGGATTATACGGGAAGACTGTCCCCAAGGTGAGGAGGCTCTCATAGCGATAGAAGCTTGGTTAAAAGGGTGGAGCGCTGACGTAGCCTTATTTCTAGACCGTGGAGAACTTCCGTGCTCTCGCTACTGGCGAGAAAGAATTTGGTTATGAGGGATCAGTCTTTCACAGAGTTATTCCCCAGTTTATGATTCAGGGTGGTGATTTCACAAGGGGTGATGGAACGGGCGGGAAGTCGATTTACGGCGACAAATTCCCGGATGAGAACTTTAAGCTAAAGCACACCCGCCCGGGACTTTTGAGTATGGCAAATGCTGGCAAGGACACCAACGGATCGCAGTTTTTCATCACTACCGTTGTTACTTCGTAAGTATTGCCCATTTGTTGGTACTTTGTTCTTATTGTATGCTGACAAAGTTGTGTTATAGTTGGCTCGATGGACGTCACGTCGTCTTTGGAGAAGTCCTCGAGGGAATGGATGTCGTCACCGAGATTGAGAACGTCAAGAAGGGAGGCAATGACCGCCCGCTCGAGCCGGTCAAGATCGTTAAGAGTGGCGAATTGGAGATGCCTGAAGAAGGTATCCACGTGGAGCTTTAAGCATTTCGCTTTACATTCCAGCCTATTTTTTGCCTTTTGCCACTTTTGCATGGAAAAAATTATATACGGATATGCAACGAAGTCATTGATATCATTTACATATTTCTCTGCCACTTTCTTTTCTGTCAACGCATTGTTCGTGAATTGTGAAAACTGTGCGAAAACTCATGCATCTAGCAAGGAATGTGCTGATATTTAACGTCGGGAACAGAAAAGAAAGCGATGGCCACGGAAGAGGCCAAGGCGACCCCGTTGAAGAGCGCGGATGAGCACGCCAGCATTGCTGGTGGTATGTTTGATCGTGTCAAGGACTCTGACGTTAACTGGGGTATGGCCCAGCTCCTTGCTGGAGGTTTGGTTATCAGCCTTGGTGTAGCTTGGTATGTGCGCCGCCGTCGCTCGACCGAGGTGACTGAGAAGTATGCCGAGTAAGAAATGCGTGCCAATTAAATGAGTGATATAAAACTGGAGGTGGTGCTTGTGTTTTATATATTATTAGCTGTTTTAGGTTGTGTGATTGCCATTTCCTAGTGATCTTTCCTTTTAGTTGAATATCTGGTGGTTTTCTTTCATTTAAGAGCTAAGGGTTCGATGTGATACTTATAATTTGACTTTCCACAAGAAGCTCAGCTTCTTTGTGAGCTTCCTCTACCCATAAAACTGTGACCCTCAACATCACCAATTGGATCCCTTCAAAGCTCCAATTGATGCCTGGTGATAGCTCTCATCAGGCAATATCCCCCCACTTTTTAGCTGCAGCTCTCGTTCTCAGCCGCATCAATCCATGTCCCCTCTTGCCAACCCCAACCATCCAAGCTCCCGCTCCAATCCCCACATGTTCCACCGCCTAATCCGCTTCCTGCATCCACCATCACCTCCTCCTCAACCTGTAATGATCGAGATGTCAATGCCCACGCCTCCATCCTTAAACAAACCCAAGCATGTCAGTTACTGGCTTCGCTGCCTTAAAACATGTCTTCCCACCGACTACACTTCGACGGACCTCAATCGTCTTACCCTCGGCTTCTTCACGATCGCAGCTTTGGACCTCCTCGGCGCTCTCTCCAACTCCACAAGTCTCGAAGAGCGCGCTGGATGGATAGATTGGATCTACCATAATCAGCTCCCTTCTGGCGGATTCCGTGGAAGCCCTGCAACATTCTTGTATGGTGCGGCGCCGCACTGGGATCCCCCGAATCTACCGGCATCGTACTTTGCGCTGGTAACGCTGATAAGTTTGGGCGACGACCTGGGAAGGGTTGAGAAGAAGGGCTTGTTAGCGCTGCTGCCGAAGATGCAGAGGAGCGATGGGAGCTTTGGGGAATGGTTGGGCCCCGACGATGAAGTGGTGGGAAGCAGTGATATGAGGTTTATCTACTGTGCTTGTGCGATTCGATGGGTTCTGAGGGGACGCAATGGAGATGGCATAATTGAGGGGGTGAAGGATATTGATGTAGATCGGTGCGTGAGCTATATCGCATCTGCGGAGGTGAGTTCTAGGGCGGTGGACGTGGTTAGGGTGCTAGGTACTGATTTAGTGCTGTGGTAGACATACGATCATGGCATTTCCGAGAAGCCATTTGGAGAAGCTCACGGTAGGTCCTCCAGTCTTCTGAAGTTAAAGGATAAATTTCTAACTCTCTACAGCTGGCCATACCTACTGCGCTATCTCGGCCCTCGCCCTCTTAAACCGCCTCCAGCCCACTGACACAGGTATCAGCTCCTCAGACAACATAGTCCGCTGGCTTGTCTCGCGGCAGATCCCCTTCGAGGCCCGTGATGGTTACGACGAAGAAGAAATTGAGGAACTCATCACCGAAGGCACTGAAGAGACCAGGCTGCAAGCCACCCACGTCGAAGTCGATGCCGATAACCACCCGCTTTGGGCCGGGTTTAACGGAAGGTGTGGCAAGCGCGGTGATACCTGCTACTCTTTCTGGGTCGGGGGTAGTCTCGACGTACTAAAAAAGCTGCATCTCATTGATGTGAAGGCGAATAGACGCTTTCTACTAGAGAAGACCCAGCACTTCATTGGTGGCTTTGCAAAGCTGCCAGGGCCGGGAGTACCACCAGGTATATGACATACTTTCTCAAAGTGTATAAGTGTATGCTAATTGTGGGACAGATATTATGCACTCTTTCTTGGGACTGGCGGCGTTAGCTTTGGTCAGAGAGGAGGGTCTGAATAGACTGGATGCTATGTTGTGCATTAGCATGCAGGCGAAGGAGAGACTGATGGAAATGGACTGGTGGAAGAACGCGCCTGTCAGCTAGGTACTAAGTGAGTAATAAAAATTAGGGTGTTAATATGATACCATGCATAAATATTTTTAGAGTCATGTTTTTGTTTTTCTTCAAAAGTTGCATTAATTCGGGTTGTATTCTAGGAGTGCAATATGCGTGAGCATATGGTATAGCATCTCGGTTTAAGTCATGGTTTGGCCAACCAGTTGTGTAATGGTAATAATATGCACCAGGAATAATTGCTCTAGCTTTTCCTTGGCTATTTCATTGGTCGAGTGATAGGCTGTGACTGGCGCTGCCAATCTAGTAAAAAGTTGTAATTATGCTTGCACCTGAACCCACACAAATCTCAAAATCCCATATAAACGTGTTGTTTTATGTGTGAAACGGAGTTAAGCCGATTGTTAGGCTATTACTCCCCTACAATGTTGTTCTATTCTGGTATCACTCTTGAGTTACGAGCTAGTTAGCTTTTTGTAAACATTGAGCGGGGAACCAGATGGCAGATCATGTATAAGGAAAAAAAACTGTGAAAGATATTCGTCGGGGCTTTGAATTCCTAGTCAACTTAAATACCCAGTCGTCGTGTAGTTCTTAAACCTAGGAGTAGATGGTCAATATTTGTATAATGGTGGCCTTTTCTCATCCCGCCGTTATTGAAGAAGATCTTTAAACGAGGATTGTTTATTATAAGATTTTACCCGCATCAATTAATTGAAGATACGTATCCTTCTTCTCTCCCTTCCGAGCCCACTGGATATCTTTATTTTGCGCACCTCAGTAATTAAAGAGAGACCTGTGACCCAATGAGAATTTCCAATTCTATCTAGAGATTGATAAGTATGAATTAAGGATGTGAAAAAATGAGTTTGAGGTGGTTTTATCGGCCTCATCAATACTCTCTTGTCCACGAAGATGTAAAGATTAGAATATATGTATCTTTGCTTCCATGGATTGTATGAGATTTCCGTTTTTTTGCTTGTAAATCTCTGCCAATCTCGAGAACATGTCTCGCGTTGTCGCATCGACAGCCAGTATATTCCAATCCGGACCTCGCCATTCACTCACCCCCAGTAGAAAAGGCCCGCGCTAGCTTTGACGTATAGGGTGCCGAGCACGTAGTTGCTCTTCTACCCAAATCCAACTCTCTCTCCCTTGCACCTCCTCTTGACAAAGCACCCATCTACCCCTTGCATCACAGAACCCATCGTCTTTCCTCAATTGCCTTAATCTGCTACAGCAAAGCCCATCTCCACAAGCAGAAATAAAGCAACACTTTCTTTGTAAGTTGCTTCTCCATCAGTTTCTGCTGCTCCAAGGCTTCTAGCATCTAACTTGTGCTGCCACAAGTGCAGTTGAACATCTGAAATGTCGGCACAGATTACCAACGACCAAGAACTCCAGCAGTACCCAAAGTCGGGATATTATGCACCTCCAAACACCCCCATCCTCGGTCCTGAGACTGAGCGTCTTGATCACTTTTATGAAATTTCGAAAGGGCTTTTTGCCCTGAAGCGTGAGGGGGAGGACAAAATGGATGAATTGTCACTCGATGGTGATACCGAAGGTGATCATAAGATGAAGAAGTAATCTTCTTCCGCTCTAACCTTGGTATGTTCTTATCTCTATCTGCTATTATTCTCATTCGTGTCTTCGTTTCGATGAAATTGAGCTAATGAAATGAATGTCTCGTGTAGCTGTTACAGCGTTCATTATTAGGGATTGGTGACATTAGTCCGTGGTCTGGGCTTTGGATGTGAAGACTAAGGTTGGGGTAAAAGCTAGAGTCGGAGCATAGTTAGTTGGCTACTATAAAACTACATGTACCGCGTAAGAAGAAAGAAAATCACTTACCGCTACTTTCTGCTCTTCTTTAGATAACTTCTGTTAATACGACTTTGAGCCTTGCCTAACGAATACTGTCCCTTCAAGATTTCCCATAATCTTGGACACACCATCATGAGTCTAATATCTGCCTAAGATAGAACAGTACGAGCTAGTTTACTGTGTCTAAGTTCTTTAGATGATGAATACTGTGGCTCTCACCCAGGACCGAGGAATCCAGGCCCAAATAACCCATGAGATGATGGATGGTATTACTGTAAAGTAAGTAATATATTCCGACGAATGTGAGCTCCTTCTGGCTCTAAAGAGTAGTATAAGACTGACGCATCTATTAGACTGTTCTAATGACTGCTATAATGGCCAAGCATGTTCGTTTTGATCCCGCACACGGACTTGGTTGCTCTGACCCCCATGGCTGTCTCATGAGCCGCTGCGATATAATAATAGACACGATCCAATAGTGTAGTAGTCAGCATGCTTCGCCAAAAGACATTGAACATTATAAAAGGAGAAAACCTAGATTCAAATCCTAGATGAAGCACCATTTTCGATCTTCATCTGTGTTTTTGCCATGATGTATCGTGGATAGGAAGTAGGAGAAGATACAGTGTCAGTTGAGGAGCTACTTGTAGGGGGTGGAGGTCAGTCTTCTCTAGCTCTGGAGCTAGCTTCTACTTACATGTAGTCTTATGGGTACGAGCCTAGCTCTTATCGTATGCTTTTTGTTGTTGATACGCAGCCAGGCTAAGGCCATTCATAGGATATCACTCGGTTGCCAAGACTGCCTAATAACGGCAACAAATATGCGCAGTCGAAGAAGCCTACAAAACCACAATCACCTTTTGGCTCCTCTTAGATTTTGGCACAAACAAAGATCTGAATTGGGCAAAAAAAGGTGATCAATCACATGTACGTATCCCATTAGGGAGAGGGGGTAAAACAAAAAAAAAATGTAAAGCTTACAAAACTCACGCCTACAGAAAAAAAAAGAAGAAAAAAAGGATTTCTATTTCTTTGAGACAAAAGAATAAATTATACCCTTTTCGTGAGGTGAGAGACAGAAGAACCCACAGAAGCCATAAGAGCGGTCTGGCTTGCATGTACAGGTTTATCCACTTATGCGGGGCGAGTCAACGGGGATTATGTCACAAACACGATTCACAAGACAGAAAATTTAAAAAAAAAAAAAACTTCAATTGAAACTATAAAAAAATCTTCCCGCTCCTCTTAAGTCCTCGGCATACACACAAAGGCATCAAAGAAGGTATGACGCCCCCACACCAAGGGGGGGCTAGAAGTTAGAACTCACATATAAAAGCTCATCCACTCTTCCTAGGCCCTCGGTATAATCTAGGCACCCAAGAGAAGGCAAAAGGGTCTAGCCACACTCTTCCCGTAAAGGGGAGAGGTTAAAAAAGAGCCCACAGAACCTATAAAGCCGATAGAGACCAAAAAAAACCTCTTCGCTCTTCTCGGACCCTCGGTATGAACCCAGGTACCCAAGAGGAACGAAAGGGACGACCTAACGAACAAAAAAAGCCTCCTAAGCCCTAGAGTTTTACACCCAAGGCCCAAGAGGCAAAAAAGAATATTGCAACCCCCCACTCACCCCAAAGGGCAAGCAAGGCGGGGGAGCAAGAAACCCACACGAGCCACCCCATCAGGATTCAGGGGAGGCGGGAGAATCATAAACCCACTCCTGCCCATCAGAAGTCAGGAAAAGGAGGGTAGGAAATATACCCCAGAAAGGGGAGGAGGCAGCGTTGCGGGCAGTGCAAGGGGATGAGGGGAGGGGGCTGGGGGTAAGCAGACACCAAAGGCCATCTCCCGAAGTTCGAAGGTAGACCCGGGATGCCTCCTAACTGAACGTGAAGAAAGGAGTGCCAAAACGGCGGGGGGCTATGTGCTGGGTGGGCTCGGAGGGCGGGGGGAGGCAGAGGATAGGCACCGCCAGCTATCTTTCCGATGGTGGGGGCAGTAAACTGGCCGTGACTCCAAATGAACAAAAAGAGGTGCGGAGTGGGAGGTCCTTATATACTGCTCCAGCCTGAGAGTGATGTGAGCGTGTACTCAGGGTTAGGTGGGCAGGAGTGTGTACCTACATGGACATGTACACACATGTAGTGATCTGGGTACGAATTGATGGGAGAGAGGTCACTAACATCTAACCCTGCGCCGTGCACGTGATACGGACACTGGACACTGGACACCTCTATGGCCTCTGTGGGAGTGGGGGCATGTACCATCTTAGAGTCTACATGTATGTCTAGATATCTTCGGGAATATGCGCCGTCCCCAGTATAACAATTACGGAAACCTTGAAGCTCTTAATCACAAATTGATATTCGTAACTTCACCCGCACAAACCAAAAGAAGAAGAAGAAGATCAGAGAAAATGAAAATAGAGAAAGAGAAAAAAAAGAGAAAAAAAAAGAGAAAGAAAAAAGAAAAAAGAAACCCAGATGAACGTCAACCTTAAGTATCAAGCATTTCCCTATATAGATCACTACCTACACTTGCCTGTCGTTCTTGCTATTCAAGTTCCTATGGTGGCATATATTGGATTCCACTAGACCAAATCAATACAGTTGCATCATTTTCGAATTTCCTCCAATTAATTGTGAGCCCGGCCCTGAGCAGTACTCCCACCCCATCACTATGTAGTAGAGGAAACCGGACATAGCAACACTTAGAGCATCATATCGAACAGAAAGACCGGGGGGCTCATCACACCAGAAAAGAAAACGGCTACAAACACCAAACACACGACGCACAGGCCGGGAGTAGTTTCCCTTCGTTCGAGAACATTACCGATTTCCGGGCGATTCCTGGGGATAAAACCTCTCCTAACCAAACCCGGGGGCTCCGAGACCAGCTACACAAGTGCCACAGCCTACAGGGCTACATATACGGACCAATCAATCAGCACAAACCTAAATAACCGCACCAATGATCCCAATCACAGAATATCACTCGATGCCATCCGCAGTCCAACTGTTCGATATTTGGCTCTTCGAATGGTGCAGGTGAGCTATTTGAACCTGTCACGTCGATTCTTGTCACTGCCATCTTGGTACTTGTCAGATATGACCACGGGTAGTTGGACTCTTTGTCGAGATACAACCATCCCGCCCGCCCTACTTCATTGCAACACCAACATATACCTCTCAACCCAATCTGCGCCCCAACACCACTAGTCTACCTCTCCACCTTATACTATACAGGCTCAAAGACCCGAACGATTCTAAGCTACACACAGACTAAACACCAGCAGGCAGACCACACATCAGGTCTTGGTACGAATAAGCTGGTACGGTTGGTCTGGCAGTATACATGATTAGTGCAAAGGTAAAAAATTTAGAAAAATTTAGAAAAATGGTTTTGTCCATGCTGATAGTATCACACAAGATCGAGAGACGCCAGACAGACAGAACCGATCAGAAGAAGAAGAAGAAGAAGAGAAGGATATCATTAATACCGCCATATCCCCCTCATGCCTATGTATGCCTACATGTAATATGCCTACTAAACAAAATAAAAAAAATCTACAAAAGGAAGCACAACAATAAAAAAATAAAAAAAGATATAAACCCGGGCCCCCCATATCCTAACCAGACCCACAAACAAACAAAAACCCAGACTCACAAAGCCAACCAAAGACCAAAGACCAAAAGACCAAACACAGAAAATCAATCCATACGCTACATACCACCACAAGTCTCTTAAAAAACACACAAAAAAAACAGACAAGAACAAACCCCACCCCCTCTACTACACTACGTCCACCAGCCCCCCACCTCCCCCGCCACATTCACCGCCGTACTCACAACCCACAGCCCAATCAAGCACCACCCAATCCCCCTACTCATCCACCACCCACCCATCGGCACGGCCACCAGCAGCACCACAAGCGTCACCAGCAGCGTCCCCGCACTAACCACCAACGACCTCGCCACCTCAATCCGATACGCCTCATGCCCCTCCCTCCCCGCCGTAATCCACAACCCCGACAGCCCCACGCCCAACAGTATATTCAACATCGGCCCGCCAAAACACGCCGACAGCGCCATCACCGGAAACCCCAGCCGCGCCACCGTTATATCCGCCACCAGATCGCCCAGCGAGTTGCCCACGGCGAAAATCGTGAGGCCTAGGATGGCGTCAGAGATGCCCAGCACGACGCCAAAGGCCTTGAGCACGCCGACGACCTCGTTGGCGATGGCGCTGATCCACCCGATTGAGACGGCGAAGCCGGCGAAGCAGAGGAGGTAGCGGGAGCGCGGGGCGTGCGCGGGGGTCGTGCAGGTCAGGAGGATGCCGAGCGAGACGAGGCCCGCGATGAGCGCCCATAGGATTGGCTTTGTGAGGGACGTGGCTGGGTCGTCGTCCCAGGCGAACATGACGACGAGGAAGACGGGCGCCGTGAGGCACTGCGTGGCGACGAGCCAGCGGTTCCACGTCTTCGGGCCGATGTTGGAGGGGTCGTAGTTGTGGCCGTGGCTGTGGTGGGAGTCGTCGGACGGCGACTCGGGGCCGTCGAGGAGGACGATGGGGGTGGAGGTTGCAGCTAGCGCGGGTGAGGGGGAGGGGGAGGGGCTGTCCGAGGCGTCGGCCTCGACGACGGGGAGTGTGATTGTGAGCAGGAAGACGGGGAGCATTGCGATGACGGCGAGGAGCTTCTCCGTGATTGATTTTTCGCGGAAGCCGCGTAGCGTGGGGAAGAGTGTTGCTGCGAGGAGCTGCGG